TTCTTATTGTTCTATCTTTTCCCCAATGCGTGATGGGAAACAAGGTGTGGAGGAATCATTGCACAACGATGACGACGGCGCCTTCGTTTCGTTTTCATTCTTGTCAACCGTTTTTGTTTTCAAACGAAAGTCTAGTTCGGCAAACGTGCGGCAAAGGCACTGCGTTCTCATCAAAAGCTACAAATCTATGTGGTGTCGTGAATCTGGTCGAAACGTCAAAAACCCCGAGAAAACGCAGCGGGTTCATACAGCGCCCTCTTTCTCGCTCTCTTAACGCGGAATCGGTACGGGTATTGGAATCGCAGCCGGCGTCGGTGCGGCGCGGGCTGCAGGCGACGAGATGGCCGTTGGCGGCGCCAGTGGCGACAGCAGCGATGGTCGTGGTTGCGCTATCGGCAGCTGCGGCGCGCTCAGCGTCGGCGGCGCCACTCTCGGCACAGGTGGCTGCGTTGAAAACCCGATGCCCGTCGCCACGTGCACACCTGAGGTTGGTGGTGGGACGGACGTCGGCAGCGGCGGCTGCGGTGGCGACAGGGACGCGTTTCGCTGGTCCCGGCTCGTCGTATTCACCCACGAGAACGGCACCGCCCCCGGCACGGAAAGAAACGAGTTTGGGCTCTCCTGCGGTGGGCTCTCAGTGGTGGCCGGCGTCGCCACTACCGCCACCGGCCGCGCAGCCGTCACCGTCGCGTACGGCGGGGTACTGATCTGCGGCTGCAACGGGAAAGAAGGCAGGGTTGGCGCTGGTGCTGCAAGGATCGGCGGCGCTGACTGCTGATGCCATGGCGGCGGACTCGGCGCCACCGGGTTGGGTGATGGAATCGCCACGGGAACCACCGCGGGTGCGGGTGTCGCGGACACCGGAGTCATGGGACGATTGAGCGAGGCGTCGAATGAACTTGACGACGAGCTGCTGTCGCTGCCGCTGCTGCTGCTACTACGAGATATCTTGACTTCGTTGATGCTAAGGGCACGCGCGGGCGGTTTGTCTTTCGGGGTGGCGTCATCACGATGTTTTGACTCGCTCTTCTTTTTCTCTTCATCCTCTGCTTTTGCCTCTGCGCTTGGAGATGCGGAGAGTCCGAGAGTGCCGTCCACGGTGGACTGAATGAAAATGTTGAGGAGTTTCGTGAGGTGCTGCACCTCGTCTCCAAGGCTGAAGCAGAAATCAGCGTGCTGCTTTGGAATGGCGGAGAGCGGCGTCTCAAGAACATCGCGGTAGGCCAAGGTAACGTAGGCTAGATTGGTGCCGAGACATTGCAGTTGATACAAAACGGAGTATTGCAGATAGTGGCCAACCGAGCCGTCGGCCGGTACCGGCAGCTTGTTCACGGGATTGCGCTTCTGCCGGGCCATTTCCTTAATCTCACGACTAGCACCGGTGCGCGGAGGCGCAGGGTTATTGGCGATCAGCTGATTCACCACCTGCAGAACAATGTTGGCTAGCTTCACCATCTGCGCTACGCTGCGATCTATCGACTTCGTCAGTTTTGAGATGTTCACAGTGCCGTCTTCGCCATCACTTGGCAGAGGCGTGCTGGTCAGCACCGGGTGCTCACGCTGCAGGACCGCCGCCGTCGTCTCACTCAGCGACTGCAGCTGATACGCAACGTCGTACTGCAGAACGTACAGTAGACTCTCTCTGCTCGCTGTGTTGGCCGACACGCGACGCACGGGAGAGCTACGGCGTCCACCACCACCAGCACCGTTGTGCGCAGGAGCCACTTCACGGCTGCCAATGTCGTCATCTTCGCCTTCTCTCCTGTCAAAGCCGCCTCCACGACGTTTGCGGTCACTTTCGCCGACAACGACGCGGACAATGTACGGCTTGCCCTGCCCGCTTTCCACGGCGGGTTTGCGAGTGTCTGGTGAGGCGGAGGGTGGCGGTCGCAATGGCGACGGGGTCGCTGCTGCCGCGTCTGCGGGACGGGACGCATACGGCGTGGAGGGCATCTGGTGGCTTGATGCGACAGGCAGCGGCGACGGCTGCTGAAACGGTGCGAATGAAACGACGACGCAGCTCATCTCGACATACCCTAGCGTTTCCCCTGCGGGATCGCGGATGACACAATTCACATATGCGCGCTGCGGTTGCTGCTGTTGCTGACCTCCAGACAGCCCGCCGTCGGGACTTGGAACAATAAGCGGGCAGGGGCAGAACCACTGCGCGTTTTTTGACAGGTTTGCATCGTTGTCCGCGGAAAGGTGGCACTGACAGACGGCTGGAAAGACAGAGGCGGCCTGCTGGGCCGTCATGCGGAAGTCTGCCTTGTGACATACGTTGTATGTGACGGCGTCGCCGATCGCGAAGCCCTGCGGGTGAATCACGATGCTCGGAAAGTCGAGAAAGTGCACCTCAACCGCAATCTTGGAGGATGTGGTTGCAAGAAGCGGGGTGAGTCCGTACACTCGCTTCACCGCGACCTCGAGCCGGTACGGTTGCCCGGCTGAATCCATCGTCACGTTTTCGATGATGATGGTCGCCTCTTTTAGATGACTATTTCGCGGGTTGTCTTCTCTCTCTATGTTTCTACGAATCAAACAGCTGAGGTGGCTGTGATAGTCAGAAAGACGTGAGGTCCGCTCCTACAATTGCAAAACGACCTATCTACTGGAACACTTCCAATCTATTCTGTTGCGCTAGGAAGTCAAGTTTTGGGAACAACGACGGCTGTTCTTTTTTTTCTTCAAGTGTCTTTCGTTGACTTCAACTTCTCACTCTTCTGACGTCTCTTTTTCCCCCTTCTCTCTGCGAGAAGCAGCAGCACAGCACCGCACTTTTTGTGGTGACGGACGCAATCCGGTCGATGCACGTATAAGCCTGGGACCAAAATGCAAAGTGTGGAGAGAAGCAAAAGGGAAGTGAATAAAAGCATATGCGCTTTTCATCGCTGTCACAGCACAGCGGCTCAGATGCCAAAAAAAAAAGGGGGGGGGAGCTGCGCCAACTCATTGTGATTGGCTGCCTTGAAGACCGATTGGTGTTGAATGTCCTCTCTCCGTTCCGATGGCGAAGAGAGCAACACAAAGTAAAGTCAGGCACATATGGCGTTGTCTTTTTTTCCAGCTTCCCCCAATGCAAATAGATCAGGTTCAGTATATGTATGTGTGCTGCTTGTTGGAGTGCTCATTGCTTGTGACAAAAAAAAAGCTCGAATTTCATGAATCGCCTACGACCTGCGATAATCACCAATTCCACAACACAACGCATGCCCAGCGAAGGGGGACAAAGGAGCCTCGGTACGTTCTCCCTTCTCCTTCAGTCATCTAACTGCAAGCGTTGACGCCAATAACACCACCAAAAGTACCACACCGCTTTGTCAGTCACACCCCAAAGCATACAAAGCGCGCACGCGCAAGTGGAAATGCAGACGGCTTAGCTTGATCAAGAGCGGCCTACCGGCGTCGTTCTGTTTGAACTCAAACTAGTACAGGTGTGTAAAAAAAAAGGGTTTTACGCGTCTTCGTCACCGCCGCCTTTTTTCTTCTTGTTGATGCCGTACGCCCTCTCCATAAGCTGGTGCGAGCGGATCTTGACACGCAGCTGGTTACCCGCCATCAGCTCCGGCGACTTCTGCAGCGTTTCTAAAGACGGTATCACCACACGGTCGCGCACGCGGCCCTTGACCTGCTTGATCTCGCCACGCTTGACGCCCCCGTCGGGCTCGACGCCCGGCTTCATCGCCTTGGCCGAGGTCATGGCAGCCGCGGCGTCCCATTTCTCCTGCAGCGCGTGCGCCTTGTCCAGCTTCGACTTACGCCGCCGCATCGGCGTCGTGCCCGTCTCACTCGCCGGCGGGGCGTTGCCGTCGTCCTCGAAGCGCGGGCGGCGGAAGATCGTCTTGGAGCCCGTCTTGCCACGGTCAATGTACGCGCGGCGACTCACCTCGCGATCCTCGCTCGTCTCCTCCATGCTGCGCGCCACCTTGCGGTCGGCGTCCTTCTCCTCCTCCGTGCGGTCCATGTCCTCGATGGACTCCGACCAAGCGGCGGTGTCCTCTGCGTGGATGTGCAGCTCCTCCTCCTGCGCGCTCGCCATCATCTGCAGCAGCTTCTCCTCCGCCGCTGCGGTGCTCTCCGGCGGTTGGTACATCGTCGCGCCGCCATCAGGGTTTTCCGTGGCGTGGTTCGTCATTAAGTTGGCCGGCACCTGCACGATGTTTCCCTCCGCGTCCTCGATCATTGGCATCTGACCAACGAAGTTTAACGCGTACGGCGTCTTCGCACCGACGACGTACTTGTCTAGCTCTCGTTCTATGTGGTCCTGGATGCTGGACTGTGGGATGTAGTTGATGTGTGTCATGTAGTGCAACCGCTCACTCGCCCGCTCGTACCAGTAGAAGAACTGCCGCTCATGGAACTCACGAAGAAGGTCGAGGTGTTTCTTCTTCAGCGCCTGGCGGCCCTGCGCCATCTGCTGCGACTCACGCCGCTTCGTCTCCTGCCCCTGCATCTCGTGCTCCCATTGCGCCAGCTGGGCGGCCTTGGTGATGTTATACTTGTAAATGTACTCGTCCGCGTTCACGCGGAAGGACTCGAGCCACTGGCGTTTGTACACCTTGCGCAGGTGCTCGAATTGTGCCTCGTGCACGTTGCGCCACAGCTCGTTCTGCTTCCACATCCAGTGACGGTAGGGTGTGAGAAAGCCGGTCATGCGCCGCCCGTGCTCAGATTTCGAAGGCAGGTTGTAGTACGGCCGCATTTGGCGCCGCGCCACACCGCTAGAACGCATCATGCTCGCCTTCTTTCACCAGCCTGTGTGTGCGTGGATGCGTAAAGCCGCTGATGGGACTGATGTGCACAGGCGACTTCCTGGAAAACTTGAATTGTGATGGGAGCAAGGTTTCTTTCTTCGCCCTGGTAAATCAACAAGGGTGCCACTTCAAACACCGTTCCTTGAACCGTGTAGCGGTTTGGAAACAGCACTTCAAGTGAGATTCAGCACACCCTTTGGGGAGAAGAGAATAGAAGAGGAAGCAAAGGAGGAATCAATTCAGAAGAACAACGATATAGTCATTTTTTCATTATTGCATTTCTAGACAATAACAAGTGCAGCGTTGAGCTTGGCACAATGAAAGCAGGAAACCAACGCGGTACACTGCTCCACAGCGACTTCAAAAGCTGAACATCGAGCGAAAGTTCGCTTCACACCGTTGCTTTCATATTCGAAGATTTATGTGTTGTAAGTAGAAGATTTAAAAACTTCATCAGCATAGGTGACACAGCGGCGGACAGGAAAAAACAACAATAGCACCAAAGGATGTATTGTAGCATTTGCAGCACAAATGCCCAGCTCTCCCTCGTTGGATAACAAGGAGACACTTTTGATGGACCTGCGGCTCCTCATAACGGGTGAACATCCACATCCACACTAAAAGTCTAAGTGTACTTTGCACACAAGCATAGCTAGTATCCGGTGAACTCAGCTGGAGTCACCGTTTTGATGCTCTGCGCAGGGACCTGCACCGCCAAGCGCTGCGCCAGGCTGGCGAGTGCCTTATCCAGTGCCGTCGCCGGCATGCCGAGCGTCTTGACCGGCTCCAGCAGATAACGTGCGCTGTCGGTGCATGGGCGAGGTAACGGCAGCATCCGTACACCGATCTCACTCTGCGGTAGCTCCGGTTGGATGGTGAGGGTCTCCGTCTCGCGGCTGTACTCCACCGTGGTGTTCGGCTCCACGCGCTCTGACTGCTGTACGAGGATGTCCACGTACACCGTCGCCTGCCGCACCGTGTTCCAGCGCTGAATCAGCCGCTCTCGCTCCAGGGCTTCCGGGCTAATTGCTTCCTGCCGGTTTGCTGCTGAGGCAGCACCCCCGTCATCCTCCCCCGCGCCATCCGCGACGCCGTCTGCGCCGTAGAGGTTCTGGTAGTAATCCTCCGCCTTCTGCTGCTCCTCTGTCCAGGCCGAGCTGCTCGCGTCTGCAGCAGTTCCTTGTTTCGCAGCTGGATCTGCCGGACTTGGACTGGCCGCCGTGGTGCCGTTTCTGGCGCCGTTGCCCGCCCCCGCACCACTCGCACCTGGGGTGCTCACCATAGATCGCTCACGGTCGGGTATCTCGCTAGGGTTGGGCAGCGTTCCAGGGCCGCCGCGACTGAGGGTGCTACCGGCGATGTTGCTATTACGGAGAGCAAGGTAGCACGCATCGCACACCCGCTCCGGCGTGGCGATGCCGCGCATCGGGATACTCGCGCGGTGCCGCGAGCAGTCTCCGCAAAACACGTACCCGCAGTTGCGACAGTGGTGGCGGCGAAGGGTCGCAGTGAAGGCCCGGCCGCAGCCATTGCACTCCGCCACCTCCTCGTCGTCCTGCCAATATGCCTTTGACTGCTTTTCCCCCATGTTGACGGCAGCGTGAAACAAACAAGCAGGAAATAAAATATAAAAACACACCTCGAAATGGATCAGAAACGACACTCTGCAATGCACGATGCTGCAGAGCACCGAGTGGGGAACGAAGCTCAACAGAGTAGGGGAATGCTTGGCTAGCGGGAAAAGCTCACGGTGGTTTGTAACTAAAAAGGACTCTAGTACAAATATGGCGGCGGGAAGCTAAAGCAATCGACAAACGACAAACAAACAAAAAAGCACAAGCAGGGAAATATGGAGAAGCGGAATCCTCAGGCAACTCCGCGCTGCTCCCTAAAGGGTTTTTTGTATCGAACGCACGAAAGCAAAAGAATACGACGGCGCGCAGTTGATCTTCTTCTTCGGTGTACTCCGCGAAGGGCGAAAAGGTGAAAGAAAAGAGTGTCGAGACGACACAACAGGCGAAGAAGGAGAGAAAAGGAGAAGAGGGGGAAGTAGTTTGAAAAGGAACGAAAGAATGCAGCGTTGTAGCGACACGAATAATAGCAGAGAAATCCACAGGGCAAAGGTCAACGTCCGTCGTCGTGGCAAAAACAACAACAAAAAAAAACATCTGAGACTTGGCGACGATGCCTGCTGGCACAAAGATCCACTTAAAACGAGAGCGTACAGAACGGAGCATGGATTCTTTTAACTTTCTGCATTCCTGTCTCCACGGGGTGAGTGGAAGCGCTTCAAGCACACACACGTATAAAAGAAGTCAACCGTTTCTTTGCGTTCCGTGCGACGAATTTGTGCATTGAAAAGGAAGAAGAAAAGCATTAAAACAGCGTTCGCAACAATTCGGCAAACCAACAGGAAACAGCAACCAGGCACGACGCCGCGGAGCCCCACCCACCGTCAAGATGTGCCAGAAAGCAACGCGTGGCATTCACAATGCACATGTACAGTGCATCTCATGTATCTTAAGCACGATGGATAGCGTCCCGAACGCACACGATAAACACACACACACACACACACACACACAAAGATAAGATACGATCTGGGAAGAAGACGACTGTTCTATGATGGCAAGTAGAAATAATACTTAAAAATAAAAATAAAAATGAAGAAAGGAACGAAAATGAGCTTGCCACGGCAGAACAACAATTTCTCCTTTCTTTCTCATTATTTACTTGCTTTTCTATGTTGACAGAAAAAAAAAATTAGCCTTCTAAGAAGCAGTAGTTCTCTGATATATGTATTTCTATTTCATATGTATGGAAAATGTTTCACACGAGAAGAGGATGAGCACATCTAGTAGGGGTAGCCCCGCAGGTCCATCGTCAGCACCTTCGAGCTCTCTCGTTCCTTATCTTTCATCACGCCCAGCAAGATGTCCGCCATGTGGTAAAGCTGGTCTTTTAGCGACACCACAACAAACTGGCAGGACTGGCAGTTTTTGCGCAGGTAGTTTGCGAGCTTCTCCACGTTGCCAGCGTCCAGCGCGGCATCCACCTCGTCCAGCACGAAAAACGGAGTCGGCGACACCTCGTGAATCGCAAAAAGCAGCGCCAGCGCCGCCATGGTGCGCTCGCCCCCAGAGAGCAGCTCCATCGGCATAAAACGTTTGAGGGGCGGCGTGGCGTGGTAGGTGGTGCCGCTAAGGTAGGGCTCCTCCACGTCCTCCAGGCTAAGGTAGGCCGAGCCGTGCACGGCCTGCGCGCGGGTGCCCATGGTCAGCTCACGGTAGACCCGATCCACCGTGGCTGCCACCTTCTCGTACATCTCCATAAATTGCGCCGTTCGCAGCTCCTTCACGCGGTTAAACTCTCTCGTCGCCACCCGCGCCGCCTCGCGGGTCTCCTCCACGAGGGTGGAGGAGGTGCCGAGTCGGTCTTCCGAGGCCGTCATCCGCGCCGATGCCTTAATGTTCGGCGCGAGCGACTCCATCTCCGTGTGCAGGGCCTCCAGCTGGGCTTGGGTGCGCTGGCGGTAGGCGGCGAACTGCGTCCGCTCCGCCCCGGCCAGACGCTGCGGCTCCGCGAGAGAAGAAAAGTCGATGCACAGGATGGCCTCGGTGTCGACGGGAGGAGAGGAGGAGGTGGCCGTCTTCCGTGCGTTCCCCTCCGCGCCAGGGCCTTCCACCACCAGCGAAAACGGCTCGGAGAGCAGCAATACGCCACTGCCGCCGAAGGTAGATGTCGGCGCGGGGCGTCGGCGCGCCGCAGAAGTCACCGCGGAGGGACCAGAGGTATGCGAGGAAGAGGAGGAAGAGACCAGCGTGCTCGCGTCACTCTCCTCACCGCGGCCCCGCTTCGTGCCGGAGGAGGCATGCGGCTTCAGCGGCAGTGCGATCTCGTCCATTTGGCAGCGCCGGACGAGGTTCAACCGGCGAAGCCTCAGCGAATCACACGCGATTTGCAGCGCCGTCACAAGCTTGCGTGCTTGGGCGAGCCGGCCCAGCTCCACCTCAGAGTTGCGCGTTGCACTGCGAATCTGGTTCTCCAGCGCATCGAGCTCAGCGCGGCTCTTCGTCGCGCTCTTCCGCACCTCCAAGTGCTGCCGCTCTGCTTTCTCGACGAGCAGCTTGTAGTCGGCGAGGTCTTTCTTGCATTGATTCTTCTCCTTCTCCAGTCGCGTGCGTGCCTCTTCGAGATCGGCCACCTTGTTGCCGCCCACCTGCTTCACCTCCATCTCCAGCGAGCTCTCGAGCTTGTGGACTACCAGCAACAGCTCCTGACGGCGCTCGGCGCGCTGCTTCGCCTCTTGCGCCTCCTTGCCCTCCAAGTGCAGCAAGTTCGGTACGTCCACCGTCTTCTGGAATTCCGCGAAGACCTGTCCCTCCGCGCGCGAGATCGCCTTGGAGGTTTCCAACAGCTCTTTGTGGATCGCCTGCAGCTCCTTCGTGTACCCGGCGTGGCGTTCGGCGTACTCGGCTTCCCGTCCCTCCAGCTTCACCACCTCCTCCCGCAGCCGCACCGTCTTGGCGTCGTTGGCAGCCTGCTCCGCGCGCACAACGTCGATGCGCTTCGCCGCGAAGTCACGACGTGCCTCCATATCACGCAGGGCGATGTGCAGACGTGCCAGCTCCGCCTCGCCGCCGACGGCGGCCTCACTCAGCAGGCGGTCCCGCGCTACGCGCAAGTCCTCATACTTTTTCTCGTCCCACTTCCGCGCGCGGCTCTGCACGGAGGCGAGCCCGCCCTGCACCGACCCGTTCTTGAGCAGAACTGTGCCGTCCAACGTGACCACCTTGAACCGTTCTCCGTCTGGGCGGCCGTAGGCGATCGTCTTCGCCTCCGCCACCGCGTCGCAGAGCAGCGTCTGCCCCAACGCGAAGCGGACGGCGGGCTCCAGCTCGGCGTCGAAGCGCACCACATCCACGATGGGCTTGCAGGTGCCGCCGAAGGTGCGCAGGCGGTCATCGACGGCCTTTCCTTGAACGCTGTCCAGAGGCAGAAACGTCATGGGCGGCATGCGCTGCTCCTTCAGGTACTTCACACAACGAATGGCCACCGCGGTGGTGTCGACGACGATCGCCTCCAAATTCTTGCCCATCGCCACCGTCACGGCATTCCTATGGCGGTCGCTCGGCACGGTGCACAGGTCCACCATGCGGCCACGCAGCGGAAAGAGGGAGCGCAGAGCCTGCAATGCATCGGCCATGCGGCTGTTCTGCTTGTTTGTGTCCTTCATATAGCGCATCTCGTGCAGCTGCTCCTGCAGCTTGGCCAGCTCCGCCTCGCGCTCCTTGCTCTTGGTCTGCATCTTCTCCAAGTCGTTTTTGGCATCCACGAGCTGGCGTTGCAGGGTGACCACCGTCTCCTCCAGCTCACTGCGTCGCCGCTGCAGCTCGCCGCCGTAGGCCGTTGCCGTCTCAATCGCCTGCTCCAGTTCTTTCTTCTGCTGCTGGTGTGTCTCGGCGCGCCGTTCGCACTGCTTCAGCCCCTCCTGGATCGAGTCCCGTTGCCGCAGCACCGTCTCCCGGCGTTGGCGCAACGTGACTGTCTCGCAATCCGCCTCCTTGCGCAGTCGTCGGTACTCCTCCAGCTGCTGCGGCGTGAGCGCCGAATGCAGCGTGACGCGCTCTTTGTCCTCCTTGACGCAACTTTTCTCGAAGGTTTCCAGCAGCGCTTTCTGTTTCTGCAGCTGCCCCTCCAGTCGCTGCGCTTCGGCAGAGCGGATGGTCGTCGCTTTCTGCGCGGCTGCGAGTTCCTGTTGCTGAATGTCAGACTTGCGCGTGAGGTGCGCCAGCGCGGCTTTAATGCGCTCCACGGTGTTGTGCTTGTTGCGCAGGTCGTCTGCCGACTTGCGCGCCTTCTTCAGCTCCTCCAGGTACGCTTTGTGGCGCGCTGCGTACGTCCGCTTCATGTCGCGGATCGCCTCTTCGGTCACGACGCCCTTTTCCACGTCCGCCAACGCCGCCTGGCGCTGCTGCAGCTCCGACTTCTGCTTCTCCAGCTCCGTCTCAAGAGCAAAGAGTTCGGTGAGGGCCAGCTCCTGCGTGGTGTCGTTGAACTGCTTGAAGAGTTCCTCGTAGCGCTCCGCCTCTTTCTTGGCCAGGCGCATCTGTTGGACGGCCACCGCGGCGCCGCGCTTTTCGAGCGACGCCGTCGTGAGCGCCTCATTCGCCCTTTCTACCGCGGCCTTCTTCGCGTTGTACTCCCCTTGCAGATCGCCACTCCCGCTAACCTGCTCGAGCAGCTCCGTCAGCTGCTTCGCCTTCTTCTGCGCCACCGCCTCGACTTGGTGCTGGAAGACGAGAAAGGTGTCGACCCGCTCGCCAATGCGGTGCTGAGCGAGAGCGGCGACGTACTGCTTTTCGGTGACAGGCTTTCCGTTCAGCAGGCAGGTCACGACGCCCTGCGCGTCCACGCGCCGCGTGAAGGCCGTCTCGTTGCTACTGCCATTGCTTCCGTTGCTGCCGTGCCCGTTTGTCGTTGTCGCGGCAGCGGCGCCGTCCTCCGCCACGACCGCCTTGTGAGATGCTGGATGGCGCATCACGAGTGTCACGCCGCATCCCTCTCCCGACTTCCTCGCCTTACGATGAATGAAGTCGACGGGCGCCTTGCCCCGCAACGCTGCCGTGCCAGATAAGGTGTGGAGGTTGTTGCGCAGCACGAAGCTGAGCGCGTCCATCAAGTTGGATTTACCAGCGCCATTGGGGCCGACAATGCAGGTGAAGTCTTTAAAGGGGCCGATGGCGGCCTTGCCGTAGTAGCTCTTGAAGTTGTCGAGCTCCACGCGGTGAATCTTCGAGAGCATTGGGAATAAATGTCCTTTTCCTTTTCGCAACTCGCTGCAGAGCTCGGTGACGTTGTCTGCTTCCAATGGAGCCGGTCTGTGGTAAACCCGAAACACAACAGCGCTAATTGGAAAAAAAAAGGTGATTCTGGGTCGAGGACGATATGCCTATTTTCTTGGTTCTATGGTAATACTGTAATGTCTGTCGGCTAATTTACCTTTCTCTGTATTGTCTGTCCAGAGGACGTTCTATGCGGAGTAGTGGTCTCCCGATCTTCACTTTATACAAGAAGTACCAGCAATGAAAAAATAAAAGGAGATAGAAAGAGGTACGAGAAGGGAATAGGGAAACAACCGACGCATCTTGGGCGTGAGCAGCGTCTGTGGCAGTAATCAAACATTCCCATCATCTCTTCCACACATGTAAAGAGAAAGGGCATCGTCAAGTCGGACTTCTGTGCTCACTCAGCAACAACAACAAACGCCACCATTCAGTTTAGGCTGCTTCCTTTTTTGCTGTTTAACGCAACTGAGACGAAATCATGCGGATGACAGTAGCTCGCGAAGTTGCAGAGAGACAAAAACATATATCGCCTACAGGCAGTACTGCGCATACATGGCTATGTAAGGCAGAAGAAAAGCCGCCCAGTACCCATCTGCGCAGAGCAACGCTGACAGGGCGGCGTCATCTGCAGAGGTGCCACCTTGGCACAGCGCTTCACGCATTTCCTCCACCTCCGCCCACGCCCACGCTGGACTGCGCTGCTTCGCCGCTGTGACTGCAGCCGACACGTGGGCAGTCGTCATTACGGATGGCAAAGAAGAAGTGGGCGACGCATCAAACGATTCCACTGCTGGACAGGCGAGGTGCGCCATGAAACTGCGCAACAGCAGCGTCTCACACGTCAGTGACGGTAGCCCCACCTCACCGCTGTCAACGCAAGCGGCGCCTCGCCACAAGCGTTGCTGAGCAGCTGCGGCACACTGTCCAGCGCTCACGATGGATGCCCACAGCTCTTCAGGAAAGTCTTGGCAGTAGCCTTGCAGGAGTGTGTAGCACCAACACGAACACACCGCTGCTGCGCTTTCTGGCAATTGTTGCGATGATGGTGCGAGCATCGCTTCGAAGAGCACGTCCGGGGTGTCCTGCGCTGGCGCGTCGCTCGACATGGCCAAATCTCCCGTTGTGCGCAGCAGCGGAACCACGACTTGGCGCCAGCACCGAAACACATCGAAGACAAGCGCGACACCCACGCGCTCGTGGCCACCCGAGGCGGGACACAGGTCTGACCAGCGGAGACTCGAACCGGAGGAGTCCACCAGACCCAATCCGGAGTGGAGACGCTCGCACTGCTGGGCAAAGCAGCGGCACACCTCCGCTTTAAGAGCAGCGTCTTTTGTGGTGAAAGCCGCGGCGGCAGGCCACGGCCCAGCATGTGAAGTGGAGGTGGGCGATCCAGAAGGACTTGCGCCGCCGCTCTCCGCAGCCTCCTTCACCGCCTCCAGAGAAGAAGAAAGAGTCGGGCTCGGTGGCGTCGAGTACTGTTTCACACCGTTACCTTTTGTCGCTGCGCTCGTGGTGGAAAGTGGCGTGAAGAAAGAAAGCAGAAGTTGAAGCGGAAGGTTCGTGTCTGGACTCTCCTTGTCAGACAGGTCCACCATGCCTGCCGTCGAGCTTGCTGCTGCTGCGTGAAAGCTGTCCTCTTTTGCACCCAACGGACTCGTCATGATTGCGGCTCCTTCCTGCGAGGCAAGAGGTGACGGGGACGACTTCTGAGGGATGGAGAGCTGTGACGGCGTCATCGGTGCGAAGGCTTCGTTGACGTCGCGGAGAATCTTGACCATCGTGTGCAGGCTGTATGCGAGGTCGTAGCGCTGCACATAGGCGGCCGTGACAGAGTCCATAAGGCCGCCGCCGACGGTGACGGTCGCGGAATTGCTTTTTTCCTCATGCATTTGCGCTGAGTGCGATTTAGACATTTTGCTTGTGTAAGACAATCTCTGATGTTTTGGGTCGATTCCTCTCTTTTTGGTTCAGTCATCATGTATGAAAGTTGCAACCTCAGCAATGGAGAACGAGCGAAAATGGTGCAGGGTGTGAAGCAGGAAAACACGTTGCACCGCCAGTCCTGTCAAATCGGGACGGAGCATAAGGCGCAGCGAAAGCAAACCGGAAAAGATGTCGAGTTGCATTCCCTTACCTGTTTCTAAGGGTCTTGCCTGTCATTTTGGAGGGCTACCAACAGACAAGAAGTGCGCACAATCTGTGTCAATTCTCACCGGCTGCAGATCGTTCTCCTCCGTCAGTTTCTCACTCTCTCACGTTCTTTGCCATACAAAGCATCCCTTTTCTTCTGCTACTGACGGTTTCGTTTATGTAGTGACACTTAAAAGGGGAAAAAGACAGATTAAACGGCTACTTACGTAAGAAAAAGATGAAGGAACACCGTGGGAAACACTGCAATACAGCTAACGCAAATAACAACCACAGACGAGCGCGCCCGCCAATGTCAAACGCTGCATTTGTGTAGCGCTGTAGGGGAGCAAGAAGAGATCAACGAATAAAAGAGATAATAAAACACCGCAATGCAGCCAACTCAGCAGTCGACAGGCTTACTTGATTTGTTTTCTTCGTCACCTTGGAAAGAGGACAAATTAGAAGGTGTTATTCACACGGTTCATGACTGCGCGAATGCGCGTGTACACCTTTGCGGCCGGGCTACCGCGAATAAGATCGCAGATGGCGTCTCGCGCCACGCGGATGTTCTGCGTTGTGCCCATGATCCAAATCTTGGTGTCGGCCACGACGAGTCGGGTGCGGGTGACGTTCTCAATCGTGTACTTCGTCTTGCCGTGTGAACCGCTAATACGGCCAATGCAACGGGAAAGGTTGTCGCCCTGCAGGTTCGCACGCACGTCTTTGATTTCAAAGCCCTCAATGTATACGTCATCCATGCGCAGCAGTGCCACTGCGTCGCGGACGTCGAAGCCGGCGATGACGGCCTTCACAAAGTCCTCCGCCTTCTGCAGCATCACCTTGCAGCTAGCCACGTTCTCGTCACCTTCCGCCGTCGACGTCGACGGCGAGGTGCGCAGGTCCACGGTGCGATTCTTCAGATTCATGCGGATCTCCAGCTTGCACTGCTCCACGATGGGGGTGTAAACCTCCATCCACACCTTCTTGAGCGGGGGGAAGCGGTGGTGCGGAATTTTGATCGAGCGCGTCTCACGCACAAATGTGGCGGCGGAGGCGGCCTTTCGCGGTGCCAATGCAGCAGTCGGCGCCTCCGCAGCGGTGGAAGCGACAGTGCTAGCGGACATGAGAAGCAATGAACGTCGATTTTCACGTGATAAACAAACAAAAGAGTAGCTGTTCGACTGTGCTAAAGCTTTTCTTCTGGGAAAGGAAGGGAAAAAGAACGGGAATGCAGAAGAAGAGATGGAACGACGTCAAGCCTTGCAGAGCGATCCGCAAAAAGTATTGAAGCAAATTCGTAGAAGCAACGCATGGCTACCATCCATCGATCACATAACGCTTCATTCGGATCTGGGGGTCTCGTGAAAGTCTTGACAGCTGCTCTCTTTGAGACGATTTGGCTTCTACAGAGACTTCTTTACGTTCGAATAGCTGAGTTCTTTTTCCCGTGTGCTTCCCGGCGGCTTGATTGCCACGAGTTCTAAAGCTCAGTAATGATGCAAACTTGTGTATATATAGGGGAGCATCTAGTGTAAAGTCTAGCAAAAGAGAAAAAATAAGAAGATAAGTAAAACGGTTACCATGGCGTAAAGCCACATCTAAGCAAATCAAATCTGCGGCCCTGACCACCATAATAATGCGCGTTTTGTGCGAAACAACGGAAATCTCTACCGAAGAGCCACGGCAAGAAAAGGCAGGTTCGCTGCGACTCTTTCTAATCCAATGCCGAGCGGGAGATGACCTCATTGTCCCGTTCGCCCTCCGAATCACTCGCGGGGGCCGGGGTGTAACGATCAAGCAGGTCTCGCGACGCCACAGGGCTCTCCTCCGCCGCAGCAGGAGTGTCACTCACGTACGAGTCAGCAGGAGATGCTGCGGCGTCCGCGGCGGTCGCGGGCGGCTCCGTTGGGTTTGTGGGGGCCACACGGCCATCGCCGCCGCCCGCAGCGTACGCACCGCCATAGCGATCCAGTGAGAAGCTAAAAGGAGACTTATCGAGTCGTTTGTCGTCGTTGCCGTGGCCCGACCTCTCTCCGTTTTCGTCACTTCGAGCGCTTTGGCTGCTGCTGCTGCTCCTACGCTGCTTGCTGCTGTTGTGCGCACCACTATTCCCACCCACGTTTGGCGTCGGCTTGCCAGGGGAGCCAGTCGGTGTGCTTTCAATGGCACCCGCCGCAGCCTTCTCCCTGACCGGCGACGGCGCAACCGTCTCTACCGGAATGACACGCGGTGGCGCTCGGCGTTGCGGCGGCGACGATCCCTCCCGTCCCCCGACGAAACTCCGCGAAGTCACCACCCTGCTGGACACGACACCCGGTGCGGGGCGGCCGTCGCTGACAACGATTGGCATCGGGTGCGGGTCGTCCGCGTCGTCCTCAAAGGGCAGGCTGCTGTTGCTGAGGTGCGAGGTGGGGGGCCGGTACACACCGGAGGGCTCCGCGCCGGCGCGCGCGGGACCGTTCTCGACATGGCGAAGGGAGAAATTGCCAGTGTTGGCGCTGGCGGCAAAGTGGGACGGACGCGACGTGATGCCGACTGGCTGCGTAGCAGAGTGAACGAAGGACGGACTGTTTCCTTCAGACCTGCCGTGCAGGTCGTTTACCACGTTTCTGTTGGTGATGTTGTCTTGGTACACGGCTGAGGTTTGGCTAGGGATGTGACGCACGTTGCTGAAGCCGCTACGACTGGTGTGCACGCTGGAGAGCTGGCTGTTGCTTGGGTGACGCGTCGACGCAACGCTGCGGCCGAATAGGCTTTCCTCCGCCGTGTCCTGCCCAATGTCTATGAAGGAGCTGCGCGGCATCGCTACTGCTATCCCCCGTACCAGTGCAACGTCCAGCTGGCGTACCTGTCGATCAAGGCCGTCCATGCGGTCCACCACCGCCTGCACCTTATCGTTGATGTGCGCGACTTCCTGGGTGAGCGCTACCACAGCTTGGTGAGCAGGTGCGCTGCCGTCACCACCCTCCTCGGATAAACTATTTTTACTCGTTGCATTGTCCCTCTCACCACTCTCAGCACCAGCAGCACCAGCCGCAGGCACTTTCAGCCCAGTAGCCGTTTGCAACGCCGTGCACTGCATCAGCATCTCCAGACGATTCACATCTCGCCGGCACAGGCGCACCTCACTGGAGCGGGCCACCGAGGCTTCCATCAAACGCTGAATCTCCGTCGAGCAGCGGGTTGCCATATTCGCCGTGCTCGACAGCGCGCCCTGCAGCTGCGCCACGTGTCCCTCCAGCGAGTCGTGTTGGGTGCGTACGACCTGTGTGTCCTGCTCCACGTCTCTTTGCAGAGATTGGCGCCACCGCTGAAGGTCGCGCTCGAGATTCGCAAACGTGTCCTGCATGAGTTGCTGTCCACGCTGCAACGACTCGTCCATTCGTCGGTCAACCCGCCCCGTCTCCCCCCGACGTTGCTCCTGCAGTGTTCGTATATCATCCTTGACACGCTGCATCTCCTCCTTCCACGTGTTCAGACGGCTTTCCAGGGTGTGTTGATGCTCATCCAAGTCATGTTGCACACTCCGTTGCATTGCGGCGAGGCCTGATTGCATATCGCGTCGATGTGCCCGCAGCTGCTCTGCTGTCTCCTTGAAGCTTTGTTCGACTTGTGCCTGGCGTGACTGCACATCCTCGACGGTGGTGCGTAGTTGTTGCAGGTGTCGCTGCACCTGCACGTCCACGAGAGGTGCGACAAGGGTGGGGAGGTGCGTGCGCATCCACTGCGTGAGTTCCGCGGACACCACCCCGCGCGTGAGATCATTTTGCAAAGCATTGCTTATCACACCGCCATCGTCGATGGAGGCCGTCTGGTGAAGGAGATTGAAGCGCTGCGCGGAGCTGCCAACTGTGTTTACCCCTGCCATGGGATAGAAGTGTAGCGGAACACCCATGCGTACCTCTTCGGCGGTGCGGTCCATCTCGTGGCGCGTCCGTGAGGTCTTATGCAGTAGCGTATCCATCTCTCTATTCACTTCCTGCAGACGTGCAGCAAAGAGTTCGTCATCCTGCTTGACGTCAAGGTACCGTGCCATCTCTATTTTCCTCTCTCTTCCCTTGTTGTTGTCGTGTCTTGATGTCGGCAACGGCTCCGGCTACATTGTGTAGTAATTCACTATTATTCAGATGGAGTGGAAGGGAAAAGGAGCAGCGTTGATAAGCGTGATGGAGTTGTCAGAAGAGAGCGGGTACGGCAGGTGGTCCCTCAAAAAGTAGAAAACAAAAAACAGCAGGAGAGCGCGGGGAAAAGAAGGGTTCCACCGCCAGCGGCTACGCAAACGTGTGAGGAGGCACGTCAGTTGTGTATTCGGGAACGGTGGAGATGCGTCCTCCAAGTTAAACCTCATTAGAAATCATCGATAACGCCCCATCAGCTTTCAGCCTCATAATTATATATATATATATATATATATATATATGTCTTTTTTCAAGTTGAGGTGTTGTGTAGAACTCATGTGTGGTTTAGGTTCGTTTCGCGGTATAGTTGGGGAAAAAACTGCAATGAGCTACACATACATACGTACACACATACAAGCACGCACCGCTGCTGCATATCTGCTAAATATCAAAAGAAAAAAAAATTGAGCTTCGCAGGTCGAACCGAGAACTCTCAATCATAATATATATTAACGTTTATATATTTTTTAAAAACACAAAATGAGAAGAAAGGCGCAGAAAAACTATTTACCACCTGAAATTAAAGCTCGTTTAGCGGCAGCTCATTGTGCACGGCTAGCGTACTGCCCAAGGGAAACTTCATCAACCTCATTAGTCCAGAAGTGCCTCCAGTGTATCTCGTTACTGTCTCTTGAGAATTGACTCGCTTGGAGCTACGCATCCAGTTTGGGGGTTTGGGCCTTGTTCGACGTGCCACTTATCAGAGTGCTGTTCTTCCGCTCCTCCTTCTTGCGGTCCTTCATTTCCTGGCGTTTGCGATGGCGCTCCTCCTTTCGCTCCTTATTGGCGTCGTGCGCCGCCTTCTTCGCATCACTCTTGTTCCTCTTCTCCAATTCCTTCAGCTGCTGAATGCACGGCGCCCGCTCCTCGAGGGTTTTGGGGTATCCCTCGGGGCGGGGGTACCACACAAGCGGCCTGGCAGGCAGATTGTACTTGCTACGGTCGTACGTGTCGCTGAGGTACTCGCACAGATGTGGCGGGAACAGGCGCGGAAACTCCTCGCACACGGCCGGCCGGTCCTCCGTGTACAGAAACTCCACCTTGGTGCGGGTGACCGGGTCGATGGCGGGCAGAAAAAGCTTCCAAAGGAATGAAAACAGCTTGGGCGGGTTGATGCAGATCATCTTGCCGAGCCGCTCAGGGAAGTGGTCCTGAATGGCGCGGATAACACTGAGACCCATGGACGGCTTACCGTCGTGCAGGTGCGAGTACGTCTCGAAGTCGGTCACGCATACCCACTTGCCCACGCCGACCGGCATCATGCGGATGATGTGGTTGAAGCAGAACACCATGTGCTGCAGCGGGTTCTTCCGCTCCGGCCCCCACCGCATCGACATAAACATCACCGGGCGGTACTCTTTATCCCAGCCAACAAATTGAGCCATGTGCTGGTTTGGGTTCGTGAAGCACGCATCGCAGCGCAGCGTCTCCGCCCCCGATTCCTTCCACCACTTCACCGTGTTCTCCAGCATGACAAACGACTTCTTGAGGTCGTAGTTGCGGGCGATCAGGTAGCGCAGGCAGAGCCAGTCGTCGAATTTCTTTTCCTCGTACCAGGAGGCGGCAGTCACCATCTTTTTGAAGTCAGCGAGTGCCTTCTGCTGCGATTCATTCAACTCGGCATAACGCTGCTCCCACGTCTGCACCACCGGCGGTGGCCGGATCTTGTCCACCTCCTCCGCGCTGGAGAGAAAGTACGGAATCTGGAACCCTTCGTTCTGCTTGGGGAGGAGGAAGCAGTCTTTCGGGAGGTCCAAGTCTGCCTCGATTGTTGTCGCGACCGACGTGCTCAGGGTGGAGGTTTGGCGACCCGCCACGCCAGCCGTGGCGGACGGGTTCGCAGTTTCGTCTTTCACCTCGCTCATGGGGAGCGAAAAGCCGTGTTTTAAAGCGCAACGCTTAATCGAAACCGATTGAAAGAAAGAAGGGAGAAATAGCTATGATGAATATGATTATTGTCTTCGTCTGCAGAAAGTACAACCGATCATCTTCTGATGGTCTTCTTTTGGTTTCAGAAGATTTTCAAAATAAAAGGAGCAATACAGCGCAACAGACGTGAGAAGAGAGACAAATAATGGTAGAGAAGAACAATTAACCGGATTCAAAGAAGAAAGAGCAGAGATTGCAAGTTGAACTGCACCTATGTCAGGTGCAATGTGTTAAAGAAGCGCGTGTTATTGTCATTTAGCCTTCACAAAGCTGCGGAGGATACGGCCAGCTGAGCCACACCCGCGGCCATTTTGAACATGACACTCTTCTATACATAAATACTAGAAGTCTCAAAAGAAGATGAAACATGAGCTGGATCCTCTCACATTCAATCTCCCGTATTGGCAGCACTCAGCAATGCAGAAGCCGTTTCCGCTGCGTTTCTTTCTTGTGACATCCATTTCTTTCGTTTTTTCTTTGTATGTTGAACTGTCATGGTGGCATGTATGAACAACTCCCTTTTCCTCTGCTCACTTCTCCTTCTCACTGAGTAACTGCGTGCATGCGTGTGAGAACGCGGGAAAGAGGTGATCATGTCTACGCAAAAGCAGGCGCGGTGAAGTGAGAGTAAAAAAAAAAGGACAAGGAGCTTGTCGCGCAAAAACTGTTGAGCTTTTGCATCACTGTCCACCGGCAAGAAAAGAAAAATGCCAAACGAAACTCAAGTCGTTCATAGGGAAACGGGAAAAAGGACAAAAACAATAGCCAACAAAGAACAGACGTCAAGAAGCAAAAAAAAAGCGCAGAATCAGGGAGAGTCTTCTTTTGGGGAGTCTTGCGTTTTAGAATTTGGGGGTCAAGAACAACAACAAAACACCGTTACAATCAAAAAGAAGTTAGACACATCCAAACAGAGATACGTACATCAAGGATTGTTCTTTTTCTCATCCTCTCTTCAATCATGTGTGTGTGTGTGTGAGGGAGTGAGCGTGTGTGTATATAAGAATTTTTTTGTTGGTTAAAGGGATACTGTTGACTTGTTGTTTTTTTTATGATTATCGCCTCCATTCCGCAGTCGTACGTTGCCATACAATTGCACGCAGAGGGGTGAGGGGAAGAAAAGAAAAGATCCAGCAAAACGTAGCCAGGCGATCGTCGAGTTCACCCCCTCCCTTTTAACATGTACACCGCTTTTTTGCCATTACAACTTCGAGCGCAAGTTGTCCAGCATCGCACCAAGGCTCATCATTAACAGCTTCGTCTCGTTGGCGAACACCTCCAGCGACAGGGTGAAGGAGTGCATACCCTCCGCGTCCTCGGAGGTGACCGGGAAGACAAAGGTCGAGGGCAGGCGCACCGGGCCGGTAGGAGAGCACGCCTCCCTCTTGGCAGACGTCGAAGGACTCGTCTTGGGCAGGAAGGGCGTCACCGAGACGTTGCGCTCCGAGGCGAGTACCTGGAAGCTGTAGCCCTGCGTGGACGGGGAGCCGATGGGAGTGAAGTGGTGGAAGCCGTTGTCAAAGGTGTGGGAGCGCGGCAGGCCGGCGCGGCGCGACGCGTGCTGAAAGTCGAAGCCGGTGTGCTGGCGGTGGCTGTGCTCGAGGTCGATGCTGCCGTGCGTGTGGTGGTGTGAGTGCTGCCTCTCGCTCAGGTCGGGCTGTAGCGGCTGGTCCGTCGCCGAGGGCTGGTCGCGCTGGAAGAGAGGGTCGTTGGGGTCCAAATTTTCTATGTAATCGTGTACGGACTGGTTGATGAGCATCAGCATGATCTGGCTCTTGCGGCGATGCAGCACGTCACAGGCTTCGATGAGGTCGAGCACCGCCTTCATGATTTCGCCCTCCAGATTAATCGCAGGCTCGCGCATCATGTAGCACATCAAGTCAACAAAGCGCTGGAAGGCGCCGGCAACGTCGCGGGCGACGGGTTGCAGATTGCGCATCATGTGCCGCGTGTCCGCCGTGTAGACGCGCTGGCTGCGAATGACGTTCCAGCTCATCCACATCGTCTTGAGCAGCATGGCCATGCGGTACATGTGGGTGTAAGTCTGCTCGCACGATTTGATCGGGTAGTCCACCTCCACCAACGTCCGCTCGTCGCGCGCGAACTTCATGACGTCCTTTGTCCCTTTCAGACGGCGCAGCACGTCGGCGAGCTGCTTGTCAATCTCCTGTAGCGCCGTGTCCGTCTTGGACATCATGTGAACGGAGCAGTTGGACAGCTGCCGGTGCGGCGGCGCGTGCTCGTTTGTCGACGCCCCTTGCGTCGGCGGATCGTCATCCGTGTCGTCCATTTGCGTCCGGAATGGCGCCGTCTTGAGATCGGTGACCAACGGCACCGAGAAGAGCTCCATCATGCTCGTGATCGTGTTGCTCATGCAGCGCAGCACGTTGCTGCGTTTCGCGCGCAGAATGAGACTTGGCGACAGCGGCAGGACGAGGGCGCTGACGAAGAGGTAGATAAAGATGCCGAAGGTGTTCTGGTTCATGCGCTGCACTGTGTCATCCATCGTCGTCGGCGTAATCGAGTCGAGGGGGATGAGAACGAACATACCGTAGATGGCCATGATACCGTACTCCTTATCGAAGCGTAGAAAGGTACCGCAGAACATGAGCGTGCAAAGGGACGCGACGCGCTGCACCGGTGTCTTGGAGTACGTGCCGGCGAAGAAGCCCAGCACCGTACCGAGTAGGCAACCGGTGAGACGGACAATCGACTCCTGCACCGCCTCCACCGGGTTCGAGCCCGACACGAAGGCAATGATGTTCGGACCGGAGAAGGAGGGCATGTCGATCTTGATCAGATAGGAGAAGCCGATGGTCAATATCATTGCACCGCTCACCTTGGCTGCCTCGATGACGCGCTGAACCTCGCGGCGGTTCCACCGCTTGAAGAGGGTCCGTACGAAGTTGACGTTCTCCATAAAAGGCTCCCACGTCGTCTTTATGAAAATCTGCTTCATCGTGCCCACGACGCTGGGCTTGTAACCGTTTACCTTCGTCTTGAAGATGTCCACCGTGTCGCGCACGCACACGACGGTGAAGAGGTAGAACGTCATGAGGGGCACGAACTCCTCCAAAACGTCGGAGGTGTGCTCGTAGAACAGCATGCGGCGGGCCAGCTTGTAGGCGTCCTGCAGTTCGTCAGTGCGGTCCGCGAAGTAGGTGAAGCGCTCCTGCAGGTCCATCAGCGAGCTGCGCGTCTTGGCGTGGGAGAGCAGGTCCAGCAGCTCGTCGAAGGCCTCGGCGACGGCGTTCAGGTGGGGGTTCAGCAGCTCGCCAAAGGCTTTGGAGCGGTCGGAGTCGTCGATGGCGCTGGGTTTGGCCTCGACCATGTCCAAGACACGCGTCATGCTGCTGAGGTTGATACGCAGCCGCTCAAACAAGGAGAACTTCAAGGCGCGAATGTCGCGCACCTCCGGCGTCTCAAAGAAGAACTCGTAAAAGGAGAAGCTCTGGTAGTGCTCAAAGAGCGGCAGCAGCTCATCCAGCGAGTCGGTCATGAGGTGCACCTTCGACATCGCCATGTTGCGCTCCACGTTGGACAGACTCCAGAAGGAGTAGACGAGCCCGCGGTAGGCGGTGGCGGTGTTGCGGGCGATGTCTCGCAGCAGCCGCTGCGCCTCCCGCTTGCAGAAGAGCGGATAGGGGAAGAAGGCCGCGACGACGCAGAGCGCTGTGCCGATCGACCAGTCCACCATTACACGACACGGATAGAGGGCGTTGCGGCTCGGGTTCACCAGAAAGCCCACCGTACAACTGTTGAAGAGCAACAGACAAATACGACGCTGGATGCCTTCGGTGAAGGCGGCCATGATGAAGAGACAGAAGGTGTAGTAGATGCACCAGCCCGCCATGTGGTGGCCGAGGTTTAGCGCACCGGCGATGGCAGCCAGAGGCAGCCAAAAGCAGCCCGCACGGATCCAACTGAAGATGTACGCCACCGCCTCACCACTCGTCCGCTTCGCCGCGAGCACCGTCGAGGAGAAGACCATGAAGGTGGAGACAAAAGGGCTGCCGGGCAGGTCCGCGGCGATCAGCGCACCGGGCACCAGCACCGCCACCGCCGTAATACGGGTGGCAAACTCAAACTGGCGCCAGAACTGCGGGGTGCGGAGGGAGTCGAAGAAGGTGCAGTTCATGCGGCGCTGCGGGGGGCGCAGGTTCCACGGCACACTCACGTCACCGTGCGAGCCTTGGCCGCCGTCCGGGTAGCGCACCTCGTAGCGCGGGATGCCGTAGCTGTCTAGAGAGACATCGTCGTCGCTGCAGGAGGAGTCGGGTTCCACGTTCTTGGCGAGGTGGTTGCCGGGCGCACCTGTGGCTCCAGAGATCGACTTTGACCGGGTGACGGACGACTCCGCGGCGAGGGGCTTATCCATGCTATCGTTGTTGAAGTGAAACGCGGACTTGCGCTTGCCGATCGGATCTGCAGCAGCCGACAGCGTAGCGGGGGTTTCGCAGTCCTGGGCTGGGGAAGTGCCACTTAGAAACGGAAGCGGCGGAGGGACTTTGCCCTTGACACTGGCGTCCGCAACGCGTGGGCCGCTGGGGGTGCTGGCGAGATCCAGCCGGCGAGAACCGTCGTCGTTGGAATGAAAGATGGGCTCGTCCTCAGAAATGGTCTCTTTCGACATAACTTCTCCAGCGTCTGGCCTTGTGACAGTCAACGCTTTCGGAACTGACTTTTGGAGTTTATGGAAATACGCCACTATTCGCAGATGATACTTTATCCGCGCTTTATCCTTCTTTTTTCTCTCTCTCAAGTTACAACTGTGTCAGAAAGGATGCAGCGCACAGTTTGGTGTTCTTTTTTTTTTTGATGCGTGACTTTGGAACGTCAGGAAAAGAATTATCTCGGTCGATTACAACTGGAAAACGAACGAAATGATCAACCACAACAACAACAAAAAAACGAGGAACACTTCTTTTGAAGGGGTTGTGCGTGTACGGCGTAACTCGCTCTACCGCTGCTGATGCCTTACAGGTCCGAAATTCTCTCTCTCTCTTTTATTTTGTTGCTGGTACTCTTCTTTTTGTTTGTTTGTTTTGATGAATAAAAGAAAAGCGAGGAAAGATCAAAGTAGAGAATTACTAAAAAGCAAGCTTGGCTGTAATAAACGACGAGAGAAAAGCACACATGTAATTAATACCTGTAGTAAAACGAAGACAGTATTTAGAAGAAGAAACACTAATTTGGACGACAACAACGTATTTCTGAGCCGAATAATTAAAAAAAAATAAAAAGTGAAGGTAAAACACGCTGGAGTTTAAGGTAGAAAAAAAAACAGATGTTACAGTCGACGTAAACGTAAATGACGTACGGGGATTATAGTAGAAACTGTCTGTTACGGCAAGGGCGAAAGAGGATATTGTTTTTGTTGTTATTTTTCTCAAGAAGAACGGCGAAAACGAGTTGAAAAAGGTGACGAACTTTGTGTGAAGAGTTCCAAGCCACCTCTTTCGTTTATTTACAGTCGTCTCCTTTTTCTTACTGCTCGCTCTAGAGAAGGCAGTAAAACGGTTAAACAAAACAGAACCAGAAGAAAAAAAAATATATATATATATATATACTAATCAAGGAAAAAGAAGATAATTTCGAAAGACAGTTTTTGGTTTGTTTTAAATATGCTTACTCTGAGATTCCTTTATGAAGCTCTTGAATTACAAAGGCAAATTAACTCAGGTGCCAGTCAAGTAGAAGCAAAGCTGTTCCTCTGTGACAAGAGCGTGTGCTCGTTTGCAGAGGAATATATATATATATATATATATATATTGAGTTCTACGTGTATTAAACAAAAAGGGCAGCAAATGAACACAATGATGCCTGTGCAAATTGGGGGATAAGAAAGAGAGAATGATGCGGAAACGAACCGACAACCTCGCCTTAACCAAGCACTCAAGCAAAGCAGCAGGGAAACTGGCAACGAAATTTTTGATTTTTTGTGTGAAGGCTACAAAATACGATTCAATTGGGCGTAGTGCGGAGTGGTGAGAATTATAATTTTGCTGCGCTGGGTTTTATTGTAATGGAAGCGAAGAACGGAGAAGTTCGATGGGTGAAGACGCATCAAAGGGAGATGAGTGAAGAGAAGAAGAAAGAGAGTTAGAAACGGGTAAGGTTTGCGAAAAAGATTGAGATGTTGAACACGCAGGAGGGAGAAAACAGACGAAGAACGTACGTACGTAGTTGACAACGTTTGCAGTCCACACGCACACCAAGGCAGTCCTGTTGATAAAGGCGACTGGAAGAAATGCAAACGGTGGTGTATATTAAAGAGAGAAAGCGCGAGGTAACTGCAGTTGCCTTGACGTATTTTCTCACAACACTTTGGCTTGCATTTTTCTTCAAGAAGGACGTACGTGCCTTCGCAGCAAGGCACAGCACGGTAAACGCTCACCACACGAACAATCCAAAACGTCATCAAAAGCAAAAGAGAAGAAAAAGAAAGGGATAAGAGAGCACCTCGTTACGTCATCAGCAGCACGTCCTTTCAACGCAAAAGACAACTGTCATTCGATGGAGATTTCAACTATTATCGTTTTTCTTTTGGAAGATATTTTTAAAAGCGGTAAAATGAAAATAAGAAAAAAGAATTACCTGCCAAAACGGTGAATCAAAGGGGTTACTCGTGCCCTCTGGCAACAGCTAGCAATGAGGCACTGAAACACGTCGCCATGCAGGAAGGTGAGGTAGCTTGCACGCAGAATGCAGCACCTCACAACGTCAAGCGGCACTTCGCTTCATTCCTTTCTTCAGCAGTCCACTAGCCACAATATATATATATATAAAGAAGGAAGGCTGCCGCACGTCACGAACAACAATAATAATAATAATAGGAAAAGACGCCTGACTCACCGAGAAACGACATACAGCACGGTTGACGTCCGACATAAACCCACACACAGCGAGGATGATACAACAGGGATGCGCCAGAGACTCATTTCGCCTCAGTGACTCGTTTATTATTTCTTGTTTCGTCCACCATATATCACGTGCTTAATCCTCCGCGGTGCTCGCTGCTCGACGATGACGGCAAGTTCGTGTGCAGGCCGTCCCCTAACCGTTGTGGGCCACTCATCCCGGAGGACGAGCGCGACCGCCCTGACGGCATCGAGGCGACAGCGACGCCGCCACTGCTGCTCGCAGAGCTCGGCGGCGCTGAGGGATTACGCCTGCTGCTGCTACGGCTGTTTGCCCTAACGTGCTCCTGGCTGGTTTGATTTGGCGTCGCTGCCGTCGCGGATGTATCGGCCAGGGACGGCATGATGGGGCCTGAGATGGACCCGTTCGCAAGCACCGGCAGGGGATGCGGCTCGGACGGGCTGAGGCTGCTCGCAAGGAAGGGCGGCACCGACAAGATGCTACGCGACGGGATGTAGAAGTTGTTGAGGGAGGTGAAGGATGCGTTGTCCAGGGTGGGGGCCCCGGCGAGGGGCGCCGAAGTCGGCGTCAGTCGGCCGCCCTCCGCGAAGGAGTCCTGGTGGAGGGAGGCGTGGCGGCTTTGCCCTGCACCGCCGCCCCCCGCGTCCTCGCGGGGGCTCGACAGCGGCTCCTCCTCATCCGACGGGAGCACCGAGGGCGGGTGCGTTGCCGTGTACGCCTGAATCGATCGCTCGTCCATCGAGGTGTTCAAGCTGGGGATTTCGTTCTCGCGGTTCTCCAGCTTCTCCCATGGAATGTAGAACTTGAAGAGAAAGACATACAAGGGAAAGCCGACCACGGTGACGCCAAAGGCGGGGCCCATCCAAAGCGCGCGGATGCCGACGTTCGTGCAGAAGAACACAATCGCACCGACGGGGACGCCGACGATAGAGTACACAAGGGCGATGGATGCGGCACCGAGGGTCTGCAGCCCGCAGCCGCGCAGCACGCCCATCATGCAACTCTGAATGCAATCAAAGAAGTGGTACACGACAAAGAACGGGAGCAGTTGGTGGTACGTGTCGTACACCTCCTCGCTGTCGGTGAAAAGCCGAGGAATATACTGATGAAACAGCAGCAGGACAGCGATGTTCACCAAGGCGAATCCCATGGAAGAGCCGAGGCAAATAAAGGCGCACCGCTTCGCAAACTGCGGCTTGCCTTGGCCGAGTGCGTTTCCAATCAGCACGGCAGACTCGATGAACACCCCCGAGGTGAGACTCCACACGACACCGGAGCATTGATAGACAATGCTGAAGGCAGCCAGGTCGTTGGTAGAGGCGAAGCCAGCCATGATGAGATTGATTTCCAGCGACATCCACTCGCTCATCATCATCGCCATCGAGGGAAACGCAAGGCGGAGAAGTGGACGCCAATTTGCCAGCGCCGCCGGATCCCAGCCTCCCCAGGTCTTTTTGTACTTGCCCGTGGCGTAGAGGTAAATGAAGAGCGAGCTGGGCATGCACGCCATGAGAATGACCCATCCAATTGCCGCCCCATGAAAACCGAACAGCTTCAAGCACACCCACAGCACAAAGGGGAATGAGACAGCACCGACAATCAAGTTGACGGAGAGCTGCGTGTTCAGGTGCTGGCACGCGAAGTAGCGTCGCATCATCTCCAGTAGCATCACGGAGTACACACCAAACAGCGCCACGCGGCAGAACTGACCGGTGTGATGCGCCACGTGGACGTTCTGCCCAATTGCAATTAAAAAAGAATCGGAGAAGGCCAAAATGGGCCCGACGAAGGCGGAGACCACGAGCAGCATGAGCGACATGCGCTGCGCGTAGACGCCAAAGAGTTTGCTGTTCGGGTCACGTCCGTACGAGTGCGAGAGCACCGTCTCCAGTGCACCGGAGAATCCAGCAGCGAAGGAGAAGGCGGTGGCGTTGAGAAGGCCACAGGCCAGCGTCGTGGCTCCGAGGGCTGCCTCGCCGACCATCCGCCCCGTCATGGCTACCAACACAACGTTGATGGACATTTGCGCCACCGCTGCTAACCCAAGCGGGAGGCTGCGCACCACCACCACCGAAACGAGCTTCGCAGTGGACGCGCTACTGTCGAAGCCGCTCACGGTCACGGGCGGCGGCGGCGGCGCGGAAGCTTCAGGCGTCGCCATCTCTGTGAATTTGTACGCTACACAAAACAGTAACAATAATAACAATCAATAACACTGGCGAAGAAAGGAGTGGTAAGGGAACGCGGTCATGCGTGTGTGTTGTTAAACGGATAAAGGAGAATCGCAGGAGGAGGGGTAGAGACTGTCTGCTCGGTTGATTCCAAGATCTCGAAGGTAACCTACAAAAAACATGTATTTGTAGAGAGAGAGGAGGGAATCCAATCTGCTGGAAAACAGCTCTGATGAACAAGATTACGTTGGAAAGTGTGCGTGTGCGAGTGTGTGTGTGTGTTGTTTAAATCGCTAGCAGAAAATTAAGAAATGTTTAAACAAGTGGTACTCGGGATATTTGGTGAGAAAATCAAGAAACCACACTCCAGAAAATTAGTGGGATAGTTTTCTTTTTTATCCGGTGCGGCAGTTGCGAATATTCTCGGTAGAAGAGAAAAAATATATAGAGAGGGGTAACGTGACGCTTTACTGGATGGATACAATGAGCTCTGCTTTAAAACGTATTCGATTATACTCTTCCTCTTTCTTCGTATTCTCGCACAAAATTCGTGGAGACGAGGGAGGAAAATAAAACCGATTGGAATACTGAACAAATCAAACCTCTGCCATTGTGATCTCGAATGCGGTGACAAGGAGGGAGAGTTGAGAGAGAAAGAGAAAGAGAAAGGAGGCGAAGAGGGAGGTGATAATGTCAGCAGGAAATGGATCGGCAGATCGGTGGTCGTCACCCAACGCCGCATTCTGCGCGTTCAAAGGTCTCAGAGAAAAAAAGATGAAAAGGTAGTAAGATGTAACACAAAAAAGGTCTCGGAGGTTTTCGGTAAGTGAGGCGGGGGGGGGGGGGGGCACCGACACGTGGCCTTCTGGGGGCAAAGGTAGATCCTCGATTGCGTTCGGTTAATAATCGTTTTAACGCCACGTTAAGCTCGGCGCTCAATGACCTTTTCCATACACGTGATTTTCCTCGGTGTATGCACGTATGGCGTGCAGATGAAGGTGACAAATGAAGGGAAGCGCGCGGCGCCTGACACACTACGCTTGAGGTACAGTTGTCCTGGCAGTTTCCGAACTTGCCAACCTATCGCTGAAGCAGAACAATAATAATAAAACCCTTCAAGGCATCGCGTGGGGAGCGTTAGCGCAAGCAGAAAGTAACGGAACCGTGTTTAATAAAGAAACTTACGATAATGCGGAAGCATTGAAAGGTTGTATGACTAAATAATAACATGGTAAATCGCTCTCGTATAAAAAGAAAACACAAGCGTGGTGGCTCTCGCAGAGAGCGTCGCAACGATGACTGCGAATCCCTCTCACCGCATCAGCTGGACAGCGCGAAGTTGCGACAGTATTGCCGCGTGTCGGCGCGGCTGCTTCTGAAAGGCCCACCCCGCTCGCACATGTTCCTGTGCCCCGTAGTCGGTCAGCCGGCGCTGTGCGTTGTCGGACGCAGCGACTGACTTCTCCGCCTCCGCCTCACGTTTGAGCCACTCCTTCCGCGCCAGCTCATACCGCTGCACGAGCCACGTCGAGCTGAGCGCGCCTAATGCGCCTGCAAAGACGCGGATCTGCTGCCAGTCAGGCGGCAGCCACATGAAGGACGTCAAGTCGGTGTCCACCTCGGCGGTGTAGAAGGCCTCCACGGCTTGCGTCTCGGGAAAGCTCGGCTTCCTCTCCAGCAGTTGCCACTGCGCAATGGCAGAATGAAACAGCGCGAACTGCGCCACGGTCATCTCGTCGTCTACGTCGCGCCAGGACTGCGGAGGGTGCTGCACCAACTTGCGCCATCGACGCAACACGTGCAGCACTGCCAGCGGGGAGTCGTAGTTGTCCTTATGATTCTCCGCCGCGGTCCACGACACCACCAGCGCCTCCAACGCGCCCACCAGGCCGATGCCCGCCACGCCGTCCGTATAATCGCAGCCCAGCAGGGAGGCCAATGCAACGAGAATCGTCTTGGTAACGCCGCACGCCGCCAGCTCCGCCTGCTTGTAGGCTACCACGTTCTTTGACTGGGAAAAAAAACCGCGCAAGACGGTGGTGGCGCCGTGCACGAGCACATCGCTGTCCTCCGTGAAGACGGCGTCGACCAGTCCGTTTCGCGCGAGAAAGGCGCACTGCGCGTCGGCCTCGGCGGGGCTCAGAACGTAGGGCACACCGCAGCAGTCGAGCAGCTCGACGACGTGGAGGAGCTCGAAAGGGACAATGGCAACGCTGCTGCGCGTGGAGTTGAGGCGAGGTGCAGTCGTCGGCTCGGCGTCTGCAATGGAAGCAAGGTTGCTCTTGCTGGTCGGCGTTCGGGAAGCAGGCGGCGGAGGACTAGACCGGCCATCACCGCCACCACATGCTCTTGCTGTATCGCCTCCTTTCCCAAGAACCGAAGAAGAGCCCGTGGCAGACCCACCGTTAAGGGGAGGATTGAATCCATGCACTGTCGAGTTGCTCTCTTCGTCGCCATCGCTGCTGTTCACCACTACCACCATGGTGGGCTGCTGCTGCTGCTGCTGCTGCCGCAGCAGCGGCGGCGGTGGCCTCGTGTGATGCGTGCGCCCAAGCTTCACCGGAGTGAAGCCGTCGTTGTCATCGTCATCGCTGCCTTCGTGGGTCTTGTCGGCCGCATCGATGCGCGGGGGTGTGACAGCGGAGGGCTGCGAAATACCCCTCAACGTGGTAAGGTGCTGCAAGAAAAGTGCTGGGTCTAGGCGCTGAGTGAAAGGCTGCCACGCCAAGTCGGCGGCACCCGCAGCGCTGTCCATATCGCTCTCCTTCGCCTCCCCATCATCGTCTTCCTCCCACGTGCCACTGTCGCTCTGTTCCTCGTCTTTCTCTTCCGTGTCTTCACTCATTTCTAACTCTCCGTGAGCCTCATGTGTCGCATCCTCGTTGACATCGTCATCGGCATCGCTGCTGCCAATCCAGATTGCACTCGATTTAGGCACCTCGGCAGCCGTTCCCTCTCTCATCGCTGACCCTCCAGCTCCGTTTTCCGCCATTCTTTGGCGCTCGCGCTCTGGTGATGCGTGGAGAGGCGGCGTTCGCTGTGAGAGTGTGGTGAGGAAGTGGGCGAGGTCACCGCTGTGCAGGACAGCCGCGCTGCTCGCGCTTGACGGCGAGCGGGACGACGCATTTCGCTTCTCCACCTGCACCACGATGCCGCCCTCTGTCACGCTAACACCGCCCGAGGAGGACGACACCGCGCAGCAGTCCGAGGGCGTGTCGCTACCGTCGTCTACGTCTTCTTCATCAACGTCGTCGTAGCTCGCATCGCTATCCGTCACGCTGATCACATCTTCTCGCTCAAGTAGCTGCGGCGCCGAGTCATCTACGACAACAACACACGGGTGAAGAGGAGAGGGCTGAACGGGTGCAGAAGGCGACGCTCGACCGCTCTCTTGCGGATTCACACCGCTCTCCCTGACGTCCTCCACCGCGCGTCGGGGGCCCATAAAGAGCGAGGTGCTAGTGTTATGCAAGGCATTGTGCAAGACGCGTGCCTCGTGTCTTGTCCGCTCTTCCAGTATCCCTTCAACATCTTGCAAAAAATGGAGCGTGCTTCGACTAGACACCGCGTCCGGTGCGAGACGACGACGGCGGCAGTGATGATGATGACGAGGATGGTGGGATGAACGGCGCGGACCACAACGGCGTCGCTTTCCGGGACGAGGCAGAAGTGAGGCTGCGATGTCCTCCGTTGCTCCCTTGGCCTCGCCAACAGTACGAGAAGAATTCGCTACTTCTGTGGCCACAGCGCCTGAGGTGGCGACTCCCTCCGGCATCTTGTCAGTCGCGCTTGCGGGTACAACGGCGCTGTTTTTCGCGTCTGCAGCAGAGAAGCTCGTTTCGTTTTCGGCATCAGTCGATACTCCCTTCTTCAGCTCCTCCAAGTCAAGCGCGCCCGCCGCCACCTGCGCCATCAAAATTTGTTTAGCGCGGCGCTTCAGCAGCGCCTGTGCGTTTAGGGCGCGTAGCCGCATTCGTCGATAGTGCTCTGCGCCTTTGATGGAGGAGGCCCGGCCATCAAAGACGAAGACAGGTTTCATGCCGTAAAACAGCAGCTTGAGAATACGCGCCAGAAAACCTTCGAGTATTTTGTGCTCGACATCCTCGCCGGGAGCGATGCGGGCGCGAAACTGGGCAATCCAAATACTGGCGTCAATGGCGACGCGCTTCCCCTTGAGATCGTCCGGCTGCACCACCGTACCGAAGGAATCCAGCAGCCGCCAAAGCCCATGGACTCCCATGTATGTTGTTCGTGAATGCTCCGCAACGTGTCTAGGCGTATAAGGGCAGTTGCAGGTGCTTAACACAGTGGAGCCTTCACCTGCACTAAAACCTCGTCTTGTGTACTTCAAATCGCTGCAATGATTATTGGTCGATGAGGAAAAAAAAAGGGAAAAGCGGGGTTGAACAAGAGAAGGAATAATTGATCCCAGCCTAAAGGGTAGAAAAGCCAGCACCGCACAGCATTTCATACCATCCTTTCCGGCGAGGCATTTTGAAAGCAACACCATTTGCCATGCACGCATCCGCACGGCGGGAAAACTTCGGTGTAGCCTTCCGCCCGTTGTGCAAAACTGCATTCCACACTCGACCGCATCGGGCGGTCAGCGGCTCCCAAAAAGCCCAAAGTTATTCTTTTTTCAACAACAAAAAAGCTAACATCGGTGCTTTTCCTGTTTCTCATCGGTGTATAAAGAGTTAACCCGATTCGCGTATTTACTTAGTGGTTCCAATCTATCAGTCCCCTCTTCCCGCCCTTCCTCCTCTCACGCCAGCAGCCGAAAACGCCCTTGCACAAACTTGCGCGCAAAGGATGCGCTCGTCTTACGGTTGGTGACGTCGCTCTCGATGATGCCTAACGCTATCACCTCAAAGCCGGCGCCTGTGAAAAGCTGGCGAACTTCATCAACGGAGAAGAAGTGGCTTAACGTACCATTGGTGCGTTCGTAGGTGTTGGCGTCCGCCGCTGCAACACCGTTGCCACTCTCACCCCGCAGTTGTCGATTGGACTGCTGAAAGCGCGACTCTGCGTGATCGCTCACGGCGTAGTCGCGAAAGTACAATACCCCACCTGGACGCTTCATACACTTTGCAAGGCGCTGCAGCACCACCGCGTGCGACGGCACCGGGACCGAGCAGAGAACAAAAATAAGGGACACAAACTCCGGAAACGCGCGCGGCGCCGCCGTCGCCGCTGACAACGAAGAACACGCCGGCGCAGGGTGGAAAAGCGCACAGTCGGCCACGTCCGACTCGCTCGGGTTGAGCACGCAGACATGCACCTTTGCGGCCAGCGCCGGTGGCATCGACGCTATTTTTTCTTCGAGGAGGCGTATCGCCACGGACGAAATGTCAAACCCGAGCAGCGCACGCCACTGCGGCAGATGACCGTACTCCTGGAAGACCGGCAGCATCGCGTTGCCCACACCACACCCAGCCTCCATCCACGAAAAGGAAGCTGCGCCATCGGAAGCGACTGCTTCTGCGTCCTTGTCAGCACCTCCTTCAGGGACGGTCGTGTCAGCACCCACGGCGGTTTCTGCGGCCGCGTCGATCGCCGCACGCAGCTCGTGGAATTCGCGCAGGATATAATGCCGGTCCTTGTACCCGTTGACGGTGTTGTTGCGGTAGTAGAGGTCCCATTGCTTCTTGTGCATCTCTGCGTTTGGGCGGCGTCGGTGCAGTTGAAGGAGGCCGCTGCCGTAGGGGCGATAATCGCTCACGTACGGCTTACCTGGTGGCGAGCGACCACGCTTGCGACTGCCACCTTCACTGGTGGCGAAGGCTAGGGAAGAGGTGCTCGAGCCGTCGCCGGTTTCGGCTGTCGTTTCACGGAAAGACATGGGGAGAGTGCGCTACTTCTTTTTTATTCCTCCTTGACACAAGGCGACCTGAAAAGGAAAAAGTTCTCCCTTCCACATCCATGTGAAACGCAATAGACCAGAAAAGGGCTTCTGTGTTGCGCGGCACTTTAGCGTAGTGCTGCCTTATTCAATGGAGCTTCAATGTCTCTGCTTTAGTTTTCCTTTTTTAGGTGACGCTCTCAATCATTCGTGCGAGAAAGGCAGCGATGGGAAAGGGGAGGGGACGCAGCAGAGAAACGACGTTGGAGAAAGGTGCGACCGTCGCGATGACGAGACAATGGCGCTCACAGTTGTTCCTCTTCTTTTTCTTCTCTCTCGCGATGGTCGATTTAAATGCAATCCAGGGCTCTGGAAAACGGAGGTGAGAAGTAAACACACGAAAAACTCAGCGCTTGAGGTTGTTGCGTTGGTGTGTCGTACATGTACGGTGCGTAGTCGGGAAATCGTTGGGGCGTGCGACGTGGAGGCACAAGCCATCACCTCAACACTGCTCTGTTCAGTAGCACAGACACACACACTTCTGTTAGGTTCACAGCTTCACCTTCCCCTCCGCGAAAGGGTTGTAAAGCACAGTGGCACCCGTAATACGCACCCCCGCCGCGTTCCTGACAAAGTTTTTCGTATCCACCGCCGCGGCCGCCTCCTCCAATGCGTGCAGCACCGCATCGCCCGTCCTCGCATCGCCCTCATTGGTGCCCGCATGGGTGGTGGACTCCTCCCCCTCCTGCTCCTCCGCCGTTGTCAGAGTCGCCTCTACCACGGTCGCCGAAGCAGCGTCGTACACGCCCTGCAGGTCCACCACACCAAAAGCAGTGTACACGCCATCGAACGACGGCTGCGGGGATGTCGTGATGAAGAATTGCGAGGCGTTCGTGTCCGCCTTGGTACCTCGGTGCGCCATGGACAGCACCCCGCGCCGTGTGTGCGTCGTCTCCCCAAAGCCCTCGTCGCGAAAGTACCGACTAGTCGTTATGCCCGCTGCCTCCACAGAGGACACCACCGTGTTCTCACTTCCTTGGGCTCCGTCCGAAGAGGACGCTGCGCTAGGGGGCGGGAGTCGGGCGAAGATGGACTCGCCACCTTTTCCGCTGTTTGTCGGGTCGCCCGTCTGCAGGAGAATGCGGGGGAAGTGTCTGTAGAAGTGGCAGCCGTCGTAATAGCCTGAGGCACAGAGAGCGAGGAAGTTGAAGCACGCGAGTGGACACGTCTGATAGTGGAGGAGCACCGGGAGGTCTCCTGAAGTGGTGTGCAGAACCACGGCCATCTTGAGCGGCCCTTGTAAACCTGTTTAAACTCATCACGCGTTTTGTGCAAGTTGCGGTGCCGTTAGCATATATATAGTTCCATGGAGGAGTATCGACGGCCCGCGCACTTGGAGAAGAAAGGCGGAGGGGAGAGAAGACGAAATGCATTACCTTATTGCACTCAGAGGGTAAACTACGCGAGCAACGGGCACCTTGATCTCCTTCGTTTCCGCAGACAAAGCATGAACTTCACATTTTTCCGAAGTGGCAAACAACCGCGAAGCATGAATACAACAGTTCCAACCCAATCGTTCCTGTGTTCGACGCCGCTGGATTGCATGCTCGAAGAAGAAGAAGCCAGAGGTGCATGCTTCTTCGTCGTGCAGCCAAGGCACCGTAGTTAAAAGCACACTGGTGCTTTCCCATTCTTCTTAACACCGCGATTCTTCTTTACAATAGGCTACATTTTTTGTGGCCTTATTAAGTGTACGGGCCATCTCCCTGTTACACGTTGAGTTGCTACTCGCAACGCAAAACACACATTTCTGGGTTAAATACTCCGCTTTTCAGCACCTCTGCACACCTTCTCCCTTCCACCTCCTCCCAGACGCCCCTCCATTGCCAGCAAAAGTTTTCGTCAATTGCTATATAAAAGTCGGCGAGAAGCATAGTAAAAAGATAGAAATAAGCGTCAGGAGAGGTGGGGGTGTGGTCGAGAGAGAAAATCAAGCAACCAGACAACAGTAGAAAAGAAAGTGTGAAAAACAGGGGTGAACTTTACAGTCAAGCATATTAGAGCACACAGCAACCAGCGGCCCCCGCGTCCATCTGCGCACACAACTTAATACAGCAATGCGGGAAGGGGAAAAGAAAAGCTAAGCCAAAGGTGAAGAAAGAGAGGCCATCGGCAATAGTAATATGGTGAGGTTGTGGTATATAGAACCTGGAAAAGCCGCAGATACGTTTGACAAGCACGAGAAGATGAAAAGCAGAAACCTTTAGCAATTTTAAAATAATCAGTGTTCCTTGGCCCGCTTGATGTGTGCACACTGTTTTAACATAAGTGAGAAAAAAAAACACAACACGAGAAAAAAGAAGAATTTGGCCGGTTGTGTACGTCAAGTTAGCGAACAAGACGTTCGATGAGGGCGGTGCATGTCTTGAAGTGACAAAAGGGCGGTGAACGGAGGAGGGGGGCGGAAAACATGATAACAGAGATGTGTAGCAGCCGCAGCACCCCATCCAGTTCGCACGTAAGTAGAAGCAGAAAAAAAAGATGCACTGTTTTCCACTTTCAAGCATTAAACAGCAAGCAACTTTACCAACGGTGAGTGTTGCGCTCGACAGAACAACTTACAAAAGGAAAAAGGAGGTGACCCAAATCAAAACAAACACCTTGCTGGACTGCAAACAAACAACACAAAGAGAATACGCAGAAAGAGGGCTGCAAAGGGTGTTAGAGAGGAGCAGAAATCTTTTTAATGTTCGTTCACCTTCTCCTTCATTTTCGTCACCTTGCTCTTCAGCGTCGGGTTCTTAGAGAGATAGTTCTCCACCGCGGCGTGAATCGTCTCCTCCGCGAGCATCGAGCAATGCAGCTTCACTGGCGGCAACGACAGCTCCTGAGCGATCTCCTTGTTGGTCAGCTTCAGCGCGTCTGCCACCGTTTTACCACGAATAGCCTGCGAGGCGTACGAAGAGGCCGCGATGGCGCTACCGCAGCCGAAGGCCTTGAACTTCACATCTTCGATCACCATCGTCTCCGGGTTCACCTTAACCTGCATCTGCGTCATATCACCGCACTCAGGGGCGCCACGCAGACCTGTGCCGACGTTCGGGTCTTCCTTGTCGAGCTTGCCGACGTTGCGGGGGTTCTTGTAGTGGTCCTGCACCTTATCGCTGTACAACGTACGCATTGCGGTGCACTGCGTCGCAGCTGCAAGCGCCGCGGAGGCCATCGCCTGGCTGCCAAGGCGAGTGAAGGCGCGCATTTTTTTTTTGTTTTCTTTGATCTGAGGTCAGTGTTTTGCTGTTGCTTCCCGTAGGGCAGAAGGAAAGCGAAAAAGAAAAGATAGTAGTACTCGTAGTAAATATTTGTAGGAAGACGTAAGAGAGAAAAGTAACAGAAAATAGCGTCTTATGTCTCAAAACAATTTAAAGGTGAAAAAAAAAAATGTGAATAGTGTTGCGGACGCTGGCAAGTGAGAGGCAAAAAGATTATTAACGATTCAACTAAAAAGAGCTCACAATAGTGTGAGGTCAAGCCGATGAAATTTTCAGAAGGCGGTTTGCGTAGATCGAGTGGGAACAGAGGAGAGCTTCAGTAAAACAAAACACTTCTTATCCTGTGGTTGACGGCCCATGTAACAGTTTAGGAACGAACAAAAAAAAGACACGGGTAGGCAGGCAGAAACGTAAAACAGAGACGACGTGTGTCAGGGGCAAGGAAGGAGGGAAATGATTGAATGTACAGCGCACGGACGCGCCATCGGTGGGTGCGAGCCACACGCACTCTATCTTTTTTCTGTGTGTTGCTTTCTGGGCAATCAAAGAGCAACCTCTCGTCTTTGGCGCGTGTCAGCTTCTTCCACACAGCACATCTTTGTAGTGCTGCTGCGTCTTCCTCTGCAGGAGTAGATTTTGGGCACCTCTTCCTTGCTGAAGAGGAAGAGAGCTGGTAAGATGGCGCAACGGCAAGGACGTCGACCTTTTCAGCGGAAACCAGATGTCGTACGTAACGTACGGCTCGTTGTCACGCGGCAGATTTGTGCCGCATATGGTGTTTTTCCTTTCTCTCTCTCTTTGGGGGAGGTTTATTAGCACTTAAGGTCAGCGTGCAGCAGTGGCCTACAGACGACGCAGCAACGCTGTGAAACACACTGCGCCCATCTGGTCCTTTCCAGAGCACTTCAACGGTGAAAGTACGAAAACAGTCATCAAAATCTTTAGAAAAGAAAAAAAACAACGCCTACTCTTCCTTCGCCGGTTTTGAGTCCACAGACACCGCCGCCACAATTCTCTTCGTGGTGGTGGTCGGTGTGGTCGTGTCCACAAACCTACGCACCGCCGCCACCTGCGCCGCTGTCGGAGTGCCGGCCGCGCTGTCCAGATTCGGCTCCGCAGCGGCGGAGGCGGGCGACGCCGTGGCCGCCGCTGGTGGGGCCGCGACACCGGCATTCGCACTACTGTCCGCCAACTGCGGCGAGGCATCCGAGTGCGGCTTCAGCTCCTCCCACTTAATGTACCGCAACATGATGTAGATGTAAACGGGCGCGCCCACCACAGCGACCCCGACAAACGGGCCAATCCACAGTGCCCTGATGCCAATCTTGAAGTAGAAGAAGAGTAAAAAGCTGAGGGGCACGCCGACGATGCAGAACGCGGTGGAGATGATAATCGCGCCGAGCTTCTGCATCTCGCAGCCGCGAAAGACGCCCATAATAGTGCTCTGAAAAACATCGAAGAAGTGGTAGGGCATCACAATATACATCAGCTGGCGGTAAATCGGGGTCACCGCCGCGATCTCCTCCTGTGGGACGAAGAAGGCCGGGATGAAGGGCTCGAAGAGGAGGCACAGCACCACGTCGAAGGCGGCGACGCAGATCACGACTCCAACCGCAGTGAAGGCAACCCGCCGAGCCAGCATGGGTTTTCCCTCCCCGACCGCGTTGCCCACAAAGACACTCGTTAGGATCATCACGCCGGAGCCCATGGCCCACATAACGCCAAAGACCTGCAGGGTGATGGTGTAGGCGCCGAGCTCGGCCGGGGTGCCGTAGCCGCCCACGAGACCGTTCACCTCCAGCGCCACCCATTCGCTCAGCATCATGCCCATCGAGGGGAGGGCGATGGCGACGAGGCTGCCGACGTCCTGCGTGCAGCGGACATCCCAGCCACCCCAGGTGGTCTTGTAGATGCCGGTGAAGCGCAGGTATGCGATCAGGCCCCCCACCGTGCCGGTCATGAGCACCAACCACGCAATCGGCGACCCAGAGAAGCCGAAGAGCTTCACGAAGATGTACTGCAAGACCGGATTCGCAAGGGCTGCGCAGAAGAGGGCCACGGGAAGCGGCTTGGTCAGGTGCTGGCAGGAGTAGTACCGCTGAAGAAGTTGGAAGCCCATCGCCGCAGGGATGCCGAAGACGCCCCAACGGCACCACATTCCCGTGTAGTGCACAATGCTGGGGCTCATGCCCACGGCGGTGAGAAAAGCATCAGCAAAGCACAGGATAAAGCCCAGCGGGATGGCGGCCACCAGCAGAATCAGGACCATGCGCTGGGTGTAGATGCCAAAGATGTGAATGGTGTGCGGCACCAGCGGTGGCACCGCCGTCCCATCGCGCGCCGCCGTCGCCTCCGCCTCCTTCTTGCGCTTCTCTTCCTCGCGCAGGAAGAGGCCGAAGCTATGGGAGAGGACCGTCTCGAGCGCGCCGCACAGACCCGCGCCAAAGGCAAAGCCCGTCGCGTTCACCAGACCGAGGGCGAGGGACGCGCCGCCCATCGCCTGGAGGTTCACCATCTGCCCAATCACCGCGATAATCACCAAGTTCAGCGAAAAGGTCGCGAGGGAGGAGAGGCTGACCGGGTAGCCCAAAAAGAAGAATTTCTTGATGATCTCCTTGGTGGGGATGTCCTCGCTCATCTCCGCCTCCGGGTTGCTGGGGGCGATCGAGCCGCCGCCGGCCTCGGAGCGGTGCCCGGTGCTGGCGATGGCGTGCGCGATAGACTCCAAGTCGGCCGCCGCACCGCGGCCCGCCATGGGGAAGTGCGACGTGAAGGAGACATTCTCCAACACCACATCGTTCTCCGAGTCGACGTGGGAGCGGACGGACATGGCGCCTGAGTGTGTCGGTTTCTCTTTCTATTCGCTTAACGACGAGCAACGCTTTGTTTTAAATGCGTGTTATTCTTAGTTGGGTTCCTCTTATGGATCGCAGTACACCATGTCACTTTTTCTTTTAAGTCGAAAAGAACACTAAGGGGTTACAACCGAAGTTTACGGCTTGTGATAAAGGCCAGATTCGCTTCTCTTTAAAGAGTCATGTGGATGCGCCGCAGAAATACAAGAAGCAGTGAAAATGGTGTACACTGAAAATACCTTCTTCGGAGAAGGCGGTCACGCAAGCCCACAAACACACACACACACACAGACAAAAAAAAAGGCGGTCACCACGCGACGATGAAAAGCAGGTGTCGATAGGCGCGCGCCTCCCTCTTGTGCAGATGTGAAGGGGAGAGCACGAAAAGAAATAGCTTCACGAATAAACAAGAAATGAGTAGTTGCTGGAGACGACAGCACTTCGTAAAAAGCACCCTAATAAAGTTGGCTTTGCTTAAAAAAAAAAACCCTGTTCTGCTGGTGGTGAACCGGTAATGCGCATGCTTCCGTCGGGCAGGTGCGTCCACGAAACAGGAGGATAGATCGAATGAAAAGAATGTGATACAAAAGAACACAGAAGATGTCAACCACCAAAGGGAGAAGACGCACAATCGCGAAACGATTTCTTGTCGACGTTTACATTGCCTCCAGAGGCGTGCATTGGGGTCTAGTATTCCATGAAGATAGAGTCATACATTTTACAAGTTGCTGTACTGCTTCGTCGAATGAAGAAGCTGCTATCTTTTATGGGAGCAGAGCATCAGAATTTTGAAAAAAGAAGGGTTGGCCGAAATTCCGCGTTCCAACGTTCCTTATACGTGACCCCGACAGCAGTCTATTCTCATTCTTTTTATTTCACTTTGCGGATATCCATTCGCGCTTTACCCCGGATTACTCGATTCAAAACAGCTAAAGAACTTAGTACTGTACAAGAACAACTGAATTACAGAATAGAAAAGCGGCAACGTTGAAGCGAACAAGAAGGGGAGAGGAGGAAACCAACGTAAAGAAAGAAGGCCGAGACGGCGTACGGCTCAGTTCATCTCCTGAATGCGTCGCCGCTGAGCAGGCATATCGTCATCGCTCGTGTCTTCGTCATTCAAGTCATCCGCGTCCATCACGGCCACCTCGCCGTCGTCGCTATCACTGCTGGAGAAGTGCCGCAGCACACGCGTGGACAAATTTGGACTCACCTGCGCAGCTTCCTGAGAGGAGGGCCCGCTTTCCCTGGATGCTCCGTAGCTAGAATGCGCCGCCTCGGGCGAAGGCGTCAACGCACTTATCAAGTTCAGCATCGCCTGCGCCTGCTCCACCTTGCGGCGGTGCAACTCCCGCTGATTCTCCGCCGTAGGAAGCAAAACGCCGGTGAGAGTTGTCATGCCGCCATTCAGCGCAGCAGCATCACACGCTTCTAGCACACCTGCCACCACATTCAACTCCACCACCGGCTGTCCGCCCCGCTCTGGTGCGCCCCGCTCCCCTTCGTCGTTGTCGCCTGAGGCGGTCCACGCGGGCTCCATTCGCACGGCGGGCACCTGCGGTGCCATAAAGAGAAACTGCTCGATTTGCGACGTCATGCTGCGGAGCGAGTGGGTGTCGATGTCGCGGGTGTTTGAATGGGATGGCTGTCGCAGTAGACTCGCCACGTGGTACGCCATGGCGTCCTCTGACGTGTCAAGGCGCCTATTTGGATGGTTCATTGTCTGGGCTGCTGCCGTTTAACGAGCTCAAAAGCGTTGTGTTTTAAGAGAGAAGACAAAAAAAAAGCACTGGGGAAAACAAAACAATTGCGGTATTTGCTGCTTTGGAGCAGCTGACCGTTAAAGTACTTGTATATCGATTAGCGTTGAAAGACAGAAAGTCTGTGCATACGCCTGACGCTTGTAAAAAGCAAGACAAAGAAGGAAGGTGTCACGGAGACGAGAAAGGAGGAGGTGACCATCGCAGATCTGTTGTTTCTTTCTTTACTTTCTTATTTCAGTTGACGAAAGCAACGAGCGCGATCAGGCCATGCGAAGAAAAGCGGCGATCCCGCTCGCAGTAAACGTTGAGCAAAAGCATGTTCTTTTTCTCCGTAATCATCACAGAGGGTGAAGGGGAGGGGAAGCGGAGGGGTGATGAGTTTGCACCACAGCTGCGTAAGTCGTTGGGCAAAACAGAAAAAAGTTAGATTTTAGCCTTCAGGAAAGAGATGCCAAGGAAAAGGATGGAGCGTAGAGAATTCATTTTCCAAAGGAAGAAGACACACGATGAATGGCCAGGAGGAGTAGAAACAAGCAAAAGAAAAAAAAGGAAGGGTAGGATAATACACGTGGCTTAGTATCCGATGTCACGCAGATTGCTGCGTGGTTTACGGCGGGCGCGGAGGTACTTCTTCCAGCTGCGCACGTACCACTCCGCCTCAGTCGAGTTCGTCGCTTCCACTAGAAAAGCGTGTGTGGGAGAGATGATGCACACCAGCTTCGATGCATCGCGGAATCGCTCCCGCTGCACACGGTTCAGGAGAATGAGTGGCTCTTCGTTGCCACGCGTGACACGATCCACATCGGTCATTCGAATGGCGCGGCAGTGATCCTCGCCAAAGAAGTGCTTGGCGCGCTCATAACTCCGCACACCGATGGGCATGGACGGCATCGAAAAAGAACCGGGGCTGCGGTGGTTGTGGAGAGCCGCATGCTCCTTCAGCAGCTTCGCATCCGCCACACATTCCTTGAAGCGACCCGCAGGCACGGTCACGACGCAGTCTTCGTCGGTGGTGACAAACACGTAGGTGGCCGTGCTGTCGTCGTGCGGCACAGCAGAGGCAGGCGTGCCATTACTCCCTGCAGACGACGTCTGCACTGGGTACTTCAGAAATAGGTGCGGTGTTGCGATGACGGAAAGCAGCGGCGAAACGTCAAACGCGCTGGGGCGACGGAGGGGGGAGGCGGAGCGGCTGCGGAGAAGGCGGCTGCTGCTGCTGCTGGGTTTCGCGGTGAGCGCGTTGGGGCTCCGGCGGCGGTGCGGCCGACGCCCATCACGTCGAGCCGGTGAAGACGGTGAAGAAGAATGACGCCATCTGCTGCCGCCCGAGTCGTGGTAGGGGTGAAGCAGCGAGCCCGTGTTCTCTCCGCGACTGTAGGGTAACGGACTGCTGTAGGCAAGCCGCGGCGTGTATGAAGGCGCCACGCCATGGCCGTACCAGCTCAAAGGACGCACAGTGGAGTTGGAGAGAGGGCGTGTGTTCAGGTGGCATGCAGCCAGCGCCGGCGGTGAGGTGCTGCGGGCGCGCGGTACTGCGGCAGTGTCGATGTGGATGGGCTCGTACAGGAGAGAGTCTCTCGCCGTCGTTGTTGCTCGGAGAGCACTCGTTGCCTTCCATGCAGGCACCGAAAGCGAATTGTTTTGTTCAGGCAGTGGAGACGCGGAGTGTCCCTTCACATCCATTTGAAGCTCCGTCGGCTCCAGATAGCGTCGTGACTCTGACGCCGCAGTGGCGGCATCGGCAAAGACGTTTCCGTCCGCTGTAAAGAACGGAGCCGCCTCGCTGCGAACAGCATCTATCGCTACTCGAGGAGGGGGTGTTGGCTGTTCCTCTGTTGCGGAGGGATTCGACAGGGTGGCCGAGAAGGATTCCTTTCGCGTATAGGGCAGCTGCGCAGACTTCGTCTGTGCGGCTAATGTTGATGACGTTGATCGTGATGGTGGCGGCTCGCTACCTCTTCGTGGAGTGGCCGTTGTCCACCTCGCCGCTGCCGCTTCCTCCTCCCTGTTCTCATCTTCCACAAGCGAATTGAGTGGAGGTGCCACCACTGGTTTGGCAGGCCCAGGCACAGCAGTCACCGGAGCTGCTGTTCTTGTCTGCGTCGCCTCGCTGCGGGTCGCACGTAGCACGACCAGCGGAGGTCCCGGTGCCCGTGAAGGCGGGAGCACCGCAGCACCCGCAGAAGCAGAAGTAGCCGCTGCGGGGTTTACTTGGCGGTGGCGGCGACGGTGAAAGTGGCGCTGCTTCTTGGCCGCCGCAGCGTCGGCCTCCGCCGTTGCTGCCAAGGCATGTAAAGAGGATGTTGCCGTCAATGTGTCAATGGTGGAGGCGCTGAGAGACGCCGCAGTAGAGGAAGAGGGAGGTGCACTCGTGGCTGGTTGGCGGAGAATTTGCGAAGTGATCTGCGACGAAGGAGTCGAAAATGGTGGCGGTGGCGGTGGTGTTCTTGGTGGCTGTGCCGAGAGATGCAGCGAGGGCCGCACCGCAGACAGCGTAGAGGGGGGCGTGGGAGAGAGTAAAAGATGCTTCAGCTCCGACACGTCGTTGATATCCCGTGACGGCGGCGCTGATGATCTCCAAGTCGACTCGTCGTTAACGTCCTCAGCGCGTGGTTTTGGTGCGTCCTCACTTTGGGTGCCGCTGTCCCTCCGTTGCCGCCACGGTTCGTCATCCTTACCACCGTCAGAACTGTTTCGACTCCGTACAACGCCCTCACCCAACCCGCTGTTGGACGTTGCGTCGACGGTGCTGTTGTCGACGGTGCCATTGTTGTACGTGAGACGGTGCAGCACCCGCCACCACTCGTCGCACGCCGTCGCCGACGACGCTGTCAGAAAAAGAAGGCGGTGCGAGCCTGGAGATCCCAGTTGCTGACGAAGTCGCAGCTGTCGCGGCCCCACCTTTTCCACGCGTACGATAGAAGACACGCGCGCGTACACGAGCGGTTCCGCTGCCGCTGTCGTCGAGGCGGACTCGCTGCCGGTGAGCACGGTGGGGGTGAGTTCGGTGTACAGCGCGGGATAGAAGTGAGACTGCTCAACGGTGCTGGAGGACGATGCTGTGCCGCCCGAGACGGCAGGTGGCAGTATCACGGTCCAATCCATGGCGCCGCTAAGCCCGGAGAGCGACCAGTCATCCAGGTGCACCGTCATGATGGCGGATTCGTGTTGTTCCTCTATAGTAAATTCAATAAGAGCTGGAAGAATGTCGAGTAAAGGGGAGTATATGGAGAAACAGAAGAGGTGATTGGTGCCGAATAAACTCTATTTGATTCGGGTGGCAATGCTGGCACACGAAGAGGGTGTTCGCTATGTGTCGTTCCTCTCCCACATGCCTCTTATGCATCTCAGGGGCACCGTCGCTTCGCAGGTGCCTTTCGCAGTGTGCCGTGGTGGGTTCTCATCGGATAAATAAGAAACAAAGGAAGGTGGGAAGAGAGGGGGTTCAGAGGTGGAGAGAAGGCACATTGAGAGGATGGAGGGAGTAAGACGATCACACGAACCGAAGAAGCAACAGTTAGTGATCTCCACCAAGCGAGAAAACAACAGTCGTGTGCTTCTTTAGTGTTTGCTACACAGAAAGCAGGCAAAGTCTAGGGGTGGAATGCCAGGAAACAAAAAGTGTCGTGCCATCCAGGTTGCCAAAGCGACTACTAGAAGGAAAAAAATGATCTGTTTCCGTTCTTGTGAATTATATATGTGAAGTTGACACACGCACACACGCATACACACGAGTTTTTGTTTCACAATGGGTTATCGCTAAAATGCGGCCGCTGGAAAGAGGAGCCAATCGCAGTTGTAAAAAAAAAAAAGCGTTCGCATAGCATTTGTGTGATTGTTGTGGTGCTCGATGCGAACTTCCTTCATCAGCAGCGCAGGTACGTCGCCTGCATTCGCCCAAGCTCGCCGAGTTCGGCGGTGTAGTGCACCTCCAGCCCCTCACGCAGTGGACTCACCTGCAACAGCGCCTCGTCCACAAAAATGCGATCTTGCCGGCGGTTAGTGCCAAACGGCTGAATGAAAGCATGCCGTGCGCGCACCTCACATACCGTGCCCTTCGCATCGGCGACATTGGGAATGTGATTCTGGCAAAGTGGGCAGCGTGCCTCGATGTAGACCAAACCGCACAGGTGGCACCTCGCCGGCGTGAAGGGGATCTCGTCATCGCGAGACGCCGTTGACCGCTGCATCTCCGCATCTGCCGCGGAGAGGTTTGGCTCGCCTTCTCCTCCTCTCGTCTTGTTCGCCATCGTACCCTCTTGCTCACCTGTGTCGTTTGCACGCTCGGGGAAAGTAGAAAGCAGCGCTGCGCTCCAACCGCTCCGCTCCAATCCGCAGTGCATGCAGTAGCGCTCAAAATGCACGTTCGCGCGGTGGCAGTCGTGACACTCCCAGCAGGTCGACACAAGGGAGTCTTGCACCACCGGTCGCAGGGCGAGGCAGCCGGCACACACGTAGCGGCCCACATCGTCGTTGTCGTTGACGATGCCGCACTCCTCACAGGTCCAGCGTCCACCGTCTTCGCGAAACGGGCAAAGCTCTGCGGGGTGCGTCCCCAGGCACAAGTGGCACAGCTCCTCCGCAGTAAAGTGCGTGTCGGCGGCGTACCGACCCACCGCGGCATCGCGGCACCCGGTCGCCGCCAAGCCGCACCGCGTGTCGACGTGCAAGAGGATACTCTTCAACAGGGCAGAGAGGCGCCGAGCAGCGAGAGAGAAGGGCACGTGTGACCGCAGCCCGTTCAGTGAGCGACCGAGCACCGTCGCCACGTCCATGCGCATGGGCAGCCACGCCGCGGCACCCAAACCGCTATCCGTGTTTGTCCATTCATGCAAAAGGTGTGCGAGCGTTTTCTCAAACGTGGGACGGCGTTGCAGAAAAGTGGCTTGGGTGCCTGCGTTGGTCGTGGTGAGAGCAGAGCGGGGAGAAGGGGGGACAGCGGCGCCGCGGCTCTCAGCACCCTCCACCGCATGCCGCGCCGTTTGCGCGCACCACCCGTCAATCACTTCACACGTGTGCCGCACCGTTACCGCGCTCCACCACACAACGTCGGAGACGGCCGCAGCACCGAGGTGGTCGTGTCGGTGGTGGGCCGGCTGTAGCACAGGTTCCACGTAGGCAGCACAGTGCGGGCACACCGCCGTCCCAGCGTACGGCGAAAGCAGCGGCTCTCCGCACTGTCCACAGGCACGTGGTCGCAGGACACATCGCCCTCGTTCTTCGCACGGCGCCCCGCAGCTGTCACAGCACGCAGGAAGCAGTGAGGCGTCCTCTTTCCAAGGCTGGGTGTGTTGGCAGTGAAAGCACCAATGAGAGATGTTAGACGCCTCGCTCTTTCCTCCATTCGCACATGAATTCAACGATGCTTCCGTAGAGATGGGAAGAGAAGCCGATGGTGCCCGTACCGCTACTGCTGCTGCTGTATCTTCTTCTTCGCGACCGAAAGGGTCATCGCTTCCTCCGCAAGCGGAGCACACCACCGTGAAAGGATTTGCCTCCTCGTGCTGGCAGTGACGACACACCCGTCGCACCTCGATCGACTCGCGGCACAGGGCGTGCGGGAGGCACTCTACCTGCGGACAAGACGGACAAATGCGTTCCAGCGTGCTGCGGCGCTGCTGGCAGCCCGCGCAGACCCACACAGCGCTGTGGCATGCGGCGTAATCCATCTTAAAACGGCCACAGGCGTGGCACACGCCAACCGCAGCCGCATAAGCCGCCTCTTTGCGCTTTTGGCGCGACACCTCGTCTTTTGCCCATTTGTCGCTGGGAGTGGTCGGATCCGCCGTGTGGCAGTCACAGAAGCTTTTCCGCAGACACACCGGACCCGACTCGTTTGTACGACACGCACCCTCGCGGAAGCGCGGGCCCGTCGGTTGCCCGCAGCGGAAACACAGCAACGTCTGCTTTGCCGGGTTACGAGCTCCGCAATCACGGCACTGCCACGCCTTGCGCGCCACGGCGCTAGCCAAGTCAGCCGTGGAGAGCAATGCCGTCCCACAGCTCAGACACTGCCGCAGACGCTCGTCTTGCGCGTACCCGCACGTGCCGCACAAAACGTGGCTGTACCGCAGAGCTGAGCAGAGGCAGTAGTTGTAGCGGTCACTATTGTGGCGGCCACAGGCAGCACACTTCCACAACTGGCATGACGGACTAAGCCGGGCGTCGCGGTGCCAGATGGCATCGCTGTCGACGTGCCACAGCACTGCCAGATGATCAAAGACGGCGGCACGGCAGAAGTCACGCGCGTAGCACAGGGCGTAGTAATGCAGAAAGGGAACGTTTTGCGTCGAGGCGTCCACCCTGCACAGCAGCTCCTGCAAACACAGACTTTGGTCCATCCAAGCGCGAAAGGCCAAGACAAGTGCGGCGGTGAGCGACGTTGCGTAGCTGTCCACGTGCAGGGCCGTCTCCACCAGTTCGAGAATCATGTCGGCGTTGAGCTCGTCGCCGACGTAGAGGAGAGCAGCGCGGACGACGGGAATGACGCGGTCCAGCACCTCGTGCGGCGTGGCCGTGTACGGGGGTGATGCAGTGTCGACGGTTTTCTTTCCATGCAGAACAGGCGGCTGCTTGTGCACCGCGTGGTGGAGGTCGCGAATGCGGTCGCACACACCCGCCAGGACGAGCTCGACGTAGTGGCTGGCGAAGAGCGCGCCGTTGTGGAAATCGATCAGCGCGACGTAGAGCGCGTCCACCTGCGCCGCGGTGCCCCTCTCGCCGACGAGACGGCTCACCGCCTCCATGCACTGCACCACGGTCGGCGGAACAAAAACCCACCCCTCCGGGCGTGAGAGGCCGAGCTCGGCCAGCGCCGCCACCGCCGCCTCCGCGTTGCGCAGAAGCACACACGACATCACCGAGTGTGGCGTTTCGCGGAGCGCCGACGTTTGGCCAGGTAACCTGCAGGCGTAAAAAGCGCGCACGTCGGCGGCGTAGCCCAGAACGTTGAGCACGGCATTTACATGCACGAGACCGCCTTCGATCTGCTTGAGCTCGCGACCACTTTCCAGTAGAGTCCTACGCGCATGCAGCAGCGGCTCCACTGTCGTGCGCGGCGCCACAAACAAATCCTGTGTTTCTTGGAAGGTGAACGGTCGTGCTGCTGCCGCTGTTGCTGCGAGTGCCGCTACATAGACGGAGAGCGACACGCCTCGCTGCCCTACGTGTGGCACACACATGCCGCAGTTGGAGAGAAACCGCAGGGCCACAGGAACAGAGGCGAGGCCCTCCTCTACAAAGTACCGATACGCAGCTACCAAGGCAGGAAAGGCGGCTCCCTTTAGTACGGCCATTGTGAGTACCGCGCAGTCGTGCCGCGTGTGTTCGTCCGTAGACGGAGGAAACTGACACTGAAAGCACAGTTGCAGGCGATGACGCTGTGCGGGGTTGAGTCCAGCGGAGTCGTTGCCCTGTCGTTTGGCACTGCCGTTGCCGGTGGTCATCGACGTCGTCAGGAGTGGCAGAACGCGCTGAAGACAGACTTTCACGGCCGAAGCGCTCAAGCACGGGTGCCAGTGTCGTGACCCGTGGAAGCTCTCTGCTACCTGAGAACAGTGCTGCAGTGGTGCCTCCGTCGGCGACCCCACCGCGCTGAGGTGGCTCATAAGCGAAGAAGGCGTCAGACTCCCAAAGGAAGACCTGCACACTTGCAGTGCCTCCAAAAACGCACCCAACAACGTGTCCGAGGTACTCTCCAACAAGGTCCGCACAGTGGACTCGACATGAGCAGCAGAAGGCGCGTCAGCAAGCTGTGCCCAATGCGCAAAGAGGGACTGCATCATAACGACCACACCGCGTTCGTTTTCCGCATCGGTGCTCGTCAACAGCTGACAGAAGCACTGCACAAAATCTGCCTCGGGCAACGAAGTGCCGTGGCGGGTCAAGGCGTCGCACAAGATTTCCACAAGAGGGAGCACAAAGCGACTCCACGAAGCATCTTCGTCCGTGACTGCGCCGGGAACACTGGCGCTTGACGCACCATGGATATCGCTCGACAGCCAAGTTATCTCGTTCGCCGCCGAGGCGGAAGATATCGCTTTTGCTTGAGAAGCCAGCGCCTCGGCGACGCAGAAAGACAGAGCTGTGGAGTACAGAAGGGGGCAGGCGGCCAAGACGCGACTGCGGCGGAGGCGTGAACTCAGGGCCGCGACAGCTAAGAAAGCGGACGAGGAAGACCCTACCGTTGCTTTCTCTGCCCCCGACTTCACTGCGGCCGCGTCAAACGCTTCGTCGCGGCTGGGGCGGTGCTGCGGCGGTGCTGATGATCGAGGCAGCGCCAGGAAACGAGGAGCGGCAGAGGAGGCACGAGGGAGGCGACGCAGCGCGACAAACGTCCGCGATTGCCTAGCAGGCGGAAACAGGTGTGTTAAAGAGCAGGAGGAGATGTGTAGTGAACGTTTACGAGTGACTCGGCTTGGCTGGAAATGAGCCCGGTGAGCTCCGCACTCCAGCATTTTTATGGATCGCAGAGCAGGAAGTCTGTCGGCATGGTGAGGCGTTTGAATTGGCCAGGGTGAACGTAGTGCGGCGATAGATCGGGTGTCCAATCTGGGCTTCATTGTCGGCACTTGCGCATAATGGTGTGCGTGCGTGTGTGTTGCGATGTTGCCTGCTAGATAAGAAAGGGGCGAAGTATGCGAAGGAGGTACCGCACCTCGCATAGGCAGCTCTGACGGTGCTAAAACGTTTGCAATGGATGATTAATAGAGATCAGAAAACGTCGTAGGGGTCGGGAAGAGAAAAGAATGAGAAAGGGAGAAATCTGAGTTGGCGTTTGATGGAGCGTCGAACGCATCACACATTGCCGCGCGTTTGACTTCACGCATATGGAATTGCTCAAATAGCAAAGCTCCTGGGATAAAAAAAAAACTAAAAAAAGAAACAGGAAAGCTTCCATATTCGTTTTCTCTAAAGCAACTTCAAAAACAGGTGCGTCTTCATCTCATTTTAATCATGGCTAGCCGGAGACGCTGAGAGGAGAAGAGTGACGAGGTTGTTGTCGTCGTCAATACGACACCACAGCGGCCTTAGACGTGTCTCTCAGATATATTTTTGTGTGTATGTTGTTGTTGCATTTGTTGTGTAGATTTTTGCGTGCCACGGCGAAAGTTCACTCGGTACTACTAAAACAAAACAAACAGAGCTACACATTCACATCGCGCCAGGTGCCGAAGAGGAAACAAGAAGCAAAAATGGCCGAAAGAAAATGAACAGCGATGTCACTGTGCAGGGTCGGAAGAACCACAAAAAAAAGGACTAGTGCAAGGAAAGGCGAGACACGCCCCAGAGGGCGCAGGCGGAACGCTGAACTACAAGTTGCACCTGGTCGAAAAACTGAGAGTGCCGCCGCCCGCCTCACCTCACCTCACCTCACCAGCAACATCAACTCCAAGGCCTCCTTCAGCGACAACGAGAAGATAAAAGCGTCCTTCACGCAGTTTCGACGGAAAGCAGGGAAGAAAAGGTATTTCTCCACTTTCTGTTTACCTTCTCTTGTGTTGGTGTGCCTGACTGTTTACACGGAAACGGGGCGCTTGTCCTCTGTCAGCGGGAACCCGGGAACCATATCGTGCACAATCTCGTCCGGGATGATCTTGTGGCCGAACGCGCTCGTCATCGAACCCTTCTCCCAGTTCGTCGGCGAGAACTCAGCGCGCATGAGAGAGCGGTTGGGCTCGCGCCACATCACCGGGTTCGCCGGGTCCTTCTCATCCCACCCGCTAAGTCGCTGCGAGGTCGCGAGGCTCCAGTAGTAGGACGGCATGTAGTAGGGGATGCCCAGGTACAGAATGCTAGGAAAAAACTTTTTGTCCTCGGCGGTGTAGTCCTTCGTCAACTCCATGAACTTACTCTTGAGGAGCTGCAGCCTGTACGTCTCGTGGGCCCGGCACACCATCCACGCCTCCTCGAACTCGTGGCAGTTCGCCGTGCCCCACGTCACGGGCTTCAGGTTGCGCATGCATCGATTAAACGGAATCCAGCGGTGCACACACTGGTCGCGGTAGATAATCGGGATTTGGTTCAGCTCCATGAAGTCGCGGGACACCGTCATGGGACGGCGTTGATGTCCACGATCGGCACCGTAGGGGTCCAGCTTGTTCCACAGCAGCGGGTTGTCATAGGGTCCCAGGTTGATCGGCGGCATTGCGTCGCCGGGCTTCGCTGTGGCCAGATCATTGAGATACTCCGTCATTGTCTAGAAAAAAAAATAGTAACAAGCAGAAAAATAGAAGAAAAAAAACAGGAGAAAACAAAGTAAACCGATAAAGCGCAGATAGAACGAGAAAAAGATCCCGTCGAATCACGGGGGATGCTACAACTTATCCTACGTACTTCCTCTCCCTTTTTTTGTGTGTGTGTTTGGCTTACGGTGGATCCGTGAATGTGGACAGATGAAGCCGGAACGTTTTCAGCAGCGAGCTTGCAACGCTTATGTCTTGCTCGTTGATGCACAGAAGAGCCGCACTGCTATCGCGATATAACGGCACCCTACTTGGGGAAAAAAAAACTACAAGGTGAAAAGGTAAAGCCTATTGTGTGTGCTACCACACCGCCCAGTGAGCAGGTCCAAAGCGCCTATTCCGTTTTCCGATGACTCTGCGGGCGACAGCTGCTTCAACAGATTATTTTTCTTCTTTTTTGAAATGCACGCGCTGCCCATAAGAAGAGAGCAAGGAAACAAAACGAAGTCGGCCGAGGAAAGACAATCGCCAGTGACGATGATGGGGAGAAAAAAAAACATCGAGTTCCATTTTGAGGGCCTTGTCCTTTACGCATCTCATGGAGAGAGTCGAGAATGTAGGAACGGAAACCGCACGACAACATAGAGACCGCTGGCGTGTATGAGAGTGTCTCACCTGTTTACATCGCCGAGTAGAAATCTCCATACCCCCCTCGCTTTCTACAGCGGTTTTTGTTTCGTTCTCGGCGAAGTAGAAATGCGGTTTGTTGTCCCGCTTTGTTGTTATGCTCCCTTGACTGAGTTTCTGGCAATAAGTACTTTCTTTTGCCCTCTTTGCAGCTACAAGGCGCATCTGCGAGTGTTGTCCATGGGAGAAAAACAACACCATGCAGGTCTTGACAAAGATAAACTGAAGACGAATCGCAAAGGTGAAGGCCCATGACCACAACGAGAAAAGAGGAAAAGAAGAAGAGCAGTCTTTGTTTATTCCACCCGTACGAAGAGCGCAGGCTCGGCTTTCCTTTTCCCGCGCCGTTCGATTATGGTTTAACGCACATTCCAACAAGAACAAATGACTGGTTATCCTCACCTTCGTCACTCTCTTACTTTTTTTTATCGTGTCGTCTGCGAGCAACATGAACATTTCTCCTCAAAAAAAACGTTAGGTTTTCGAATTAAAGTGGGCGAGTCACTGAGGCACCTCAAACTCCTGTGCAGGTGCGCAGAGACGCATCGAAGCCTTTTGAAATTCACTTTCTGCCTTTTGCCTTTGGTGGTGAGCCGAGGCGTTTCGCTTCAGACCCACCAGCCGACAAGGAGGAAGGGGGGGGGGGAGTGAGGGAGATAGTATACCTTATACATTTGACGCTAACAGTTTTACAATACCGTTTTATATGTAGTTGATTTGCTGTTACTGTATTGTAGCGCAGCGCGTGCGGGAGAAGAAAGAAAGACGTTTTCAAAATGAATATACGTGCACCGGCTTTTAAAGAAGAGTTTAATTAAGGTGTGTTTGCCTTTTTGATGGATTACGACGGGTTTCGGCGCTTCCCTCTTCCCCTGCCATTCACGTTCCCTTCCTTCACCACCGTCCACACCGCCATCTTCGCGGAACTCAACATTTCCACTACACCGAAGTGTTGACGAAAGCCGAAAACAACCACGGCACGGTTCAAAAGGAGACAAACGAACAGAGACAAGAGAAGGAAATGTTTTTTTTCTCCCTTTGTAGTCGTGTGAGAAGAAACATCAATTTCGCAAGAAAGAAAAAAACAGCAAATTCTTACTTGCTAATTACTCCCGTTTTGAATTCAGCAACGTGAAAAAGAAAGCCAAATAAAATCAAATAAATGTCGAGACGCGTAACAAAGGAGAAGTGTGAGCTTGAGGAAACGGCGCGTTCACCTTCACGCACCTTTGCTCCTCCATAAAATGCTTTTCCCCCCTCTTCTGTATTCATCTACCTCGCACTTTATTGCGTCGTTACAGCGAAGATGCTTTGCCTGACCAGAGAGAAACAGTGAAGCCACCGTCGCACAGCTCTACTGGGTACGCCTCCGGAGTCAGACCGAACTTCGCCTTGAAGCCGGCCTGCACGTTCCTCAGGACACGGTCCACGGCGCTCTTTTTAAGGAGCAGCAGAATGCACCCGCCAAAGCCGCCGCCCATCAAGCGTCCACCAGCCACGCCCTCCTCCTTGTTGATCGCCTCCTGGATGAAGTTGAGCTCCGGCGTAGATATGCGCAAGGCATCGCGCTGGCCCTCGTGGGTCGCGTTAAGCAGCTCGCCGGCCCGCTTGTAGCGCTCTGCAGGGGAGAGCGGGCAAGAGGGCTCCGATAGGTTAATGAAGTCGATTGTGCGGATCTGCTCGGCGACGTTGAAGACGCCACGGGCGTACTGTGACGGGGTCATGGCGGCCTTGCAATCGGCCACAAACTGCACCGGATCGCCGGTGGTGAACTTGGTTGGGTTGCGGGCGATGTGGCAGAACTTGAAGGGCTTGCCGCCTAGCTTCGTCTTGCTGACCGCCAACTCAGCTCCCTCAATGTCGCTGCGGATGGCGTTATAGCCGTTGCCGTGGTCGCCGGCCGTCAGCTCGTGCTTCACCATCGAGTTGATCAGCAGGAAACACGCGTCAGGTCCGGTGATGTTGCCGATCTCGTGGTTCTTGAAAGTCAGAGTGTCGCAGTCGAGCGCCATAAACTTGTCCTTGGTGGCGTGCACGCAGGAGAACTGGTCCATGATGCCGACATTCACCCCGCAGTACTTCGTCTCGATGAGCAGGGCCTGCTTCGTGAGCTTGATTTTGTCCTCGCGGCTGCCACGATGCAGCTCGGGGTAGTGGTGCGGATGCGTCTGCGGGGCGGCCTTGTAGGTGGCCAGCGCGACGCTGCGGATGGCCATGAGGAGGGCCACGTCGTACGAGGCAGAGGCGCTCATGCCGGAGCCCATCGGCAGCGTGCCATGGGAGATGAGGCACATGCCCTGCAGTTCCGCGTCATCCAGATCCTTCTTGAGATCGTTCAGCATAATGCATGCCGCGCCGCGCGCAAAGGTTGACCAGTCCTTGTTCTGCGAACCCTCCGCGATGGAGGCGAGCTCGTAGTACTGGCCCTTCGTTGTCGCAAAGCGCAGCTTCGCGTCCTTGTACTTGGCCACGCGGCCAACAAGAATGTGGCAGCCCTCGCGCAGGCCACCGGGGCAGACGTAACCGCCCATGTAATCGGCGTGCTCGCCGTAGAAGTTTACGCGACCCGGGGCGAAGGTGAAAAGGAGCCACTCCACCTCGCTCGGCTCCGTCTTGAAAACCTCCAAAAACTTCGGCTTCATCAGCGCCAGGGTGGCGTCGATGCGGCTGTCAGGGTAAGACGCGGGCATCGTGTTGAAGAGAGGAAAATAAAAGAAAGAGAGGTTTTTTTTTTTTTGAGGGGTGCTGTGTGATTGGTGTGTGAGTGAGCGACAACTAAAGGAAGTGAGGTTCGTGCTGTATGCGTGATGCAAGTAGCTGAGAAAAAGAGTGTATAGAGGGAGGGGAGGGAAGGGAGGAATAAAGAAAAGAAATGCTACGGTGTCACGTGGCAGTTGGGCAGGAACAGCACCAACAACAGAAAGAGATCAACGAATGCGTGAACGAGGGAATAACAAGGCGGAAATGCAAACGCGACTGTCACCTTTGGAAACACCACCGCAACTGATAGTGTTTCCTCTCTCTAGCAGCGTACCGCGGAACAGGCACGGCTGCGGAAAGCAACGTGTGTGCGGAAGTGTTAATCAGCTTTTTCTTCTTCTTCTCCAATGAACGACGGTGTGGCTCTACAGTCCGGAACGGTGCCCCACTGCCTGGCGATCCTCCCTGCGCCTCTTTTCCTTCCGCAGTCTTCGCTGAGCACCTTCAATTTGGAAAAGAAGCGAGAGAAAAAAAAAAGCGGCCTCTCTTCACCGATACTAGAGAGTGACTTTAGCTGCAATAAGTGGGTTGTGGCGTGAAAAGAATAGCCTCAAAGGAAGAACCCAAATGCAAGAAGAAGGAAAAAAATATATGTTTCACTTGTGCAATGGATCCCAACACCGTCAGAGCTTTGCGATCTTGGTTTCTCTGCACTAAATAATGTGATCAACGACCATATTCATATCTCTTTTACAGTTCTAACAGTGGAAATATTTTACAGTTCTTTTTCTGATCAATGAGCAGATCCGGTTACATCGCAAATCCGCCCACTGTCGCCGTGCCTCCTCAGACTGGCGCACAATGTCAAACTAACGCTTTGAAAGGCAGCAGCAAAAATATAATAATAATAAAAATGAGGGCGAGAGAAAGGAAAGAAAAGAAGTCACAGTTCTTGGTGGGGTAGACTCGGAGCCGCGTCTGTGTTATCTTTACCTTCCCGTACTGTTATACCTGTACAAAACCCCTCTCTCGAGGAAAGGAGAGACAAAATAAAAACAGTAGTCGTGCCCTCGTCAATATTTAAATTAAAGCGGTCATTTCCCTGGACCTAATCCATGTTTTCGGCTAGTATTTGAAAAAAGAAATGAGCAGCATCTTACAGATGGCTCTGAGCACGCTGGTTGATGTACTTCTGTATCGTGCTGCGCAGTTTCAGCACGCTCTCGCGGCGGTTTTTTGCCTTGTACACGGCGCGGCCCGGTACAATCGCGTTTGCGCCCGCCTCTGCGCACAAGTTGATGGTCTCCAGTGTGATGGAGCCATCGACCTGTATAGTCAGGTGGGGGTACCGTTTGCGCAACACGCGCACCTTCTCGACCGCATCCGGTTGAAAATTCTGCCCTGCAAAGCCGCTCTTCACCATCATGACGAGCGCCACATCCGCCTCGCCAGAGTCTAGCACGGGGAAGAGGGCCTCAACCGGGGTGTCGACGCACAAGGCCACACCAGCCATAATGCCAGCCTGGTGGATCTGGCGGCACACACCGATGGGGTCCTCGGTGGTCTCCACGTGGAAGGCGAAGTTCGACGCGCCTGCCTTTGCAAACGGCTCCACCCACATCGATGGGTTGTTCGCGATGAAGTGCACATCGAGAAAGGCGTGCGGCAGGTGGTGGCGCAGGTCGCTCACCGTCTTGGGGCAGAAGCTGAAATTCGGGGCGAAGTGGCCATCAACAATGTCCACGTGGATCCACTCCACGGAGCCACCTTCAGGGGACAGCACGTGCAGCGTTTCCTCCAGCAGCCGCGTCTGGTCCGCCACCATCAGCGAGGGCGAGATGATGGGGACAATCGGCTGCTTCTTGTTGCGGCCATTGAGGAAGGTTTTCTTGTTCTGGTGATCGAACATGGTTGAGGATGTAGCGGTTGGGTTTTTCTTTTTGTTCGGTGGTAATAAGTATATCGTACCGTTACAAGCAAAACTGATAAGCTGTGATTCGAAAGATTGTCCCGACCAAAAAGAAAAGAACTTAACGAGGAATAGTAAGAAGTACACGAAAGAGAGACAATAGAGGTAAAAAAAAAAGAATTACAACCCTACCAAGAACCTGAGAATAGTGGAGTTGAAAAGCGCTAGCAATACTCGTAGACCGCGAACGACCGAAAAATTGCAGAACGAACACACACTCACACACATAAACAAACAAACAAACAAACACACAAAGTCAGCTTCTGCGGAAGAAGGCAAAAACGGGTAAAAGAAAAAAAAAGGAGATTCAACAATTTTCCGGACTTCGAAGGGGAAAGCAAAGGGTGAGATGCGAGTACGCAACCGCGAAAACTGCTTATAAGAGAATAACTGCGCAGTGAGACTGAAAGGGGAGAGGAGAAGGATGAGGACGAAGAAACGTTGACGTTGCCGGTTAAAAATGGCGCACATCGTAACGTGCGTGTTGTAGCCATAGCAAACGTTGAGGTGAGCGGAGGTGCAACCGATAATAATAATAATAATAAAGAGGAGGGGAAGAAAAAGACGAAGTTTACATCGCTCGCTGCATGAAATGTGCAACGTTAAGCGCTGTCGAAGGCGCTCTGGACCAGGGCAACAAGCGGAGGAACACTATCATCCGTCAGAATAAGTTAATGATTGCTCTCCTTTTGCACCTTGTGCACGCCCCTGCAAGAAGGGTTGTCTGATTCCTTTGCCGGCGTGGGTGCCTTTAGAACTACCCAGAGTGCGAGCGTGATAAAAATTTGATGCGTAGTTTACTAGATCATAGGCTTTTCTTTTTCCTCTTCGTCTACAAATGTCGAACGAGGACTTCTTTGTTGGAATGAAAGCTCATCCATCTCTTCGTTCTAACCCTTCCTTTTTCTGTTGTATAACGTATTGAGCTGCCTCGTCAGATACGTTATTCTTTTTCCCTTTCTCTTTCCCTCTCTCCCTTTACTCTGGCTACAAGCAGCATGCTGACCACGCGTGGACCGTCGATGCAGCCCGCAACGAATACTGTCTTGACAGCAGCAACGTCATCATGAAACAGAAGAAGAAAAAAAAAAACGATCTACCAGAAAAAAAAACGACTGCCTTGGCCTAGTAGGTCAGAATGGTAGAAAAGAAAAAAGTCTGCAAAAACAGAAGAGAAAAACAGCACACATACACAGAAGAAAAACAGTAATAATAATAATAATAATTAAGCCAAGAGGTAAAAGGAAAGGAAAAAAAAAACGACTTGACACTCATCCGCGCGGGAAGAACAGCACGGAGAGTGAAAAGAGCCGCGCATCAAGTGCGGTGGATCCGTCGCCTTCGTGAGAAAAAAAAAACCCCACAGCTACAAACAACGAAAAGGGAAAGTCATCATCGAGCAACACTACAACTGTGAATGATAAACATCGCTAGAAAAAGACATATCAAACTAGAGCATTGGCCTCTTCTCAACGCTTCCCGAACACATATATAGATAAATAAATAAATCACCACCACGAAGACTCTTTCTTCTCAACCCCGTCTCCTTTTGTTCATTTTGGTAGGAGCATAACTAGTTTAAAAATAAACATATTAGTCTTCTTTCTTTCGTCTGTCGCGCTGGCTCGTGCTACCTTGTGGTCTGTTAAACTTATCATCACCATTGCGTTTTCTTTATTGTTACCTTCTTGATAAATACCTTAGGAATATATAACTTTTGACAGTTTGGCAGCCTTGTTTTTGGTGGTGTGGGAGAGGGGGTGGGGGGAGAAAAACAGAGGCACAAACAAAAACACACTTACAACAGGATAACCAAAATAAAAAACAGAGGAGAACAGGAGGTTGACGGCGCGCACTCACTCACTCACTCGCACAAATACATGTGCGCGTGTGTCACCACTGTCGGTTCCGCTAACGCATCCCATTACCGCATTGAACGCTGGCGTCTACAGGACGCTCATCATGAAGCCGGGAACGGAGGCGACTAGGCCGATAATTCCCTGCGGTGTGTTGGGCACAATGCATAGCGGCGGCGCGAAGGCGGTGATGATGTCGACGATGTTGCCGGAATTGAAGGCGGCGCACATGTGCGACGGGCCCGCCGGGACAGAGTTCTTCATCAGGGTGTAGCAGAACGTGCTCTGCAGCACGCTATCCGCCACGCTCAGCACCCGGCGCTTCTGATCCTTGACCTTGTCCGCGTCCTGCGCGTCCTTGGCGGCGTCGAAGGTGCTCTGCTTTAGCAGGAGGTAGTTCATGAGCAGGCGGGCGATGTTCGACCAGAAGAGGAAGACAAAGCGAATGCGGTTGAACTTCTTGCCCAGCACAGGATCCACCATGCCGCACTTGGAACCCATCACGACCTCCTCGCCGATCAGGAAGACGGTGAAGAAGGCGGTGGAGATGGTCTTGCAGATGCCCACCCACGGGTTGGGGTTGCTCTTGATGACGGCGCGGATCCCGCTGGGAGTCAGCGCAGGGCCCACGACGAACCACTGCGAGAAGCGCGTCATGCTACGGTAGTGCGCGGCGAGGTGGAGAACGGTGTTGAAGTGTGCGGACAGGTTGGGGCAGCCGGCGACCGCGGCAGGATCCATCAGGGCCATCGCGGTGAACTGCACGACCGACATCACGCGGTCGCGGTTCGACACGTTGCCGACGTAGTCGTTGAAGGCGTTGACCTTCTTCACAATGCTGCCATTGGACATCTTTGCTAATGGAAAGAAGTAAAGACAGTTCTTTAAAAATGAAAGAAAGAGAGCGTTACCCGGTTGGTGAGCGAATTGTCCTAAAGACAGTAAGCGAGTGGCAGCGACGAAGGAAAAAAGAAGAAAGGGAAGCGGATGAAAAGCGATACCTTTGGTGGCATGCCATCGTGTACGTGAGCGTAAATGTGATGGAATGAACACAACAACGTTGGTCGGCGACAAAAGCGCGTCGAGCAAGAAAGCAAAAAAAAAGACAGGCAAACAACAGCATCATAGGCAGAGAGAGAAAAAGGGAAGAAAAGAGGAAGGGAAAGTTATGAAAAAGGAAATACTCCGGTTTTGATCAACAAATCAAGGCGACTGTTGGTCTGACAGAGCAGAACGTGCGCAGGCTGCGGCATGTAAAAGTCACGATTCCGTGTGAAAGCTGACTTGATCCAGCCTCTCTTCTTTTTTTTGCTTGCCTCCCACCCCCCAAGTCAGCGCCTTCTCCGCGTGCAGCGTTGTTCACGCAGAAAGGCAAAATCATAATCAGCAGCGCAATACCGAGGAACTGCGTTCACAAAACAACGCAACACAAGAAGGCACACGAGCCAAGTGATCGCGCGCGTTAGCCCTGTCCGGTGCCGTCACACTACAAGTGTGTTTCTTCGTGTATCTATCTTTTCCGCTTGTTTGTTTCATTATTACTTTTTTGGTTTTTTTTTGCTGTTCTGAAAGCGTCACCCGTTACAAATCTTTTTTTATCATTTCTCTTCACGCTGAAGACGATCAGCATCGTGCGGAATCGAGTGAGAAAAAAAAAAGAAAGAGAACAAAATGGGGTCTTAGGTATCACAAGCCTATCCTCATTCTCTTCTCTCCGCAACACTACGCGCTGGTTTGCACGCACAGCGTGTGTTGTAAACTCAAGATGAAAAACTCACAAAAACTCTTTTTTTGAGTTTGCTGCGTTTTTTTTTTTCTTTTGGTGAGGGCTGCAGCACCACGTCATGCACGACCTGTTTATTGGCACGCTCAAGTTGCTTTGAAATTAGTCCAGCAAAAAAAAAAGAAAGTTACGATCATTTTTGTGTATAATCAACAGAATTAAAAACAAGGTGCCGCCCAAAAACATCTCAACGTTCGATCTCTTGGTGGTCCACTTTAGTCAGCGTGTTGCGCCACCTTCGTCTTTCCTTCTTTCGATTGATCTCACACAACACGCAGGCCTCAAAAAAAGAAAAAAGGGAAGAAGAAAGTCAACATCTGTTGGACGATAAAAGAAGAAAAGAGAGGTCAAAAAAGAAAATTGACGTGTGCGCAAAGAAAACGCATAAGACCTCCGACGTGCTGAATAATGTAAAGGACGGAAAAAAAAATATCTGCTGATGTAGAAGAGAGAGAGAAAAGGAAGAAGAAAACAAAAGTAGTTAACGTTTTCAAGGAAGGGAGCAACACGGCTTCTTTTTTCTTTTTTGCGGGGTGTGTGTGCGTGTGTGTGTTGCACTAGAGTTAATTCGACAACCTGACAGAAGAGCAATGACATAGCAATGAAAAGCGCAGAAAGAAAAAGGAAAAGCGGGACCTCGGAAGGTGAGGGGGGAAAACACAAAACAGATCCGTCACAACTCGAGGTCACGCCGCTTTTGCGCACACTCTTCCGCAGTCTGCGATGAAAACGTGGAGGGACACGCATTTGCATAAAACAGCGCCATTCACGGAATGACACGGCATACGCTCCGCGTCCCGTCGCTCCATGTTGCGCCGCAGGCAGAACCAGAGAAAAGATGAGGGGAAAAAGAAAAAACGAAACACACGCACCAGGAGCAAAAGAAAGAAAACCGAACTTCAAACCACTATGGAATGATGGGAGGTGCGCACAGGAGAAAAAATAATAAAGTTGAATAATAGCTTGTGTCACGTGCCCTGTTCAACCCCGTTCGTGCTACAGCTCGTCCTCTTCTTCTTCCTTCTCAGTGGACTCGGTAGCTCTCTATCTCCGCTGTGTTGGTTCTTTTCTTCATCTCTTCTGAAGCTTCTTCCTTTTGCATTGTCGTTAGGTATTTTTTTGTTGTTTGTTGTGATGGTAGAAGACTAACAAGCATGTCTATGAGAACGCGCTTGGCGGCAGTGGCGTTGTCGAGGAAGTCTTAGTAGAAGTCGCAGATGGAAGCAATCAGGCCGAGCAGACCACGAATGCTGTCGTTGAGGGGCAGGTGCTTCGGCGCGATCAGCTGCAGTGCCTTGTGCAGCGGCACCAGCGGGCCGCTCACGTTCTCCAGCAGCTGCGGGCCGCCCTTCGGGATGCACGTCATGGAGAAGATGAAGAAGCAGCCGAGCTTCACCGTCGTGATGATGTGGCGCTTCTGCTCCTCCGGCGTGTTCTTCTTCTTCGCCAGCACGTACGCCTCGCGGATGAGGCCGGTCAGCAGCACATAGAACCAGCAGGTGACGGCGCAGCCACCGAGACGGGCGATGGACTTCGGGTAGACGCCGTGGCTGGCCAGCACGGCCGAGTTCTCAAAGAGGCAGTAGAAGACGTGGAAGAAGTGGCCGAGCTGGTCCACGCGGTCGATCAACACATCACCCGACGGCTTCGCGAGCCCCTCCAGCGTCGGCTTCGACAGCGCGTTGAAGAGGAGCGCCAGACGAGTAATCGCACGGTAGCCATCCGCCATGGCGGACAGGTTGCCGAGGGACTTGCTCAGGGAGGCGCAGCCGGCATCGCTGGCGGGGCCAGTGAGGGCCAGGGGCAGGAACTGCACGATGGCCATGACCTTATCGCGGTCGCCGGTGTTGTTCAAGTACGCGGAGATTTGAGCGGACATTGTGAATAAAAGAAAAGAGGAGGAGGGTTTTAGTGGGCTTTTTGTTGGAAGGCTGAGGAGAGCGAGGTGAAGGCTGAAAGACTATTTGTGTGAAAGCGGTGGGTATTGGCGCGTGAAAGATAACACAATGAAACAGAAGGAGGAGGAGGAGAGATGCGAAGAACAACAAAGACAGACGTAAAAAAAAAGGAAAACAGCGAGGAGATAGAGCAACGTATAACAGAGAGGCAACTTGTCGTAGCCGCTCGCAGCGAGCCGGCCTCTCGATGGCAGTGCAAGCGAGGCGACTGCACATAGCTGTAACAACCACAAGAATACACTTTGGAAAGCTACAACGTTGTCAGACGTCTGAAAAGGGAGGGAGAGAAGGGCCGTTTTTCAAGGAGCGTTTTTTCGTTCCATCTGTCCGCATGAACGCAGTAAGCAGGTCTCTATTGTTAAGATTCACTTTTCCCTTTGCGACCGACAGATGTGGAAAACACGGAGATGGGAGCTGATTGCGAACGAACAACCACAGATGCAGTCGCACACAAAGGTGGTACCCCCTGACGCATCCGCCGGCACTTGAACACCAACGGTAACAGCAGCGTAAGCAAATCCGCCGAGACGACGTATCACAGGTACTTTCCACGCACGTGTGCAGGACCATTGGAACGCATGTTCCGTGTCTGCCATGGACGCCAGTAAGGGTCGTACAAGGCGTGGGTGCGCTGCAGAGCAAAGGGGCGGTACACACAGTAGCCCAGATAGAGCCCCCCAATCATCCCGACACTAGTAAAAGCGCCAAGCATCGCACGCATGCCCCAGGGAGTGAGGTCTTTGTAGTTCATCGCAACGTACGCGGCACCGCCGAACAGGCCAGACGTCGTCCCAGCACCCAGGATATTGTACCAGGAGCGCTCCGGTCGAGTCACGTCGCCGCCTATCACAAAGTGGCCCAGTCCCGTCAGCCCGTCCCCCACCGTCACCCCGAAACAGCCAGCTATCGCCACGCCGGCACTCTTCGCGACAGAGGTGATTACTTCGTTGAAGGCTATCCCGGTCAGCGACACACCGTTCAGCTTCGCGTACGTCTTGTCCATCGTACGATAAAGATAAGCTGTGCGGCCTAGGCCGTAGCAAAGCCCCGCCGTGGTGCACACGCGCAGGTAGTAGATAATACAGGCAGCGGCGTCATCGATTAACGTGTCGAGAAAGTGGATCTGCAGACGCTCCCGCATGGCTTTCTGATCCGCCCTCCACTGCTCATAGCGGCGGTCGTTTTCGTAGTCGTACCGTTGCAGCAGCGGCTTTGACGCTTCGCGGCGCTTTATGTGTGCGTCGGCCGCCTGAAATTCGTTTTCGAAGCGGTTCACGAGACATTCAATCGACTCTGTGTCCATCACAAGAGCGCGAGCGTCGTTGTGGCGGCGAACCTTGTGCAAATCACGCACGCGGTCGATCTCCGACTGCGCCACGCCGCTTTCGCCGTAGTCTCGCTCTTTTCCGGAGGACAGATTTTGGTAGCTGGTGGTGTCGTGGATTCCGCGGGTGAAAGGCACGGCTCCCTCGTCCGCCGATGAAGGAGAAGAGCCGGACATTGGTGGGAACCCGCTGGACGAGGTAGCGGCGTTGCCAGCGCGCGAGAAGGGCCACCACGCGACCATTTCCCCTTTTCGTTTTTACGTTTCGTACTTTCCTTTGTCGAAAATGAATGTTGCAACTTCGGTAGATGTCGCCCCTTTTGCTACTGCTGTTGTCGAGCAACCGCCCAGCCACAACGACGCGGAAGAACCCTTCTGGGCGTGCGTGTGCTCTGAGCAGCAATTCTCACGTTCCTTCCAATTTAGCGCCGCGCAAAAAGATGAAGGAACAACAACAAAAAGGGAAAACAATCGGGACGCAATCAGTCAGCGGCACCGTGAGTTGTACCTGAGTAGACGCAATGCAGGAAGGTTGAACATGAGAAGGGAAGCGATGAGGGAAAGAAAAGACTTTTTTTTTTTTGAAGGCGCAAGTTTCACCGCGAAGCGCGTCCAAACAACGTGTTTGCCCCGAGTAACAGAATGGAAAAAACCAAAACAAGAAGCTCAGGTTGCAGAACACAGTAGCAACGATAGAAGAAGGGGAGTTCAGAAGCGTTTTCACGGATCGCGGAAAGCACTTGATTGGTCTGCAACAATTTGACGGTGCACAAGCTTGCCATGATACCCTCCCCTACACGGTTGCTGGCCTCTGAACGTGACGGCGCATTATTATTTCATACTTACTTCAAACACTCGACAATACAAACAGCTACTTCCGTTGTCCCAGTAAGAGCTTTTTTCATGCTTACTTTGACACCGAAAAGAAAAGTGAAGAAAAAAAGTGGCAAGTCACCGCACCAGAGGAGCTGCTGCAACTCCCACCACAGGATGTAGCAATGAATTCACGCACAAGTGTGCGAGAGACGACGAGTGGAGAAAAAAGAAAATAAAAGAAAAAGACAGGAAGTCACGATGACAAGGAGATAAAAGAAAAACCTCGCATAAACGACGATTGAAAAGGTACATTGGTCATCCGACGATTGAATCAAAATGAAATCAGAAGTACGGTACAGTGTGCTCGAACAGAACAAGTAAACTTGAAGAAACAAAAGGAAATAGAGGCTTGAACCCGCTCAAGTATTTAGAAGAAGAAAAAAGAAGAAAAAGAAATCAACAACTGAAGTATAGTCCAACCTCACGAGACCGATCACCAGGCAACATCAACACCGTCGCCGGCGTATATGCCGCAACAACCACGGTGAACAGCGTGAAAGGGAGAAAACCTACGCAGAGGCCGAGAAGCGAGACGGAAGGATCGCGACATACACACACACACAAGAAGTAAACCGTCCTGGATCCTTCTGTCCTTGACCTCTGCCACCTCCTCTTCCAGCGCCCCTTCAGACTCACTTCTTCTGGTGCGCAGCGGTGCTCCTCCGTGCTGGTGTCATTTTGGTCTTCTTCGCGATACGGGCTCGCAGCTCCGTGTTGGAGGCCCGCAGCTTATCAACTTGCTGACTCAGCGTGCTCGCCTCGGCGTCCAGCTGCTGCTGGGTCGCACGCACCGCCTCCGTGCCATACATCTGCACCTCGTCATCGTGGCGCGCAATCTCGTTGTGATTCTCGATGTTGCTCGCCACCTTCGCTTCCATGGATTGCACGGCGCTCTCTTTCTCGAGCACGAGCATATTCTTGCGCGCCACGTTCGTGCGCATCATCTCGTTGTTCTTGTAGAGAAGCCGGTAGGTGTCCACGGGAATGTACTCGTCCTCCGGCAGCACCTCTGCCACATCCTGCGGCTCCTCGCGCGAGGCGGACGGCACCAGGGCGGACTTTGCCACGTTGCGCTCGAATTCGCGGGCCAGGCGCATCTCCCGCAGCGACTTCATCACTGTGTCGAGTCGCGTCTGCAGCTGCTGCTGACGGGCGATCTGCGCCTTGATGACGTTTTCTTGGCGCCGGCACGCCACCTTCATGTCCTGCACCGCGTCTGCGAGAAACTCGCGATCGCTCTCCATGCACGCCGTGCTGATCTCCGCTACACTCTCCCCAGCCCCCGACTGCACGACGAGCTGCAGCTGGTGGTTGTCCGCCGCGATGCGCTGCGTCTTGGCTCGCAGCTCGTTGCACTCCTTCTCCCGCACACGAATGCTGTTCCGCAGCTGCATGTACTTGGTGCGGCGCTCCTCGTTGTCCTGAATCTTCGCATTGAGGGCCAGGATCGTCTTTTCTAACTTCGCGTTCGCGACGCGGGCATTTTTGATGTCGGCCTGCAGCGAGGCTTCGACAAACGCCATGTCGTGGATGTCCGCCCGCTCCCGCTCCATCTGCGAGAACTGCACCTCGCGCTTGCCATCGTACCAGCCCGTGGCCGCCATCACGTTCTGCAGTTCCGTGCTCGTGGTCTGCAGCGTCTTTGCACGATCGCGAACCAGCTTCTCCTGCATCGTGTTCTCGCGCGCCAGCAGCTCGTTGCGGCGGCGCACGATCTTCAGCTGGTTCTGCAGCCGCACGATGTTGTCCAGTGCGTCCTCCGCCGCAATGTCCGCCTTCGACTGCGACACCTCGGTGTACTGCTGAATCTGGCGGCTCACGTTGTCGTTGAGGTTTTGCTCCTCGATGGTTTTCAGCTCGGTGCCGACGGTGTCGAGTCGTGCGGCGTACTTCTCAATCGCCTGCGTCATGCGCTGCAGCTCCAGCTGCGCCGCAGGGTCCGTCGTTGAGAGTTCCATTTTGCGTCCTCTTTCGCGCGATTTCTCTGCCGTAAAAGAGTAAGGAGGTGTAAAAGGCGACTTCAACGGCTCTGATTGCAGTCTCACCACTGATATCGGTACGAAGAAAAGAAAACGGAAAAGGTATTCTGAAGAAGCGGGTTCTACAAGATATATATATATGTAGGTTCTCTTTCTCGTACGTTCAAAGAGTTGGTAGGGGGAGGGAAAAAAAGACGTGGTGGAAGATAGTGTGCATTTGCTCCCGAGTTACGCGTAGAAGAGGATATGGCAAAAGAAAGAGAGAGACAGAAGCTGTCGCGACGTCCACATCGCCGCCCTTTTTTCCCCTTTTTGTGAAGAAGAAATCTCAGCACGCTCGTGTCCAAGAAAACGCGTAAACAACAATAACGTGTTGGCTATTCGCTGAGCTCTTTGACATTTCCACGGCGATAACCTTGCAGGCAAAACCTGCAACCAAAAAGTTAAGCGCTCGGCGCATGTTGTGTTCTTTTCTTTTCTTTTCTTCTTTCGCCGATTCTACACGAGAAGAGACACAGCAGGTGAAGCGACAGTGTTGCTCGGTCGCTTGCGTGATGGTGCCGCGGCCGCCGCCGGTCCGCCGGTGCGACGCTGCCACACGGCGAAGCAGCGCTGACGCAAACGCTCACGGCGCAGCTGCACCAAGACCTCCCACGCGAGACGGATGCGGCGGTGCTCGCCGGCTCGAGAGCGCCACCGCCGCACACACCCCAGCAGCAGCCCCGTTTCGAACAGCGTGGCCGCCACATAAAGGTTGGCGCGGGTGTCAACACGCGTTTGGGCGCGAAGGTGCCATCGCCACAGCAGCCGGCGCAGCGACATGCCGCGAAGAGCGCGCACCCCCGCACGCAGCTCCGCCCTCTCGCGCCACCGATCAAAGCAGTCTCGGCGTCTGTGCCACGCACCAGCCACCCGCAGCGTGAAGTGAGTGTGCCACAAGTGGAAGGCGAGGCGCAGAACAAACAACACGTGCAGCCGGGCGGCGGCGGCGGCGTCGCGATGGTGCCGCGCGACCACCACCCAGCGCCCCATCACCAACGCCTTCCACGCCTTCTGCTGTTGTTGGACAGTGAGGGCGTGCAGCCAGCGCTGCGTCACCTGCACGTAGACGCACTGTCGCCGAAAGTTATTTGCGCAGCGAGCCTGAAACCGGGTGCGCCAGCGATGGAAGCACCGGCGCAGCTGTGCCGCGTGTGTGATGCAGGATGCCGCGTTAGTTTTGTACTTGAGCAGCTCGGGCCGCAGGGTGTTGACGGCGAAGACACGCATTGCGGCTCGCCTCGGGAGCACTTCGGCCGTCGTAGAACGGGCCAACGCCTCCACCTCCTCCATCGCGGTGGTGAGAGATGATGCACGTCGTTCTGCTTCCTTTCGCTGGCGATGAGCCCGCAGCGCCAACACGTGCGCACGCGCACACACGGTGCGTACGACGCGTCGCTGCAGGCACTGCACGCGGTGCCACCCAGCCAAATGCGTCATCAATCGCCGTTCCGTTTTACGTTTCCACGTTTGGAAAATCCGCTGGAGGGCCAGTCGGTGCCCCACCGGCGTCGCCACCACGCCACCGTCTTTCGCCGTCAACGGACCGCCGTGAATCAGCGCGAGGAGTTCACTCCGTGCATCACATCCGTCGGCATCCCCGTGCAGGACGAAGGGGGCAGGGCGGCGGTGTGACTGAGCGAACTGCGCAGCCGTCTCGTAGAGCCCACAGCGCTCCCGATGCCACGTGAAGGTGCGTGTCCACTGATGCCAATACCGTAGCAGGCGTGTGCGCTGGCAGTCTGTGAAGGCACGCGCACGTCGACGCAGCTCCTGGCGCCACCAACGCAGCCGCTCGCGAAGGGCGTGATGGCGTTGCACGTACAGCTTCCACTGCGTCACTGCTCGTTGGAGAACCTGCGCGCGCCACACGTGCTGTCTCGATGCACGCACGCGCCAGTCTCGCAGCACGCGACGCTGTACATAGTACGTGTAGCGCAGAGCCACGTTGTCGCGCAGAAGCTGCCGCCGGTACGCGTCGAGTCGGAGCTGGCGAAGAAACAGCGTCGCCACCGCACGGTCCTTTGCCACGCGCAAAACAACAAGAGAGAGGGAGGACTGGACAAGTTCCTCCTTCGTCTCATAGACGCCTCTCGCCGTGTCAGAGGGGGGCTTAGCGGCGGTCGTGCGGCCGGCAGCACGTTGCCCGTGCGGATTGGAGGAGGTGGCTGCGGTGGACAGTGCTGAGATGCGTTGCAGCGCTGTTTGCCGCGTAGAGGGGGACCCCGACGAGGCGGCGGCAACTTTTGTCGGAGCAGCAGAGGCAGCACCGAGTAAAGACTGTCGCTGCTGCAGCCAGGCGCGTTGCTTTTCTAAAAGGCCTGCACGCTGTGCGGCGAAGAGGGCACGCGAAAGATTCACGTGAAAGTGGTCGGTTTTTTCAGTGAGCGGTGGCAGCGTCGGGTAGCGGTCCGGGGGAAGAAACGGCTTCTCGTTGAAGAAGCCGGTCGCGTCAGCCGAAAAAGTTACCAACGTGGCGGAAGTCGTTGCTGACGTAGTTCCCGCAGCATGGTGAGCGTGATAAGCGTCGTCTCGTGTCCTTCCTCGTATCACAGAAGAGCCGGTGACAGCGGTGCCCGCAGCGCCCCTCCGTGCCGCATTCTTTGGAAACTTTTGCTCCGCAGCGGATGGCTGTGTAAGGGCGTGCCAGACCGCCTTCACCATGAGCGCATGCAGACGCTTTATATCACGCTTCGCCTCCTCTACGGACTCCTCCATCTGGTGCAGGGAAACGTACTCGTCCGCGGTGGGGTTGCGGTCGTCCGTGAAAGTAGGTGCATCCGCGTGGGGCGATGAGGCGATCCAAGGAATGACGTCCTCGATCGAAGCACTGCTGTCGCCATCACTCTTCTCTTTGTGAGAGCGAGAAGGAATAAGTTGTGCTGCCGCGCGTCGGGAAGACGTGCGGCTCGGACAGCGAGCAACGGGCCGGATTATGATGGACGGCTGCGGCAGCGGTTCTGCGTCGTCGTCCTGTGGCGTGTGGGGGAGTGGGTGTGCTTTTGGAACGTCGTCGTCATCATTGTCGTAGAAGTTGCGGATGTGCGCGGGATAACGCCGCATTTCGCAGCGCTGTGCTCGTCGACACGAAGACGGCGGGTAGTAATAATAATAGCAATTGAACTGCAGCGGACGTCGGCTTCTATGCAAAAAAAAAAGGAATCAGTCGAGTGCCTTCAATGCCTTTTCTTTACTTAATGGTACGTTCTTCTTCCTTCTTTCTATTGTTCCCTGCTCGCATAAAAATACAAGCGTTTCATTTCGTGGTAGTTGGTGTGTGTTGGCGCGCTGCAAAACAAGAAAACAATAATAGGAAAGAAGCGAGTGCGTCAAACGTGGTGAGCGAGAATGGGCGCAATGAAGAAGCGGAAGACAAACGGTGCGGAAAGGATAGACGGAGGGGAAAAAAGAGCGTAAAGAGAAGTGTGAAACTAACGCGGATACTTCTGCATTCCCACACAAGCACAAGCAGGCATGTAAAGGGGTCGTTCGGCATCCCCTCCCCCGCCCCCCTTCTCTTAATAACAGCCGTGCAGTTTCACACGAAGCCTCAATGAACGCTGCCCTCACAAAGAAGACACCATCAGTGAAGCTTCAAGCAAGCGGAAAGACAAGAAAAGCCGCAAGCTCTCTCTTTCTTTTTTCCTGCCCTTAGGACTCCAAATCTGACGTGTGTTCGCCCCTTCCTCTAGTAGCAATCCTTGGTCGTTTTTTGAAGACGAGTCCTTCTCATTTTGTTTTGGCTTTAACGCTTCGAATCCCCACATGTTCGCTAAGCTTCACTTCAAACTCTCAAACGAGCAGAGAAAAGAGTATTCCTTTTGTGCATGCTTCGCACGCATTTGACCAACGGGGTTTCTGTAAAGAACCACCGCACACGAGGAGGAGAGGAAAATCCCTCCTCCAGAGTGACTGCCGCGGACAGCTACGGTGTATAGAGCGGAGGAAAGACGGCCGGAGAGGCGAAGTTGACTTGCTGCGGCATCGTCCGCCATCCGTGAATCCACGACGGGGCCGGCAAGTAAGGGCGTGCGTTCTCGGCGACGATGTTCAGTCGGTAGATGACTTCGCTCTGACTCGTGAGGTTTGCGCTGAAGGCCATCATCAGGTGCGGGTCAACCACCATCACGGAGCCGGGCCCAATGGGAGAGGCGGGGGGAGAGGGGAGGGGAGCTGAGGAAGATGACAGCCCGGCTTTGGTGGGGATAAGAGGCTCCCCGACGACGGACGCGTCAAACTCGAAAAAGCGCAGCTGGTCGCGCACATCCGCTTCCATCGGCGCAAAGCGGCGGTGCAGCCGCTCCGCCCGCACGTGGCGCAGGTACTGCTGCTGCACCGCGCGCTGCGAGTTGCGCATCACGTAGGGCGCCAGACACGTCGAGGTGGGAGTGTAGGTGAAGAGGATCAGCGAGACGGCCGCCGCGTCACCGCCGCCTTTGCTCATCCGGGCATTCGTGCGCGTACCGATGAGAGGCGCGGTGCAGTGGTAGCCCACCGGGTTGCCGTAGGCCTCCCGCAGCAATGGCGCATCGCTGAAGATCACCGGCCTCTCGACGCCACCGACAATCTCGGCCAGCTGCGAGAGCGGCTTCACCAACGCCTCCGTGTCCCGCAGCGCAGCTTCCAACGCACTGTTCGTCATCCACGCGTTGGCGCGGTACGCGTTGATAGCCAGCAGCATCTGCGGGTCGGTGTGGACGGTGCTGGTGAGGACAGTGTTGGTGGCGCCCTTTGCGGACACCTGCATTGCCGCGGCGGAGAGCGTCTCACTCAGCTCCCACATCTCTTCTCCGGTGAGTCGGGAGATGTCGCGTCCGTTCAAGAATGCTTTGGCCGTGAGCCGCAGCTTCCGCTTCTGGCGCTTCACCTGCTTATAGTACCGCAAGATGTAACGCCGCTTCTCGAGGTGCGACATGACGTTGTGGGAGAGCGGGTCAGACATGGTCTGCTCTGACTGCAGCACGGACTGAATGTTCGGCAGCTCCGCGAAGTACCTGGATCGACTCAGGGTGGAAGATAGAGCGTTGGTGCGAATGCGCGACACCATTTCCGCGGAGAGCACATTGGGCAGAACGGCGTAGCCGTGCTCCAGGAAGTGCTGCCGCGCGGCAAACGGAAGCATTAGGGGTGACGCTCGAATTGAGAACCAAGCGGGAAGAAAAAATAAATAAAGCTCCTGATTGCACGTTTATAATTTATATTTTTCCTTCTTTTAAGTGACGGCAACAAGTGGCAATTTGCATCTCCAACGGTTCGAGCACGCCCGCGCACTGGCAGAACGAAGACGAGAAGGAAGAAAAAAGAACAGCGTCGTCCCGTCGGGACAGCGTGGTCAAACAACCGATGCCGACTCTTTTCGAGGTTCCTCCACACGCAAAGAATGCGATGGTGCGCCGACACGCATGGGAACAACAACAACACACAAAAAAGCGTAAGACCAAGTAAGAGCAGATGTATGAAAAGGCAGGTGAATTCTGCACTTCTGGGCAGATGTGCGACAGAGAAGAATTGTTTTGGATTTTTTTTTAGAGGTGGTACGATGATGCTAGCACCGAATACCTCCTTACGCCCCCGCTTCGCCGGAGGGTCGAGCAGAACGGAAACCTTGGCATCGGAGGCCTTCGGCAGTACAGATCAAAACGGCTATTTTTTTTTTTTGCTGCTGTTCTTCTTGCTTTTCTTTCACACAGCAACGAGCGATCTAAAACGATAACAAGTTTTTTTTTAAGATGTCGCAAAGGAAGAGGCAAAAGAGATTCCGCTTCATTCCCCCTACTTGGGCGGAAGGGCGTAGAGCTTCGCGTCATTTAAAACAATGAGGCCTCGTTTGACGAAAGACTGCAGCAGCTCTAGCAAGTCCGCGTTGGTGCCCTCGAACTTCGCCAGCAGCTTCACGCTGTTGTGAATCGCAGTCCCGGCTTGTGGACCACGAGTTTTGAGGAGCGAGGTGACCATGCGCTCCATCAGCTTCACCCGCTCCGGTGGTAAGCCGGCCGGCTTGGCCTCCGCCTCGCTCGTCGCCTTGTCCTCCATAAACACAAAGTCAGACAAGGCAGCCACACTCCGCTGCATGTCCACTGTCGCAGTAGTCGGCATCACCAACACCGCAGGAGAGAGGCGCTGCACGTGTGGGCGGAGTTCGTCGCTGGTGATCTCCAGCGCACGCGCCACTTCGCTTAACGCAACTGCAGGGACAGCACCTTCGGCGTGACGATCGCCCTCACCACGTTGGCGACCGTTGGCCATCTCCTTCACAAATAAGACGACAGAGGCGTCGAATAAGGATAGCACCTGCGTGACCGTCACTAGTGCACCTCCTCTGGCCGCATCTCGCTGCATCAGCTCCAGCTCCACCCGCCCAAGCGAAGGCAGCCACGCCAATCGCTGGTTGTCCTTCAGCTTCTTGTACGCCTCCGCGAGGAGGTCCATCTCACCTTGCAGGGAGGGGTGGGGGCGATACTTGACGGGGGGCGCGGCCTGGGCAGCACCGGTGTTGCCCGCCACCCCACCCGCCGGAAGTGCGGCGCAGCGCGCGAGAGGCGGCCACGTTGTCATGGACAGCACCGACACACTGGGGGAGGGCACCACCGCCGCCGCCGGCGAAACAATCGGAGAGGGCAGTGTACGAGACCGCAATGCGTCCCCCTGCGGACCGGCGGCGCCGCGTCGACGAGCGAGTTGCTCCCGCAGCTGCTGCGTCACACGCCGTGACATCTGCATGTCGCGCACCATCACGGAGCACTTGTCGAGCACCGTCTCGCCGAAGACCTGCTTTAGCCGCTCCAACACCTCCTCCTCGGGCGTGGTGTCGAACTCGTGCATGGGCTTCTGCAGGAGCTGCTCCGCCAGCACGTGCTGGTACTCTTCGACCAACGCACGACGGTGAATGGAGGTGAGCAACACGCGCAACACGTCCGGCCGGTCACGGGAGTTCGTGCGGTACAACTCCTCTTCCCGACCCCCCGCCATCCGGTCGTGCAGGCTGTCAAGGAAGTCCATCGCATCTCCGACCCCATCACCGCCGGCACTATGACGGTTGAGCTCCCCATCGAATTTCGACATGGTCGGCGGCGGCGGTGGTGGTGGTCGTGCGGCAGCGGCATTCATCACGCCGTTCGGCTGCATCACGGCCTGTACGATGGCCGCCACGCAGTCTTTGCGCCGGCGCAGGTGCTCTAAGGTGTTGGCGATGACGTCAAACACGACGTTGTCTTGTTCATTGCGCGGGAAAAGCACGCAAAAGGCGTGAATGGTGTTGATGAGAATGGCCAAAATATCCTCGGTGCGGGTGCCGGCGCGGTGCAAGCGGGAGGAGAGGAGATGCCGCACGGTGTGGATGAGCTCGGTCTTGAGGCCGCTCTCTGGGTTGGCCTGAAGACAGTACTGCATGTCCTCCAGCGCCGGAACGGAATCGGGGTAATCAGACAAGATCTCCCAGAAGCTGTCGAGACGACGTCGAGCGTAGCTGTGCAAGAAAAGCTTCCGCATATCTGCGCACCAGGCCTCCCGCTCCGCGTGCGCCGCGGCGGGCAACGCGTCGTCGGTACCGGCGTACTCCGCCGTTGCCGAGTCTGCACCACCAGTGTCCGTCTTGCGCTCGTGCGAGGTGGCGAGCGCGTCGGCGTTTTCCCTCACACCGAGCACCATGGCACCAAACGGCATCACGCATTGCTCCAGCCACAGCATGTTTTCCTGCAAAAAGTGCGTTGAGAAGTCGTCGGACAGGTCGCTCAGTTTTTCACGGATGCGCGCCTCCAGCACGGACCGCCACAGCTGCTTCACCTCAGTGGACTGACTCAGCGTGAGGCGGTGTAGGCAGGCGATGACTGGATCCATGGCAGAGTAGCTTGTAAACCCGGTCACAGACTTTTCTCTGCCTTCTTGAACATCACTCTTGTCCTCCTCGGCGCCACGAGAACTGCTGCTGCTGCCGCTGCGGCACGGGTCGCGACTCAACAGTGCGTGGCCGTGCTGCCGTAGAAAAGCAAAGAAGGCTCGCTTTCGACGCGGCTCTTCGCCGGAAATTAAGTCGGCCTGAAGCAACGCACAGCGCACGTGGACAGAAAAGAACGAGGCAACGCCCGGGACGCGCAGCACATCACACCACTCCTGCAGGAGGGGAAAGATGTGGTCGTACGATGTGCATAACGCCGCCAAGGCAGGACCTACCACCGCGCCAGTCAATTGCTTAGCGCTGCCGCTCCTCCGGTGTGCCTGTCGCTGCTGCAACGCGTCTTGGAATGCACGAATGTGTACGGCAAATGCAGCGTTGACCCGTTCAAGCAGGGTCTCAGCGATCATTCCATTAAGGGGGACAGAGGAGGAGAGTGTCGAGAGAGCACTCCGCCATCGTTGCCGCTGAGCAGCTGCACGATCAGCGGCTAATGAAGCGATCCCTTCAGTGTTGATAAAGTCCAGCAGCTCTGCGAAAACTTGCAGCGCAGCATCTTCGTCGCTGTTGTTGAGGAGCAGCGAAGCAGATGTAGAAACAAACGGGTCTGCGGAAGTGTCACCGGGCAGTGTGTTTTGGATAACAGTGCTGGCGTCGCTCATTTTACTGTTGCTATTGCTGAAGGTGGTTTCCTGGAGAACGACTTTACGCACCATATATATGTATAAGGGGTGCCAGCTCACAAAGCTGCTGTGGAAATCGCAACCGAAACGTAAAAGAGGGGGTGCACTCTTGGGGGAGTTTCGACTGCTAGTTTTTACATAACCCACGTCAGAAGCAGAGATAAAATGAAAGAAACTCACTCACAAAAAACAAACATCAAGCTAAACAGCAGCGTCTTAAAACGTGGCTTTTTGAACCCGTACCTTCGGCTAAAAAGAAAATATGTCTATGCTGGTGCGAAGTATCTGTATATATTGAAACAACCGCTTTGAAATAATGCGGAAAACGCTGGTCCGAGACAACAGGCCAGCGTGGCCACAAGAAAGCCAATCAAAACTGAGAAGAAAAACGGTACGGATAAGGAGCGTGAAGTGATGTGAAAGGAGTCTTCTTTTTGTGCTTTTGTTTGCTACTACGCACCGCATGTGTCACGCAGTCCAGCATCGTCATCGGGGCACTGCGCCTTCCTCGCGCCTCTCCGATTCGCGGCGCAAGCACGCAAAACGCGCTCGCTCGCTTGCCCACTTTTCTGTGCGACGACGGTTAAAACGCTTCATGAAACGCGCCGCAGCGAGAACCGAGGCGGACCTGACAGATTTCAATCCGTCGAGATCCTTTCAACGAAGGTACCCATTTTCTCTGTTGGCGTTTTCGAAGTGAAAAACAGAAAGGAAAAAGCTAAAAACAGTTGTAATACATGTTTGATTGCAGCCGCAGCGACAAGTCAACCACGTAGACATGAACAAGGCCGTTCGTCTTACGCCTGGAGCACCACAGCGCCGCCAGCCTTGCGGATCTTCTTGTCCGCAAGCTTGCTCACGTAGCGCGCCTTCACGATGCACGGCACCTGGATGTGGCCGTTGCCCAGCAGCTTCGCGTACCCGCTCGACTGCAGGTCCACCACGGGCAGGGAGCCGCCCTTCTGCGCCTTCGTCGCCTCCTCCGACGCGATCAGGCGCGTCAGGTTGTCCAGGTTGATGGTCGGCTTCCACTGCTGGTTCTTCTTGAGGTGGTAGTGGTTCATGCCTAGCTTGCCGAAGTACCCGGGGTGGTACTTGTCGAAGTTGATGCGGTGGTGGTGCTGACCGCCAGCGTTACCGCGACCGGACTCATGCTTGCGGTGCTTGCCGACGCGGCCGTAGCCGCAGAACGTCGAACCGCGCTGGTGGCGGCACTTCTTGAAACGGGTCGGCATCTTCGGGATCAAACTGTGAAGTTGGAAAAGAAAAGACACCAAGATAGAAGAGTTGATGGGGACAGTGCGTGTACACAGAATAACATTGATTCAGCAAGACAAGAAGGAGAGCACGGAAAGAAAACAAGAGGTTGATTGCGAAGACAGCAAGACAAAACACAGGCGATTTGGCACTTCACAGATGTGACTCAGTGAGCCGACAGCTTTGACATCAAAAAGAGTTGTCACACGGCTTACTATTCTCGCGTCAGAGAAGAGTGTGACGAAGAGGTTCCGCTCTCCGCTGCGGAAATACTTTTTATTCGTATTATTGTTTAGTGGCAGCGTCCCGCAACGATGCAATTCAATGCTGAGGAGAGAGTTCGGGAGTGTCATGAAATGCATCGCCCGCAGACGCACCTAGCAAGCCGCTCAGTTCTCATCGCCTCGTGACACTGAAAGAGTTGAGTCGGTTATCTTTGTCGTCATATTTTTTTTTTGCTGTTGTTGGTTTTGTCTTGACTTTCGGGGGAAAAAGAAATAGTCGTTGTCAAGCGCTTTTACCGTCGCCGGCTTGCAAAGAGAGAGAAACAAAAATACCGTTAACGATTAGCAAACCTTCTACACGCAGCAACTCCATCGCAACCACAGGAGAAATAAAACATATATATGAGAAAACAACGATACAGGAAACAACGGAGGAAGAGAGAAAAGAGAACACATCATCTGCAAGAGAGCAAAGAGTAAGCTGGTTATCCAAAAGCACACAGGTCTAACGAGCAAGCTTGAAACAAACAAAAAAAATACGATGACGGCGCAACAATAATACGCAGTTTCAAAAACCTGTATATATTCGAAAACTAATGCTATTATTGCAGGGTACTGTGTTACCGCCTCCTTTTTGAGGGTATGTGCTTATGTATGAGAGGGAGAGAGAGCGATTTCGTTTTATGTTGCTGTTCTTTCTTCGCGTCTTCTTTTCATTCATTTGCTCTTCAGGAGAAACAGTAAGACTATTTCGCCACAAAATGTATATAAAGAAATGATAACCGTTAAGAGAGAAAAGGAAATATGCGGGCAGATACACACATTCGCTCGTCACCGCTGTTAAGTCGTCGGTTATCACTGCGCCTCGTCGGGCAAGTGTTTTTTTCCTCCTCAAGCTTTGCCTCTAACGATAAGCAGAAGTCGACGACGGGGAGCAACGAAACCATTAAACAGCAACAACACAAAGAAAAACGCGACCGCGAGCGCGAGCGCGAGAGCAGGACGAGGAGAACGGGGGAGGGGGGGAAGCCGATACTACGACTGCAACTTCGCATTTGGCGCTCCAGAGGACCACGCGTTGGCATCTCCGCCGCCATTCGCCGTCGCACCGCCCGGCTGATCGGCAGACGGCGGAGGAATCTGCATCTCCTGCGTCAGCCGCACCAGCTCCTCTTGCTGGCGGCGCACCATGCGGGAGTAGCGGCACCACACGCAGCTGCCGCCCATCACACCGAACAGCACCGCCACAATCACCAGCATTACCGCCACGACGGCGCCACTCACACCGCTGTAGCTGCACCCAAAGCTAGGAATCGATCCGGCGAGGGACGCCTTCATGCACGTCTCCGGCATCATGTCGTCCTTGCTACGCACGTACGGCACAAAGGAGGTAATGTCGTAGATGTAGTTGAAGGACTGCTGGCTGCTCCACCCTGCGCAACCCATGTCCGTGCCCGTCGGCTCCAGCGAACTGCACGTCGTCGTCCGGTCAGCCGCCGGAAAGGCGTAGCCCTGGGGAAAGAAGGGGTGGTGCGTGAACAGCGGCGGCGCGCCACCTTTGCCGGTGACCGTCATGCGCACCAGCGTCCCGTAGGCGGCATCGCGGGGTGTCATTTCCGCAGTCTTGAAGAAGTCAACGTTGGTCAGGTCGGGGGTTGCCCAGTACCATGTCACGCGCACCCCCTTCACCTCCGCCGTCCACACGCCACAGGGGATGTTGCGCACCGTCTCGTTGCCGATAAATGTTGCCGGCGTGTCGGGCGACGCCAGCAGCAGCGTCTCCGTGGAGCTTGCAAAAAAGTCGTAACCGATCAGCACCTTCTTGCATGTGTCCTTGTCCGGCCAGAAGTACTCGCGCACGGCCTTGCTGATCGTCTCCTGACCATCCGGCACCGCGAAGGTCTCGTGGTAATACGTCATCTGGTCGTACCCCTGCACGTACCACTCGTAGTCGTACACGCGTCCCGCGGCACCGGTCAGTGGGTACTCTAGCTGAGCGCGGGACATCAAACCGTACGAGTTGAAGGCCTCGCGTACCTGGTAGAACGACCTCTGGCTTGGAGAGATCACCAAAAAGTTCGCGGTGAAGTACGGCGGGAACTCGGGCATCGCGTACAGCGTATTTGTGTTTGGCGCTCCTGTGGTGGTGGTCGTCGTGGTCGTGGTCGTCGTGGTCGTGGTCGTCGACGTGGGTTGGTGAGACGCGGAGGAGCTTGAGTGCGAAGCGGAGGCGCTTGAGTACAACGCGGAGGATTGGGAGTCCGCGAGCGGCTCCATTTGACGGTTCGCGACTGCCGGCCCTCGTGCGACCTGGCTTGGGCTCACGGGTCTGAAGGTTGGTTGGACTTTGCACTCCGCAGGCTCAGCGGTCGGCAGGGAAGCTGACATGTTGATACCGTAGAAGGTGAAGGTGAACAAACAATTGTTGATGGTTCCGCTAGAGGCAGTTGACGTCAGCTCGGTGGAAAGAAGCGTCTCGTCGATGTCGTCCATTAAATTTACCTTCCAGCCACTCACAGTTGTCAAGATGACGGCGTTGTATTCTGTGGTGGAGCCGAGTCCTCCGTATTCAACGGGGATCGGGACGCTGAATTTGTTCGTGTAGTTTCTGACTGAAATACCGCGAGATGTTCCACGTGTGGAAGAAGAAGGAAGAGCCTGGCGCAGCACATTCGCCAACGTCACCGCAAGCTGCACATCCGGATTTGCAGCGTTGTGGTCAGTGGAACCGGTGCACATGTTCCAGTCTGAAACGACATAACTTTGGGTTTCTGTCGTGTAGTAGGTGCGCGTGAACATATACGCCCGCAACCGCTCCACATAAAATGGATAGATCGAGGTGGTGCTGGTATTGAAGTTTAACGAGTAACGGAAGGCGCTCATCGTGGAGTTGCCATAAACGCGAGGGGTAGCCGCCGTCGAGTTGCGGCAGACGAGCTCCACATCCACGAGCGCACGACCGTACAACGGCAGCAGTGTTGTCGATGCCGCAACATTCACCGTCGACCAGGCAAGCAACACCGCGGCGACAGCCAGCTGGACGGTACGACGGCACGTCATATTCATCGGGAAAAAAAAAGGAAGAAGAATCGAAAGAGTCGAAAGAAGATGCCCACTAAGGGGGTGTAATGCGCCTTGTCGGTAATTTGCTGGTGCTCTCTCTCCTAATAGTCATAGAAACACCATAACAACAGTGCAGAAATGATAACAAAACTAGGCGACTCTCTCTCTCTCGCGGTGGACTTGCGCTAAACTGGGATGCGTCCGATTAGGCTCTCCGAGCGAGGAACACACCTACACACAGCAGCGCTTCACGTTGAGGTAAATCCCGGAGAAGGGACGCAGAAGGGAAAGGAGATGATGCGGATTCAACGTATGCCGAGAGCGGCGGCGAGTTGACGAGGCCACCTTTGAAAGTACGTGTTGTAGGAACCAAACGCGCTCAGACGCGGTGAGAAAAGCCAATGATCAAAGACGTCCGGGGGAAAAAAAGAAGCTACGAAAGCAGGCAAAATACGAAAGAAGAGTGAGAAATGGGTGACAAGAGATGTGAGGAAGTAAATGTAAAACTTTTAATTGGCTTCTTCGGGCCGATGAGCCAAGAAAAGATCGAGAAAAAAAAAACACATAAGAGCTATACAGCAGAGCGTTTCAAGAACAACTTTCGTTGAGGGCCGCGCTTCGTGGGGAGGAAACTCACCAATGTGGGGTTCTTTCAACCGTTTGGCAGAACATTTCGGCTCCCGCGCGCCAAAGAGAAAGGGCCTCACAACGCCGGAGAAACTGGGGGAACCACGACGCAGCTGCGCTGCTCATCATCGCAAGGTTAAGCGACGTTACTACATCATACGATTACTTTTGTTGTCAATAATACGATTAGTCCCATTTTTTGCTTGGGCTCGCGACGTCACCCTTCGTTGTCAGCTCGCCAACGTGGACTGCGCAGGGTGAAGAACACCGTTGCACGAAGCCAGCAAAGATTCAGCAAACCACAAGGCTAATCCGTCGGAAATAAAATGAAAAAGAAAAGCTCTTTACAATCGCCCACCGCTTACGCCTGGAGCACCACAGCGCCGCCAGCCTTGCGGATCTTCTTGTCCGCAAGCTTGCTCACGTAGCGCGCCTTCACGATGCACGGCACCTGGATGTGGCCGTTGCCCAGCAGCTTCGCGTACCCGCTCGACTGCAGGTCCACCACGGGCAGGGAGCCGCCCTTCTGCGCCTTCGTCGCCTCCTCCGACGCGATCAGGCGCGTCAGGTTGTCCAGGTTGATGGTCGGCTTCCACTGCTGGTTCTTCTTGAGGTGGTAGTGGTTCATGCCTAGCTTGCCGAAGTACCCGGGGTGGTACTTGTCGAAGTTGATGCGGTGGTGGTGCTGACCGCCAGCGTTACCGCGACCGGACTCATGCTTGCGGTGCTTGCCGACGCGGCCGTAGCCGCAGAACGTCGAACCGCGCTGGTGGCGGCACTTCTTGAAACGGGTCGGCATCTTTTACTACGTAAAAGAGCTGCGTTTTTTTGAATGCAGTATTCCCAATGACATTGGTGAAAGGAAAGTGTGGAGAGGTCAGTTCAACCAAAGGGAGCGTGTCGCGAAAGGCGAGTACAAAAAAAAAGGTAAAGTCAACGACGATGTGCGAGGTGGAGAACACGAAGGTGGGGAAAGACGACAGATGGAGGAAAAAAGCGGAAAAGATAATACAGGGACTTTTTGTTGTTGCAAGAACAGCGACTCTTGAGAATCAAAGGAATTGAATAGACTAGTTGCCAAGGTGCACGTTCTCTGCATGTAACGGGCCGAACGGGCATGATGTGAATGCAGCCGACCGTGTTTCGCGTACGAAAAAAAAAGGACACTTCGAAACACAACCAATCACAAGTAGCTAAGTGCGCGCAGAACAACAGAGTGGTTGGTGCCCACCAGTCAGCTTCACTTCGGTACAACGAATGTTCTCTTTTTATCAGTTCTTTTTGTTTTTGCTCAAGCATAAATGAAGAAAACGTTGTTTGTGTTGCGTTCCGTCGTTCATGGTGTGAACGCTGCACGAACAGCCGACTACCTAAATGTCTCGCGACACTTAGACGATCGCGGGGGCGTGGGTGGAGATCTTGGGCCACAGGTCCGCGGACTCCTTCGCCACCGGGCCGGCAATGCCGGAGCCCTTCATCTCACCCTTCGGGTTCACAATCACGCCTGCGTTGTCCTCGAAGTAGATCACGGTGCCGTCCTTGCGGCGCCAGCTCTTGCGCTGACGGATGATCACGGCGTTCAGCACCTTCTTGCGGAGCTCCGGCTTGCCCTTCTTCACCGAGCACATCACCATATCGCCGAGAGCGGCGGAAGGCAGGCGGTTCAGACGACCGTGGTAACCCTTCACGGAGATGACGTACAGGTTCTTCGCACCGGTGTTGTCGGCACAGTTCACCACGGCGCCGACGGGCAGCGCGACGGACACGCGGAAGCGGCAGCCCTTAACGTTAGCCTGATCCTTACCCATGTTCGCAACACTAATGATCAGTCAATAAAGAGAAAGACAGAAGCGTGTGGAGGAAAAAGTGATACATGTGCAGTGGAGTGCGGGCGGAAAGGTGCACCCAACGGCACAACACAACGATAAGTGTAAGTGGTTTGACAACGAGCGCAAAGGTCAAATGAAATATTTACAGCAATAGAAAACAACGCATTAATTGAAGGAGGAAAAGACGATGGAGATACGAGGAAGAGCGAAACGGTGATTATTACTTCTTTTTGATGCGGGAACCATGTTCAAGAAAAGACAAAGATCTCTCTTCTGTGAGAGGCGACCTGGAAGAAAACGGCAGGTGATAGCCATAAGTTCAAACCTCTGTAGTCTGAAGCACCTCCCGGCTGCATCGGTTGTTCGGTCCCCTCTCTGCTGCTTCTTCGTAGACTGCCATTAGTGCGCCGGCTGAACTTTGTCACCAAGAATTGATAGCACTCGTGCCGTGCACACATGCGCAGCGAGGGGTGCGGAAGTACACCATATCCAGCGAGCGCCCAACGGATTCTACGAGAAGCAGGCAGAAGAGGAAAAACACGACGAAGAGCACGCGGCTGCGTCAGAACAACGCACCCCACCTGCAACTTTCCCCTTCAGTCTCTCACGATGCCGCCTCTTACATCGCCATTATACGACTGGGTATCGTTCAGTAGAAAAAGAACGACTTCTCCTCCTATCTGCTGATGTGCATTGGAGTTGCCGTTGTTGGCCCTCTTCGTTTGATCGTCTTTTTTTTTTCAAAATGAAATGAGGTAGAAAAAAAGAATGGAAACCAGAAAACAAAATCAAAGAAAGTCAACCAAGATGCAGCCGACTACCTAAATGTCTCGCGACACTTAGACGATCGCGGGGGCGTGGGTGGAGATCTTGGGCCACAGGTCCGCGGACTCCTTCGCCACCGGGCCGGCAATGCCGGAGCCCTTCATCTCACCCTTCGGGTTCACAATCACGCCTGCGTTGTCCTCGAAGTAGATCACGGTGCCGTCCTTGCGGCGCCAGCTCTTGCGCTGACGGATGATCACGGCGTTCAGCACCTTCTTGCGGAGCTCCGGCTTGCCCTTCTTCACCGAGCACATCACCATATCGCCGAGAGCGGCGGAAGGCAGGCGGTTCAGACGACCGTGGTAACCCTTCACGGAGATGACGTACAGGTTCTTCGCACCGGTGTTGTCGGCACAGTTCACCACGGCGCCGACGGGCAGCGCGACGGACACGCGGAAGCGGCAGCCCTTAACGTTAGCCTGATCCTTACCCATGTTTGACTAATCTATGCGCGGCATCAAAAAGCGAGCGCAGAGGGAAAACGCAGGTGTGCACAGGAAAAATGACGAAGAAAAAAATCAGAAAAGGAAAATGAGCATCAATGAAAAATGGTTAGAGAGTAATTTGAGAGGAAGAAGAGAAGGAAAGCGCACACATGAAAAGAAATGACTCGCATGATTGAGATGTGTGATGAGCACAACAGCAACCGTCATCGATTAGAAGACAACCTATTACTTTTCTTGTTCCAGCGACGTATGACGCTTATAATCTTTTCCTCATGGATAATACTAATGTAATTGTGGTTGCTGTTTCGTTTGACGTGTGTTTTAGTGCAAAACGCATTCGACAGATGCGCCTCTCTGCATCTGTTTTGGCTGTGCGTTGACCGCCAGACATCGTCCTTAAAACGAGAGCTTTCGTTGTTGATTTTTTTTCCTTTCTTTTGATTGATCTGTAGTTCGGTTTTGCGCAGATGGAGAACTGAGTGCAGTTGACTCGCAAACAACGACAGCAATAGACAGCAGCAGTCATCACCAGCTGTGATTTCAGACTTGACCAGAATTAATTCCTTCTCCTTTCGCTATCAGCAGACTATACACACACAAACAAGTCTTCAGAGGTTCTTGGGGGACTGACGGTCAATGTTGATCGCCGCGAACTCGCGAATCTCGCGCTCCGACGGCATGTCCGTTCCGGTGAAGCGCCACTTTCGGTCGTTCGCCTTCCACTGAATCGATCGCCGTTCATCTTCGAAGGCGGGATTAAGCGCTTTCACCGTATCGTGACGGAATACGCCATGATCAGCCAGCCAAAGATGCAGGGAGGTAAAGACGTGCTCCTGCGGATTGTCGCGCGTTTCTAGCAAGACACCGATGAGCACGACGGGCACGAGGACGACCGGGAAGTACCGCATCCAGCGGTAGGTACCGTACGACATCATACCCACGCGAGAGCGACGCTCCTCAAAGGGCAGCGGAAATATGCGATTGATAGTTTCGAGGAGGCGCGAGTGCCGCGTCATCTCCGCCTTGGCGCGCTTTACCCATAGCTGCGACATTTTTTTTTTGCTCTGATTTGGGGGAAATTTTCTAGAATTGAAAGAAAAAAAAAAACGTGCAAGAGAAGGGGAAGTCATGGACGATTCTGAACTGACCTTGCTGTCCTACAGCTACGCCACTAAACGGCAGAAACTTTCATAGCGGCACCGTGAAGCCAACGATTGTGTCAGCCACGTAGAGGGGAAAGATGTTGCACGTTCGAACTCCTCACAGGACCAAAGCGTAGTGGTTCATGCTTCGGGTTATTCTTTCTGCAGAGTGGATCCTGTCCGGGATAGCAGAGTAGCAGAACGACAACTAGCAGGCATATGAATACAAAAAAAAAGGTTGTGGCATACGCACCTACATACCAGTCGGAAAAGGAAGGAAAACTGAACGCGCTTGTCCTTCCTACTCCTTCAAGACGCCTCCTCCACGGAGCTGGCAGCGCGACAGCTTCAACGCAGCCACCTCTTTCGCGTACGCCACATTTCGCTGCGCCAACTCCTCCACGCGTTTCGTAAGCATTCGATTTTGGCCTCGAAGAATTTCCGTGAATCGCAGCACGCGAGGCGTCTCATTAGCGAATGTGAAAGCGTTGTCTGGTGGCGGTGCTGACGCTGGCGGAGGTGCTGCAATGGTGCCCTCGAAACGCAACCGTTGCTCTGCATCCCCTGCGCTACCATTCCTTCCGTCGTCCACCGTACATGGAGGTCGTACAACTCGACTCGCCTCCTTAACAGCCGTAGCGGCATGCAGCGGCTTCACCTTTTCTTCCACGAAACAGGAGGGAAGACGCGCGCTCTCCGGAACGGTGTTAAGGCGACAACTTAGTTTCGCCTCCATATCGTCAGCATCACCGTCAGTCAACGGCGTGTTCCTCTTGGCGCAGGTTGCAGATGTCTTGTCCGGCGAGGAACCTTCAATGAACGACAGGGCTGCTAGAGAGGTGCGCGGCTGAATGGGAAAGCTCTCCGCTACCGGTTGCTCTGCAAGCTGCTTGTAAAACTCTGCCGCTTCGCACATCTCCTCTGATTGAAGCAAACATTGGACTTTTTCCTGCTCCAGCTGGCGCACGCGCCGTCGCAGTTGCCTCACTTCTTCACGCAGACTCTGTGTTGCCGCCTCGCTGGCCGCGGCCGCCGCTAGCTCTGGGTGGTCCGTTAACTTGACGAGAGTCCGCAGGGTGCAGGTTTCTTGCTGGAAGGCGTCCCTCTGCTGGCGCACCGTCGCCAGCTCCTGTTTCATCTCCTCACACTCCTCATGCACCCGTCTTAGGTGGTTGCACAGAAGAGGAAACTGTCGCACCTGCCGATCACGCAGTCGACGCAGCCGATTGAGGCTGCTGCAGCTTGCCGTTTCATATGCTGTTGAAATGCGCCTCTCATTTCCCAGCGCAGCTTTGGGTGGCCGTAGTGAAGTGCTTGTCGGCACCTGTGACATTGCGAGAAACCACACGGGAAAGAAACAAAATGCTGCTCGTTTGTCGACTGTCACGTCAGCTAAATTGAATGGGCGGAAAGTGTCGGTGTAGGTGAGATGGCCTTGCAAAAGCACGCGCCACTCATTGCCTGCGTATTCTATGGACGTGCGAGAAATATATATATGAGGATTCTTCTCTTCACACCTTCTATACGTTTCGGTAAGATCAAAGCAGCTTTAAATCAGCTTCCGTATGGGCGAGATGACAAACTGCTAACGAAAAGCAGGTTGAAGCAAAAGTGAAAGGGAAATTGTTCCAAAAGGAGAAGCACGAATTCGCACAAAGAAAAAAGAAGGAGACAGGAGCCGAGAACGACGGAAGGGAGGGACAATAATAATAATGAAAGGACTGAGCGCCAAACACAAGTACTTACAAGATGAAAAGAAATGCGAAGCGCAGCACCGCTACGGCATTGCCGCCCACGCTTCATTAATTGTGAAGCGGCGCCAAAAACCCCGCCTGTGCCTTTCCTTGTTTTTTTCTACCTTCACACTTGTGCCAAAAACAAGGAAGCCCCCACTGATTTACACCTTTCCGAGCTAATACTCGCAGGGATATTTTCCTCTTTGTCCATATTACCTTTGGCTGCGGTTCTTAAATGATGGCGGGTATCAATGACTCACCGCCGCTTCGCACGCCAAAAGAGGAGTGGTATACAAATCTGTAAAGACATCCGCAAAACAAGAAAGAGGTAGAGCGCGTACACGCCAGCCGGCACCGAGACAGCAACAGAATATAAATAACAGGAGAGAGCAGAAGAACGCACGCACACACACATTGAAAAAGAAAAGGTCCACAGAAGGGCGACACGGACGAGACAAATGTATCAGCTCGCCTTGTTTTCTTTGGGTTGAATGCTCGCCGGCGTCGGACTCGTGGGGTCCGCCGTTTCCGCCGCTACCTGCGACGTGTTCGGGTAGCCGAACCACGCCTTGAACGTGTCATCATCGAAGTTGAAGTATGCGTTTTTGTTGACGGAAATCACCTCCCCCTCCTCAATGTCGCGCAGAGCCTGCATGACAAAGTAGCCCTTTTCCTTCTGCACCGCTGCCTTCTTTTGCTGCGAGAGCCACTGCAGCATCGCCTCATCTGGGTAACCAATAGTCGCGTTGGGCGTTGGGGAGTGCAACGCCAGGTCCATCACCGGCACCATGCCCATCAAGTCGCCAGAGCCGCGTTGGGCGTAAGGAGAGTGCTGAAAGTACGGGTGTCCCGCGCTGCCGAGATCGCTCGAGGACCAAAAAGGGATCGCGTGCCGCCGGAAGAGGCAGTACGCGTGCCGGAAGATGACATCGAAGTCGGTCTCCTCTGCCTTGCACTGCGCCACCAACGGGGCTGTCCATTCCTTGTAACCTTTGGTCGCCTGCGCTGCGTCGGCGATCTTGCCAATGGGCATCGCCTGATCAAACGACAGCACGTCTAGGTAGCTCTGCACCCCACGCGGATGGCCGGTGAGGAGGACTTTGGTCAAGAACCCGACGAAAGCGAAGGAGCCGCGGTTCAGGTCCTCCCAGAACGGGACCGGGTCACCGTGCGTCTCGGGCGACACTTTCAGAGCAAACGTTGGGTCGTCGGCAATGCTCAGCAGACTCTGTGTTGCCTCCACCGGCACCACCGCGACGAAGTCGTACTCGGGGATTCGCTCCGTAGCGACGAGGCCGAGGGGCGTAATGTGCACTCGCTGGAAGAGGCGGCAGCCTTTGAGAACGGCCCACGTAACGAAGTCCAGCAACGTCGGGTTGCACCCTGCCAGTCGAACACTACTCATCGTCGACAAAAGAAGAGGAGAAAACTCCGCGGCAGCCTACGAATTACCCGCACCTAACGGGTGAAAAGAAGTGGAATTTGAAAAAAGAAGATTGTCAGGGCCGAGCGTGAGTTGAGCAGCCGGTGGTACTGAAGAGAAAGCTGCACGCTCAATTGAGGTTGTGCAGCGCGAGTGTACTTCGTTTTTCGTTGTTGGTACACTATCATCGAGTGCGACGAACTTGCAGCGTAATGCAAAGGAAGTTTCTTCCCCGTTAGTACGAGAGAAGTGCACGTGAGATACAAAAAGAAAGAAGCCGAAGGAAAAGAAAGTTTTGACAACAAAGCTAAGATTCTTGCTTACAGTAACGGTAGATCGACTAGAAAATGAAGTGGGTGTTTCATGCCCTTGCCTTGCAAGTTGGTAAAATACCGCTTAAAGGAAATTCTTCAGATTTCCTTGAGCTCCGACTGTATCAGCCTTCGGAGAAAAAATCTGACCTCAACTTTTTTCTCGCCGCGGCCTCCGTGTATCGAGAAGGCCGGAGAAGATGCTTCGCAGTCGAAGAACGTTTTTTTTTCAGTCGCTCTTGCGCTGCTCTTCGTTAGTGGTGTCTCGGGAATGTTTTTCTGTTTTCTGAATAGTTTCACGACAAATAGTAAATAGCTTCGAGGGAAAACATACGAGTCAAAGAAGAGAAGAAGAACATCATACGGGCTGCTGTAAAAGGAGAGGATGCGCATAGAGCAAGGGGAAACCGCAAGAATGACAGCTCGAAGCGCTTTTAGCGCGCTCGGCTTTCTTCGTAACGATTCGTTGTCACTGAAACGAGTGCGATGTCCAAGTCTCTTTTTTGCCCACCTCTCGGTCAACCTGCCACCGTTCACTTTCGCCATCCCCAATATCTCTCTGTCGCCCTCAACAACCAACGTCTTCATATATATATATATATGTCTTCGGCCGATTCCATCAACTCCCCTGCGATACACAGCCCCTAGACTTCGACGATAGTGACCAGCTTGCGAATCTCCTCCTTCAGAACCGGCGTCGTGCCGGGCGGCAGCGAGATCTCCTGGCGGGGGTAGGTGCGCTCGTTCGGCTTGTCGTACCCAATAATGAGCTCCGTCGACTCCTTTGTGATAACGCACACATCCACCTGCGTGCCACTGAAGGGGTCGTTGAAGATCCCCTTGCGAATCGCAGACGCTACCAGCTCCTTCGCCTCCTCGCAGGTCATGTTGTCTTTGTACGACGCCTCCATCTGCGCCATGGCCGCAATGCTACCACTGCCCATGGTCACAAACGGCAGACGGTCGGTGCTGCCGTGCGGGGCGATGGTGGCTAGGAAGGGGCCCTCCACATCCACCCCGCCCAGCACCAAGGCGGCGCTGACGTGACCCTGGTACTTATACAGGTGGCGCTTCAGCAGCGTCAGCGCCTCCAGTACACGCGACTGCTTCCCCGTCTCTAGACGGTGCAGCGCGAGGTGGGAGGAGACCATGTTCGTGACGGCCTCCGTGTCCGCTGAGGTGCCGGCGCCGCAGCACATAATGTTCGGCGCCATGTAGTGGATCTTGCGGCAGCGCTTGTCGGCGACGATGTTGCCCTCCGTAGCACGCGTATCGGCGCCGAGAACGACGCCATCCTTGTACACCACACCGACAATGGTGGTACCCGTCTTGAGCGTGCGCGGAGCCGCGTGGCCCTCATTCTGGAGGTTGAGGTTGCGCTGCACGTTCTCAAAGTCGAAGCCGGGCATCGTGACAACTTATCTCCGCAAAAGGTTTATTCTTCTGATCGGACGATGGCAACGGCTGTCTCTTCACTACGTAGACCCACAACCAGGAGAAACTAATAAAGAGAGGGAAATAGGAGCAGATTGGATGCGATGCGTCTGCAACGGGAGCTTGTTGGTATATGCAAACACGAATGCAAGAAAAAAAAAGATATCGAGAAATCACTAAGGAGAACAGGGAATCGGTCCAGGGGGGAAAATAGGGAAAAAGCAAAAGAGAAAAAGATTTAAAAAAGGTCCATGCAGCCACTCCCAGGAGTTAGCCAGAGACATGCAAAAAATGATCCAAGCGGACAACGTACGACGTCTACTCGACCAGGCATTGTGTTGTCTCTCCAGTGACGGATGCTCAACACCTATATTCCACACAAATAGCAGAAACGCCTTTTAGAACCGCCTCCAGGAAGGAAGCAGCTTTACGCTCTTCCTCCTCTTTTGGAAAGGTAGAAAGCAAACCCTACCGCGGTCTGTTCAAGTACGGCATTAGAGCTGTAAAGCAAATTTCCCCTTTTACGAATGCTGTTGCTGTGGCTCAACAAGAGAGACAGATAGTCTGCATTTTTCTACTGTGAACAAAACGAGAAGACGGAAAACGACAACTCCTGTCGCGTTTTCCCCTCAACAGCACATAGGAGATGAGAGCAAAACAAAAGCGTTTCTATACAGCAAGAAACGTACCATTTAAATGATACCTCCACAACGGAGCTCACGACGACCCGAAAGTTCAAGACGAAGGAGGGCAGAGTAGGAAAGTGAGTTCTTTTTCCAGTCATCCACGGGACACTCTATGGTGATTTCTTCAGATTCTTGTAGTCGTACTGCTCCTTGGGCTGCAAGTTCATCCAGTAGTCCTCACCCTTTTTCTGCCTGCTATCCTCATCAGGTTCACTGAACTCGTTGCCTACGGCCTGGCCATCGCCTAAGAACGCTGGCTCCTCGCCGTGCGGCAGCGCCGTCGTCTCCGGCGCGTTCGGCGCAATCATCTTGTTGGCGTCATCGAAAGAGGCGGAGTCGGTCAACTTCGCACGCGGCTGATCCGGCGTCGGACCAGCAAAGCGATACGCGTCCTGGACGTGCTCCTGAATCGCAGCCGCCAGCTTCTCCTTTGTGCCCTCCGTGTTGGTCAAGTTCAGCTTCACCACACGCCGCGAGACCGGGTAGCCGAAAAGCGGCGGCGGGACTGCCTTCAGTCCGAGCTTGAGGCGCTCCCGTCCCTCCACGTTCGGCTCCAATATGCTAAATACGTAGTAGTGCTTGTACTTGGATATTTTGCGGGACTGCTTGATGTGCACGAGGTCGCCTTCCACGCACGCCAGGTCCTCGTCGTGCGCGAAGAAGCGGCTCGTGCGCGAGACACGCTGATTAAACTTGGGGTAGTACACCATGTGGTTCGCAGCCACGACAGCTGTCTTGAGCATGCTCGTGCCCACGACGTAACCGATTTTGTCAGAGCCTTGGCGAGGTTGGTTAAAGATCATAGAGGTGAGGTCGTACGGCCACGGCATGCGGCGCGGACGCTGTCCCTGCACGCCCGTCATGGACACCGCCCAGTGGTGTCGGGTGCGGTTCGGGAACGCGTTGCGCTTAAACTTGCGCACGTACACGCGATGGTTGGCGTTGTGGGTGTTCTTGGTGCGAGCACCACCGTACATCATGACACAGCGCTGACGGTGCTCGGTCTGGAAGTTCCACCACGGCAGGCGGAGAAACGATTGACGAAACATCCTAGTTACTATTTCTCTTGCCGCTTTCACGACCCTCCCGTAGATGCAAACAACAACAAAAAATGTAAATCCTTGTGCAGCGCTTCTCCAATGGAAGAGGAAAAGCTCTTCGCGCTTCCTTTTCACCTCTCTTCTTACTATTAGATGTAGTAACAGTATACGTATATAAGTGGTTGTGGTTGAAATGAGGCCGGAAGCAGTTTTTAAGAGGGAAAGAGAGGAAGAGAGGAAGATTGTCAACGAAGCTGAACCTCCAAGCTATTGCTCTTCTTTTACGGCTCCTCTGCTGCAACGCACGCGATCTCCAGTGGAAAGTCCGAAGAACGCAGAACACGATATTGTGGCAACACACCTTTCCAAAGACAACGACGAAAAGCAGAGAGGTCAAGATACGATAGTCTTGCGTATGTCCATTGCAAAAAAAAAAATCACTTAGATGCTCGAACATTGCGTCAGAATGAATAAATCGAGATCTGTCAACGCCGTCGTCACGCTTCCCAAATGCGATTCATGCCTTACAACACGTTCGAATGGCCGTTCCAGTGCTCTCCGCATTGATAACTTCATTAAGGCAGCTTCCGCTTTTTTGGTGTTGTTTTTTGGGCACTTCGACATGTATTATTTACACAAACAAAAGGATCTTAACGGGTATCATCCCACTTACAGAGAAACAACAACAAAACCGTTGACAAATGGCCCTCAACGCCCACGACAAGGACGCAGCATCATACGTCCTCAACAACGCGCAGCTTCCTCGCCCCGCCAGAAAAAAAAAAAAGAAGATCACTTCAGTCCCCAAGATACACATGTCCTCTTTTCGTCTCGTGCCTTGCACCTCAAGCACAGGCATCCTCATCCGCAAAAATGGCTTTCTCTCTCGCCGAGTCGCCGTTGCGTCTTCCTTAAGAGACAAACGCGATGCGCACAACGACAGCTGCAAAAAGGGAGGTCAGACATTCGAGGAATAGGCCAAAACACTCGCAAGAGAAAAAGGTTCATCGTAGTTCCAGCTTTAAAAAAAAAAAGCATGAGGCGTCTCTTGGAGTAAATGAATAACGGAGCTCAAAAACAGGAAAAAAAAACAGAGATCCTCCCCGCACAATTCTGTCGAAGCTGCGTTCAAGTGGAGAAGCATTACAAGTGATAAACATCAAACAATACAAAATACAAAAGTGAAACAGTAGCCCCTGCCTCACAAGAAAGACCCATACACGACCAAGGAAAGCAAGGAAAAAAACAATGCTTTACTTTCCTCGGCCACCCTTCATGCGGCTTACGCCGGGGGCGCCAGCGAACATGCCACCCATGCCAGCCTTGCTCATGGCCATGTTACCACCGCGGCCACCGCCGCCACCAGCGGCCTGCTTCTTCCCTGCCTCCGATTCGGGGTTCGTCACGGTCTCGTCGATGGAGAGAATTAGGCACGCGGCCTCCGTGGCGCTCTGCAGGGCGTTGCGCTTCACCAGTGTCGGCTCCCACACAAAGTTGGCGAAGGTGTCACACACGCCGCCGTTGAAGATGTCCACGCCGTACCACTTGTTGTTCGGCGCGTCGTTCGTCATGTAGTGCTTCTGGCGCAGCTTGTTCACCGTGTCGGTGCTATCGTGGCCGGCGTTCGCAGCCAACTGGCGCGGGATCACCTCCAACGCGCGGGCGTAGCCCGCAATCACCATCTGCTCCTTGCCGCGAATCGTCCGCGAGTACTCGCGCAGCTCCTTGCTCAGTTCCATCTCGATCGCACCGCCGCCGCCTACGACGGAGCCGGTCTTGATGGCGCGCTTCACGATGCAGATGGCGTCGTGGAGGGAGCGGTCGGCCTCCTCGATAAATTGCTGAGCTCCACCACGCAGAATCACGGTGGACGTCTTCGACGTCTTGCAGCCCGTGAAGAAATTGTAGCGCTCCGTGCCGACCTGGCGCTCCTCGAAGGTGCCGCACGTGCCGAGCACCTCTGCCAGTACGTTGGTCAGTGTGGACTGCACCACGCCGCCGGTGGCCATGCACACGCGCGTCATGTCATCGTTGGCGACGCGGCCGGCGCAGAAGATGTCGCGGTCCGCAAAGTACTGCGTGGCCAGGTCACCGATGGGGAGCCGGGAGAGCACCACGTTGGCGCCAGTAGCGACGCACTTGTCGAGCTTGTCGAAGATGATCTTCCACTCAGCGTCAACGATGGATTGATATTGCTTTGGGTCCTTCAGTCGTACCTCGGCGTTGTCCTTCTCCGCCTTCAGCTCCAGCTCGATGTTCAGCAGCAGAACCTTGGGGTTGTCGAACTTCTTGCGCTGCTGCTCAAATCCAGCGTAGGAGAACGTCTTCTTGAAGGCTACACCGTCCACAAGAACACTATCACGCATGCTACCGCCGACGACCTTTTTAATGCCGATGAGGTCGAGGTTCATGTCATTGTCTAACGCCGACACCGCCCTCACGGCCATCTCCGCAAAAAAGCGGCGCTCCGTGTTGATCAGCTTCGAGTTCAGTGCCGTCTCAGCGCAGCGGATCAAGTTCTCCTCGTTGGAGTTGTCCTCGGCCTTGAACGGGACACACAGATTGTCCAACCCCTTCATGGCCACGACCAGCGCACTGCGGTACGCCTTGATAATCACCTGGGGCGCGATGCCGTCCTCCACGCACTGTTTCGCCTCTTTTAGCAGTTCACCGGCCAACACCACCACCGACGTCGTGCCATCGCCCACCTCGTTGTCCTGCGCCCGAGCGATGTCGACCAGGCTTTTCGCGGCGGGGTGCACGATTTCGAGCAGGTTCATGATGGTCGCGCCGTCGTTGCTGATCTGCACATCACGGCCGTTGTGAATCAGCTTATCCATACCGCAGGGGCCGAGGGTGGACTTTACGGTATCGACGATGTTGATGCAGGCATTGATGTTGCTGATCAGCTGCGGCTTGCCTTGCGAGGTGTCGGTACCTTCGCGCAGCAGCACAAGTTGCGGCTGGATCATGGTGACGAAAAAGCTGCGTTTGTGAAAAAGAGATGAAAATTACCGTCCTTCGCTTGTATGTATGTATGTGGGTGCGACGGGGAAACCAAGAAAGAAAGAAAAGGCACCACCTGCTGGGATGTGTCAACAGTTCTAGAAAGTAGCTTTAGAGTACGCTGAGAAGTACAAAGAAAAAAAAAACGTGTAACCTGTTTGGCAAACGGAGAATGCTTGTTCAAATAAAACTTGGTGAACAGCAATTTTTTTTTCTCTCTTCATGTAGCATTAAGTGATCGCAGAAGCGTTACACAGAACGTTTCGCAAAGAGGAGAAAGATCATATCACAAAGGAAAAGATGTATTTTTGTTTTTTGCAGACGAATTGAATAGAAAATATTCAAGAGTGGAAAAGCGGATGGGAGCTGTGAGCGAGAAACACAAGCAGCAGAGAAAACAAAGGGACGTCCTAATGGAACACGGTAGCGTCAAAATGATTCCAGGAAGGCGACTTTCGGCCAACTCTTCTTCAGTCTCAACTTTCTGGTGTCCTCTTCCAACGGCGCCACTCATCAAATACTCTTTCGTAAATCCGACAATGCCATGCATAACTGTTAACGAGTGCCGTCTTTTTATTTTATTGTACTTGCACTCCAATACGCAGAGTGCAGCCATGTTTACATCGTCGTCGCAGCGTTCCGTTGCCTACCCGCGAAACCAAAAAGAAAGGCATAGAGGAAGACGTGTAGCGTGAAACCCTCACGTGCAACTCCCCTGCTGTACATCGTCTAAAAAAGAGGTAGGGGAGCACAAGATGCCCGTATCCCGTTGAGAGAAACAAACAAACAACAACAAAACCAACACAAAACTGTACAAGCACCACTTTAGTGAGCGTCACAGAAAAAAAAAGGGAATGCAAAATAGTCACTTGCTTTCCAAAAAAAAAAAGACTAGACAAGGGAGGAAAGCGTTGAACGCTGTCATGCGCAGTTGGCAGCTACGACAAGCTCAACATTCACCGTTTTCTTTTGAGTCGTGTGCGCAAAGGTAAAAATTGCGAACCAACTTACCCATTTTCTCTCCTTTCCGATGGTTCAAGGCTACTACCGCTTGTTTTGCAAAAGAGAGAAAAAGAACTCGGACTCCAGCGGTCCATCCTCTTCTAAATCAGTGCAGTGCACCGCGTTCCGCACACGATCCACTCCGTATTTGGCACGAAGCGTGTGAGGAAACAGGACGTGACACACTTCAGGGTCGTGTGGGCCGCAAACCGCGCGCAACGCCGGCACCGCGTTCTCCGCGCACACTTCAATGGCCCAACACGGGCCAGACGCCATCTGCTCTACAAGCTTTCTGTACTCGGGGAGAACGCCGCTGTAGACTTCTAAGAAATCCTCCGCGTCGGCTACGGTGAGCTGGTAAGAGCCTAGAGCACTGATGTAAAACCCCTCCTCGACAAGCCGCTGTAAAATAGCACCTTCATATCTGCTCGTGATGGCATGCGGTTTGATGACACACACAGCACAGTCCCGCAGCGTCGCCGTCGTTTTTCCAGGGCCCATCATTGTCTGCATGATTTCTTGCACGTCGCCCTCGTTGGCGACTTGTATCACCGCCGCGGGGTGCAGCGCCGCCACTGCTGCAATTTTTTCGCGTGCATCGGCGCCGCTCACCGACAAAAGTAGAACGCGCGCCGAGCTAGCCGCGATGCGGTCGATCAGGCTTTGCGGGAGTTCAACCAAGCGCGCTGACGTGATACGCAAATCTTGAGTCGTGAGAGCGTCAACGACAGTCCCCGCCGTTGCACTGTGGTGCTCCATGTCGATGCCGAGCATGCACTCACTCGTGTTGACAGACAGACGCCGGTGTGTAGCCTCATCGCCGTAGTCAACGAGGCGGAGGGGGCGGGAAAAGACGTTGATGGTGGCGCCGACGTAAAGCTCATTCGCGCTCAGAGATGGATATGCGCAACGCTTTAGAAACAATCGCTTTGTTTTCAAGTCGTACATTTCTATTGTCTTATCTTCTGTAAAGTAGCACAACTGATATGTTCGTGTTAGCCCCGCGTGTGGATCGGCGTACTCTACAACGAAAGCAATGCGTTCATCGCTTGCCATGTTTCCAATGGAGAAAAACAAAAGGAATGAAACTTTGAACACAAGAGCAGCTCTATTGTTCGTGCATGTACCTCGGGAGACAGGGGAGGGAGAGGGAGTGTGAGCGGGTGTGTGCAGGATTCTGAAATAACAGTAAAAAAAGGTGCTGCAAGTCTTGGAGAGAATAGCGAAGATAGTTGACGAAAACAAAATAAGTAGCTAGTGGAAGTGACGAAGAGCACAGAGAAAACAAATGCGGCACCTACTAAATCGGGGAAGGTACTCTTGAAACCAAGCAGGAAAATTTTTTGATCTAAAAGCAAGGACAGCCCTTTTTCCTCTCTTCTGCGCAGGCACCGCCGTCCGGTTTTCTCCTCGTGGAGCTTTGAAAGCTGAAGTCACGCAGGCCTTTTTGCTTCTCGAAGTTGCTCCGTTCGGTCGTCCGCATGTAGAGAAAAAAAGAGATCGCTTTTCGTTTTTTTTATGATAACAAGCACGGCACTTGTTCAACAGCTGAAAGTCAAAAATGTATGGCCTCGTTATAGGAAAAGAGAAAAAAAAAAGAGGAAGCATTAATTGTGGAAGAAAGAAAAGCATCATTCTTCATTAAACGAAACATTTCACAAACAAAAAAACAGAGTTAAGATTTAGCTGAAAACAATCCGAGAAAACGACCCAGAAGACCGGCCACAGACGAAGCAAACTGGAAAAAAAAATGCAGGGAAGCTGATGGGGCGCCAGCTGTCTGCTTTTCCGTGTGAACTGCGTCATCTTTTCTTCTGCGAGATGTCTCAAAAAGCTGAGCTCCAAGGCGCCTCCACTGCCTACTCCACGTAACCATACGTCTTTCGCTTCGCCAGAGGCTTGATCTTGTCGCTGTGAATTCGCGACATCTCCTTGACCGCCTCCCGCTTCTCCGCCTTCTTGATGCGGCGGGAGGTGCGCAAGATTGCCTTTGGTGCGTTGCGCTGGTTGCTAATGCGCTTGACCTCCAAGAAGTTCGAGTATTTGTTCTTAAGGGAGCGCATGTAATTGAAGTTGTGCTTTTCAGGTCCGCGCAATGGGCGAATCGGTTTGCTGGCGTCCGACTTCCAAATGCGCAAAACGGCGTCCTCGCTGCCGCTGTAGATGTAGCTGTTGTCGGGCGACCACTTTACAGCACACACACCGGCCATGCGCTTCGTGTGGAACATCTCAATCGAGTCCGACTTCGTCGTCTGATGCAGGTCCCAAATACGCAGCGACGCATCCTGCGAGCCCGCCGCAAACATGTTGCCCGTCGGACAAAAGTCAACTGAAGTGACAGGACGGATGTGTCCCTGGAAAACGTTGCGGGGCCGACCGGGCACGCGGATGTCAAAGAGGTAGCAGTTGCGATCGTCACTTCCTGTGACAAACACGTTCGGGTCCATCGGGTTCCACGACAGCGACGTGGAGCACATTTCCATGACAATCTTGCTATGAGCTGACTGACTGCGGACATCATAAAGGAAGACGCCACGGTCGGCCATGCAGCAGGCCACTAGGTTTGTCTCGATTTTATTAAAGCGGCACGACGTCACGGTGTCATCACCCCAGGAGAAGCGCTGAAGCGGCTGCGTGCGATTCACATCCCAAATATTCACTACGTCCGACGATGTCGCGAACCACGACTTTTCAAAGTGATGGTCAATGGAAGAAAAGGGAAATTCGCCGAGGTACTCCGCAACAGGCTCAATGCGCTCAACTTCGGGGTCAAAGTCGAGATCCCACATCTTCACAGTTTTGTCACGGGAAGCACTAAAGCAGGCAACGCCATCAGGTGAAATTACCACGCCGTCGACGGAGTGACGATGGGCGTCGATCACTGCACGTTGTTTCTTGGTCATGACATCCCATACGATCACTCCGCCATCAACAGAGCCGGTGGCAACCGTAGATAGGTTGGTGATATCGGTAGCTATAGATTGGATTGTATCCTGATGACCTGGCAGGGCGGCGACGAACGGCTTGGCAAACATTCGATCCATTTTGGCGGCGCGGACAGCTCGCGTAAACTCCACCTGCTTGGCCATCGGATTAAACTTTGGGTCGTAATTCCTATTTGCCTTGGGAACTTCCGTCGCACGATCCTTCGTCCACTCCAGCTCGGAGCGACTAATCGTCTTGATCTTCACCATCGTGAGCGCGCGCCGGGTGCCTAAGATCGACTGTTGTTGAATTACTATTTCGTTTTCTCTGTGTGAGCGCGTAAGATAGAGGAGGCACTCGAAATAAAGCTCTTTTTGCGTTTGCGTGTGTACCCGTATGAAAAGCGCATAAAAGGCAACAGAGCGGATGAAAACAGAATTGCAAATAAAGTGAAGAGAGGTTGGCAAGAAAACCAGTGAAGAATTAGAAAGCAAGGGTATCGCCTTCTAAACCAGCAGGCGCATTTCATTCAAATAAGATTGAGCTAGACACAGAAAAAAAAAACCGAGAACGCTCGAATACAGAAACAAAAAGCACTATCTACTGCAAACCAAAACTCTTTCTATGCAGGAGATCATCTATGAGCAGGTGAGAACACACTTTTTTCCCAAGTGCATCTGGTGATAGCTTGCTTGCTATTGTGTTTGTTGGTACGCACCTCGCTCATCCAAATTGGAAGCACGCACAATTCTTTTTGTTTCGTGTACCTGACGGTACAAGACAAAGCTAGTAAACATCAGCGAATAAAATGGGTACGCTACCCAGCACTTCTTTTGTTGTTGACAACATTTAAAGAATTCCGGGTTGGTAAACAACGTCTTAACGCATGTCTTCTGGATTACCGTGTTCGGTGAAGGGTGCAAGCATCTTATCTACAAACTTTTCGTAATGAATCACGCCGTTCTCCTCAAAACCTTGAATCAGGTCGCGGAATTCCTCTTCATGGTACTTCTCGCCCATCGTTGTCATGATGTGCCGAAATTCTGCCACGGACACGGTGCCGTCCAGGTCTTTGTCGAAAACACGAAACGCCTCTTTTACTGCCTCTGCAGTATCCATTTTGTCATCGTGCTTGGCAACCAGCGCCTCATATCCTGCCATATCTATATCGGTAGCCGTGGCCATAATTTCTTTTATTTTCTCCTCACTAGGATTGAGTCCTGCGGCTCTCAAAGCAGTAGGGACGGATGTCTTCGGAATTTTGCCGTCCCGTTGTAGAAGCCCAAAGGCCTCTTTCATCAGTGTAGACCGCGACATAGTAAATCAAGAGAACGTTCCAATGACCAGAACGTTTGAAACCTCAACAAAACGTTTTTCCTCAATTTATTGCTAGGGAATAAGAATACCGAAGCGATAGAAACTCGAAAAAAAAAAACTCAATTAATCGTAACATAATTGAGAAAGAAGTATGTAATGTGTAGCCAAAAAAGAAGAAAAGAAGATGACCAAAGATATATAGGGAAGAAAAGTCACGCAAGCATCAAAAATATATTACCTGCCAAATGGACACTGAACCACCAAGATAACAAAACACTATAATTGTACCATGGCTCTTGAATCCCGAGCCTAAATTTTCTCGTGCATATCATGCTTTCAATACGAGCACCGACTGTCACGTGCAAAACCCAAATAAAGCAGCATCATGCTCATCGAACGAAGTTTAATGAAAGGGAATGATTCTTTTTGTGTGACACGAGACAATAATAATAAGCGAGTGTTAATAATTGCATTAGACAAATTGATGTAACAACTGATACACACACGAACATCTGTGAAGCTTCAAAAACAATCATCCAAACAAGGACCAACGACCATAAAACGGCACACAAGGAACTGCAGAAAGAGAACAAACTCTTCAGAAAAAAAAGAGTCCTTAAAACAGCTCAACATCACCAACAAAAATCATCCCTACAGAGAACCAGAACCACCAGAAACGACGAAAACTGTCGACAACTGTTTCCAAGGCCTCAAAGCGAGAATGAGCCCTCAGCCAATTGTAGTCGGCAAAATTGGCTGGAACTTGAATTTCCTTTTTTTCCACATCGACGTAGTACGCACGTCCAGGTGGCACAACACGTATTTCCTGGCCTTTCAAAAACCAACGGTAAAGAAACGCTGACTTCAGCATTCCCTTCAAAAACTGATCCAGTTCGTCGGGGTTGACAAAGTCGGGGTCGGTCTTGCGCTTGGGATCATCCCAGAAACTTGTGTTGTATGTGTTGAACTTCAAGGTGGTGCCCACGCGCACTCGAACGTACTCAATATCCGCAGTTTGTTTCGTCTGTTGCGCCTCCATTTTCAACTGCACCGCTTGGAGCCGTGGAGCAACGGTGGAGAGAAACGTGAGGATTTCTTGCGCGGAGGCAGTGTCTATGAATTTAACAGATCCCGACGTCCAATCTGCGTGAAACGCGCTACGCCGCTCCGCCGTTTCGCGAACAGGATATAAATCGACTGCTTTCGGCTCACGTTCCTGCAAAAGCCAGTTTGTAAGTGTCCCCGGTTCAATGATCTTTTTGCCTGCGGGGATGTTCAGCAGCTGGGTGGTGGACGGATCCTTGATGACGTGGATCGAAAGAAATGAAAACGCTGGCGTTCGCTTAAACATGCTGTCGTTGTCAAGCACTCGCTTTGAAAAGCTGGTGTAATCCGCGTCGTCGTCCCAGGTGACCCGTTTCCATTTCATCCGCTTTGTCAAATCTTCCGCTTCGTAATACTGATCCATCGCACGGGCAGATTTATCATCGCTTGTCGTGGTGCTAACCGCCTCATCCTTTTTTTCTTTGTCGTTGCCCCGATCGCGGAAAAACTGAACGAAATCGTTTCCGTAGGCAATGAAGCCTTTCTCCATCTTGTAGCGTTCCTTCCGCAGCGCCTTGAGAGGAGTTTTCTGGAGCCCAATCCATTCGAGGATGTCGGGCTGAAATGCCAACTTTCTCGTCACCGACATCGCACTGAGTTTCTTCTACTGAAAAGAATTCTAGGAGCGAACAGGGTAAGAAAACAACGGCACAGCTACTGATCATTGACCAATCATTCAAAGTGAAGTTAGCAGTTTTTGTTTTTGGGTGTTTACAACCAAGAAACAAAAATGACCCAACAAGAAAGTAAAGTCAAAGAGAGATATAAGACAGGGGAAGTAAACATAGATATATTTATATATATAATGCAGAAATATTGATTACTGGCATCCTGTTTGAATTCATAACATCTAGCCCACAGTTACGAGACTGTTTGTAAAATTTAATAATAATAATAATAATAATAATAACAGTAATAATAACCACAATCACTATTATTATTATTATCATTATCATTGGTGTAATTGCTGTGAACATTACGTCGTAGTCTTCCAGCAATCGGATTTGTTACTGAAGAAATTCGTCTTTCCTTTTTTTTTTTTTATGAGGAAACAATAAAATGAAACTATGCTTGCGTGTGGCTTTTCATTTTTCATTTCACCAATGAAAAGAACGTTTAGGCTACGTTTCAACAATTCTCAAATGATCTTTTTACGTTCACGCAACCTTGCAGTTGAAGCATTGAAACAGAAAAGGTAAAATAAAAAGAGTTACGTAAAGCTTTGATGTGTGTATAGAAAAGAACGGTTTCAGTCAAATAGTTGGTGTCGTAAGGAAAAAAAAAGAGTGTGCATCTGCCACCCAGCGGTAGAAGTACTTCTCATAATATGCTCAATTTGTTCCTCCACAAGCCACTCTCTCATGCAAGATAAAAAAAATCAAATGGTAATTTTTATGCCTAGCATTTTGTAGAATTCACGCAGAATTGCTTGGTGGCCGGGCCACGCAGGAGAGGTTACAAGGTTTCCATCGAGCACTGCCTCGTTCGGCGGCACTTCCTTGTACGCGCCACCTCCGACAGTGACGTCAGGTGAAACAGCCGGGTAGCAGGTGAGAGTCCTTGACTTGACAACGTTAGCAGCAACCAGTACCTGAATACCGTGGCAAATCGCCGCAACAGGGAGGTTCTTGTCGAAGAAGTGGCGAGTCCACTCAATAATCTTTTGGTTGAGGCGAATGTACTCCGGAGCACGTCCACCGGTAATGTAAAGACCTCGGTACTCCTCAACATTCACGGTGTCAAAATCTTTCGTAATGGTGAAATTGTGGCCGCGGAGCTCCACATAAGTTTGGCAACCGGTAAAATCATGAATAGCAGTGGCAATGCACTCACCCTTCTTCTTTCCGGGACATACGACGTCCACCGTAACACCAAGAGATTCCAAGGCTTGGAACGGCACCATGACCTCGTAGTCCTCGACGAAGTCGCCGGCAAACATCAGGACTTTTATTGTCATTTTTATTGAAAGATACGAAAAAAAACGACGAATTTGTGTGAGTATAACGGGTATCAGGACGATAAAACGATTGATAAAAGCGAGGACGACCTTTTGGCTGGTTTCGTTGCTGTGTGACCCAGGAATTTCAATATTGATGGGATGATAAAGACGATAAAGGATAGAAACACACGCATACAAAAAAAAAGAAGAAGACCAAGAAGATAAGAAACGATTGAGTCAACGTTATTCTTCTTCCAGTTGCACCCCATACGCTAGATAATCCTATACATTCAAACAATCCGCAAAAAAACACAAGACTATTGTTGTTTGCGTTATCAGTCACAGGTTTTTTTCTTTGCCGTTCCAGAAGCGTTTCCAATTCTGGTACAACGAGCAGACAGAATAGTTTCAACACATTTCTGCAGGGGAAAAAAAGGCACGCTGTACAAAAAGTCCGCTGCCTCCACGGGCTCCAGGTGCTGGAACGAATTGGGCTCACCATAATTGCCATCAAATGTCCCCCCACCTAATGAAATAGGGTTTCACCTCAAGCAACATATTTGTGGACTACTGTCCACTTAGAATGCCGAAACTCCATGGCCTCTGGTATGGCAGCAGCGTTTGTGGTATCGGCCCCCCCCCCTCCTCCACATCTCTCTTTTTCGACTCCGCTTTCAGCAGTCTTGTTCATTCTTCTTCGTGTGACCTCGTGGAGCGAAGCTGGACTGTGGTGAGCATTTTGCTGCAAAGCATTGTCGGTGGACCTTTCATTTCTTTTTTACAGTGAGGTTGTGCAGGGGTGTTCACCTTTTGTGTTACTCCAGACGCTAGCACGCTCTCCGACTTCATTTAGTAGGGTAAAAAGGGGTGATTGGCGCAAAGGTAGCTGTAGGAACATCGTGGACGTAGGAGGAACCCCTACACCCACTCTGCTCGTAACGCACGGCGAAGATGCGATGTTTATGTTCACAGTGTTCAGACAACAGGGAACAACAGCCTGCGTGCTTTGTAGGTCACTTCTCAAGATTCATTAAGCTTTTTCGTAGAATCGAATAGTCGTCTTGAAAGTAGCAGACATCTTTCAGCTTTGTTAAGCGCGAATGCGAAAGCGGGTCAATGCTTTTTTTCCCTGCGTCCCATCTGCGTCACCTCTCTTACACGTGGATTACTCGAAACGAAGATAATGAGGAAACAAAAAAACGAAATCAGGCAAGCGCTATCCTACAAAACAGACGAACAGTGTCGCAGATACTTTATCCTTTTAATTATTCTCAGCATTCATTTGCCGTTGTAAGCCTGAAGCTGCCGAAGCCTGAGAAAGAAAAGCAGGAGAGAATCTGACGTGTACATTTTGCAGCCGAAGCGGGAAAACATGCGCTCTTTCTTACTGTAATGTCGTTTTCTCTTGATTGAGCGTCGGAAAACCCGCCTGTTTTCGAAGTGAGTTTTCGATCTCTCAATAACTATGAATCTCTTCTTTCCCTCTTTCTCTCCTCTTTTTATTTCAACTTAACCGCCTTTCATATTAGTGTCCTTATTAACAGTTTATATAAGAGTTCGTTCTCTACCGAACCCTCAAAATGATGGATTTTCGTGATGTCACGGCCGAAAACCAAATTAAAGGGTTTTCGGCCTACTTCGATAGTATTAACTATCCAGCACAACCGCTGAGCGCGGAGTCAAAAGTATTTTTCAACACCTTTTTCGGCGGTGAGGGTTTTATTACCCTTTGCGACCTTCTGTTTGGGCCCTATTATGACAAAGGCGCTTCTGACGCAAGGGAACTGTGCTGGATGGATTACGCGAATTTGGCACCTACGCAAAGCGTCGCCACAGCGTTGTCGGGGCTTATTCATCCAAACTCTGCTTTTATATCCACCCTAGAAGCACTTTCCACGCCATCTGCCACCTTCTCGGCACGGATCAAAAAAGGTTGGAAGAACGCTGCGGAGGCTCGCCTCGAATCTTTTCTCTACACTGATCTGCCTCTCTCTTCAGTGTATCCACAATCTTACCAGCTTATGACAGAGCCTGGGGATTCTAATTTGTACGTGCTTCCGCGGTCACGGGTCCCGCCAATCCTGCTCGTACCTTTCTGGGAACCGCCTGTCGTGACTCGCAAAGAGCTTAGCCAGCAGCAAATTTTGACGTCTTTGCCGTGCTCCCCAATCGGCTATTTTGTTTTCCGTTTGTTCTTTTTCGGCATGAAACGTGTGAAACAGTATAGCGGCGACTACCTTGCCCAGCGACGGCGTAGAAATTTCTTTTCCTGCATGTGGCATCTGAAGGAAGTAGCTTACGCGTCACTTTTCAAAACAGTTCCGATTGATATGCCTTATTACACGCAGCTACTCCAAACGTACACGCAAATTTACGTGTCACCATCCCTTCCGCGGCATTTGAGCAGTAAAGCGACAATTGGCGACGTCACGTGGACCACTTGCGACACTGTTGCGGCGCTGTTAATAATGGCGCCGTCACTTCTGGCGCACCGTCAAATGAAGCAGCCGCTCGATGAAAATACGCGATTTGGCTGCACAAACCCCGAGTCGCTCGCACAAATTACCTCCATCGTGCCGTTGCATACAAGCATGGTGTATGCTTTGCTTCAGAACCGCAGCGACTTTCCTGTCCAAGATAGCCAATTTTCTGTCCCGCCAGACTTTCCGCTTGACGCAAGTTCCAAAGCGCAAAGCGATCTCGAAAGCATCGGTAGCACGCTTTATCGTAATTGCTTAATTTTACTGCGTGAGTGTTTACTATCCTTAGACCTGGAGCCGTATTGCAAGTCATCCCACTTCACCTATTGTTTTGAATTATGGGCAGTGCTGATGCATCCTTTCGATAAGCAGCAGCGGCCGATGGCATCTCAGCACGTGCTACATCACTTTGAAGCTTTCAGCTTCATTACCGTTGATGTGTTGAATATGCTGGTAAAAAGCTCTTTTTGTCGATCGATGAACGAGGAGAGTGTGAAAGTATTGAAAAAGTGTTTTTTTCTTCTTTCTCAGGACTCGGTTGGGAGCCTTTTAGGTGATATTCACACATCACAGACTTCTCCTCGCAGCATTGCGGACGTCGTGAGCAGATACTTCGTTCTAAACTGGACAGGTAACGACGGAAATATTCAGTTACCCGATTTGCACGGTGACACAACCTGCGATCTTGCTGCCAGAGCCTACGTTTTACTTGAACGGGCGCTCAGTGGAGACCTATCGGATCAACTTAAGAGCGATCTGCGCGAAGCACTGAGTTTCATGGAGAAAGTTTTCCCTAATATTTCCACACACTTAGATGCGTGGCGCAGCGCTGAGAGAAGCTCCTTCGTCGCCTCTTCATCGACCTCTTCGCGTCACGTCACCATTGCAGACAGGCTCTCGGACAGTGATAGATCGCTTTTCTTCAAGGGCACAAAGACACATCGGAAAATCTTTGCTAAAAATATTCGACTGCCTACGCGAAACGGCCGCATACCTGGGGGACATCACCCTGCGCTGCAGACGAGTCTCCGAAACGAAATTCCGTTGCTGCTGGGCGTCTCCCGATTTCTGGATGCCGTGACTGTAAAGGCGCTCGCGGTATACTACTCTAGCTTAATTCCGAAGTGCGACAATGGTCACAATTTGTGGCTGCTGTATTCGAAGAATTATTCCTGCTGCAATCACCCACGAGAAACGGCAATATGGGAGTGCTCTTTGTGCGAAACTGTTTATGGCAGCTGCTGTATGGGGTTCCCGTTTCGTGCAGATGGTGTGCGATATTTAGTGTGCGAAGCTTCAATATCCGATGATAAGCAGTGTGGCTTATGCGGTCAAGTAGTTCCAAATGACTGCAGTCTTTTCTACCCGGAACATAGCCGCGGCATTTATGTGTGCCCCGATTGTGCGTCACAACCTTTCAAAGCACCATCGACACGCTGGATAGCGTCGTACACAACGTGGGCTACACTTGTTGTTGCAGTAATGTTATACTTCGTTATTGTGTTTTTGAGCAACTGATTTTTTTTTTGCTACTGCCGATAGCCAAACAAAAAGTATCGATTTAACAGAATAAATGTTGTCGTTAATCAGTTAATCTAAATCTAGAATTGTCTTCGAATCAAGAGCTGCATCAGAGTTGACAGCCCTTGACTCTACGTAGAAACTTTATACATCTTCAGATGCAAAAAAAGCATTTTAGCATGCAGTAAAAAAACTGAGCTTTTCGAAGTAAAACTTCAGTTTCTGTCAACAAAGCCAATCATTAATGGCGAAGTGCGTTGGATTACAGCCTTTTCGTTCACGTGGACATGAAAACCTGAGCTCCAGTGCGACACTGTGTTTAAATTGTTATGTCAGAATTTCAAACAAATTTTCATATTTAACGAAGTGCCAATATATACATACTTTTTCCTTTGTATTTCATTTCTTTGCTTTTCCTTCTCTTTTCCTTCTCTCTTTTTTTTTCTGTTGTGCACCGATTCACGCAACTGCTTTCACCAAGATATCAATAGTATTACCATTATTCATGATAACAATAACTGCACCTATTGCTCTCTTATTCTTTTCGCTCAGGACCTGCCTCTGACGAGTTTTTGTTCTTTTACGTATTACTTCGATATTTTGAGAGTTTTCGCTTCACATTCGCCGCTCATTTGCATTCTCCGTTTCGAAACAACACGGCTAGAAGGAGGAAGATAATTAGAGCGAAGCGCTTTAAATCCACTGAACCTATAGGAACTGCAGCTGTAGAGTGAACAACTTGTGTATTGACAACTGTAGTCTTTAAGACTTCACGGCGTTGCGCTGCACCGAAGCGTTTTGTTCTGTACCTGCGGATAACTCGTTTTTGGCTGCTAAGCTACACCTCTCTCCTTTTTCTCAATAGATATACATTTAACCTAGCGGATAATTCACCTGCAAGGGATGTCGGTGTTGGAGGAACTACCGCTCATCCGAGCGAAAGGAGACGTGGTCAAATGTACAACGGGACCCACTGTGGGACCTGGTTCGTATGATTTAGGCCGAGCTCAGCCTGTTAACTCAAGTCAGGCTCCGTTTAACAGCACTGGCATCCGGCAGCCGCTCTCGCGAGCTGACCCTGCGCTTCCTGGTCCGGGCACGTACGACGTGGGTACTGCGTGGTCCGACGAACACGGCGGAATCGGCTCTCGAGCATTTGTTTCTGAATCAGATCGCTTTGCTTATGGGAAAGGAAATGACGTTCCTGGTCCTGGCGCGTACGATGTCCGCGAAAACTATAACATAAGCAAAAGACCAAAGTCTTACGCCTTTTCTGGACCGTACGGCAGCGTTGATGGCCCAAGTATCGGCACTTCTCTGGGACCTGGCGCTTACAACCCCAATTACGCTGCTGCAGACCGAAAGTTGCCAAAGGCTGCAGCCTTCGGCAAGTACAGTGGACGCGAATTGTTGCGGCCCCCTGTGGGACCTGGCCCAGGAAGCTACAACTCTTTGTTGACGCCCGGCGCTCTGATGGGCACCAAGCCGTCTTCCATGTTTGTCACAAAGACAAAAAGAACTGTGTGCGGCGGAGTAGGAGACAATGACACCCCTGGGCCTGGAACGTACAACGTGGGACAATCATACCTGCGAGACGCACCCGGAGCGTATGAGCACTTTTCCGCCTTCGGATCGTCTTCTGCACGATTCGCTGACGGCAAGGAGGCGGATCGCGCTCCCGGACCGGGGACGTACATCGGCGAAATCGCACCACGCCGCTTCCACCCTCAAGACGGACAGGGGTCAGCGGCGTTTCTCTCCATGTACGACCGCTTTCCCGAGAGACTCGCAAACTCCGCTCCAGGCCCAGGGACATACGACGGACGGCTGTTGCCGCGGCACAACAACTTCGGAGAGCCCACGCCGTTCAGCTCTACCGTGCCGCGGTTTAGCCCTGTATGGTCGCAGCATCCGCTGTCAAAGCTAATGGTCTTCTCCGGCGATCCAAATGGTGGGCGGCCGCCGCGCGGTGGAGTGCGCCGGCCCTTTGTACAGCGCAAGATTACTCCGTCTGACGCTCCACCCCCGCTTCAGGACCGGGTGTACAACGTGCGCTACGACTGGCCGAAGCCAACGTCGACGTTGGACACTACATTTGGAACATCGGTTCGCCCGCCGCCGGACGCGAGTGGCGCAAGCGACGTTCCAGGTCCGGGCGCTTACGCCAGTGTTGGTGGCGTTGCAGCTGCAGGTCGGCGACCTGGTAACTCAGATTGGGGTCGTGACGTGCGTTTTGCCGGTACAGCGCCGGCCAACGGCACACCAGACCCTGGCAAGTACTACCACTGCAGCACTTTGTTGACTAAGTCGCACAACGCAACAATCGGCTCCGATACCACGTGGATTGATTGACGACTTTGATGTCGAGCTTGGCACAACCGATGATGTAATGTAAGATTTCAGTAGCTCTTGAAAGGTCTTCTTCCTCTCCTCCGTGAATCTACTGGTCAATCTTAGTTTTTTTTTTCACTCCAACAGTTGGCCGCAGCTTCTTTTTCTGGCGAAGGCGGGCTGACGTTTCCGATGTCACTCTATGTAAAGTAGTAAGATATGAACAGTATTTCGTTGTTTATTGTTGGATTCTCTGTTTTTATCTTCTCGCTTTGTTTTTGTGGGATGTCGTCTACATCGATTTGTACAGTCACGGACGCACATCTCTCCTTTTTGTTTCTTGTGAACAAATCGAAACTGAATCGTAAGTGGGTGTGAAAGTAAAGAAGGTCCCCTCTTTGGTTGCCCTTGCATTCCGCAGCGAAACTTGCACGCATCTGTGGCGCGCAAAAAAAAAACCCAATAGCTTCGTCGGCGGGTCCTTGGCTCTAAAACTCACATCCAGGCAACGGCGAGCACAACTGTAGTTGTGTAGTAAACGAGACCACGCGCTGAACATGAACGTTTTGAAATGCAGGACAGGTTCTCATCACCATTCGTTCTGCCTTGATTTCATGGTTCAGAAGAAGAAAATCTCTGCATGGAGATAGTTTCATTTGCTTAGACAAAAAACCCTCTCGCTCTGTTCCGCCTCATCTTCTTTAAGCTTCCCCAATAGTTATTGCCTTAGGTGGCTTTTGTTTTCCTTTGTGTTCAATATCTGCCAGCTTAGCAGATAGACTCTGCGCTCCTTCGCCGTTGCTCAAGTTGGCTTCCAACATTATAGGCTTTCCATGTCCTCGGATCATTGCTGTTCTTTTTCACAACCTTCACTCTTTCCTATTTGTTTGTTTGCTGTAGCTTCTCGGATGTTCTCCCGCAACACGTTTGTGATGTCGCGATGGAGGTCCGCGTTGCCGACGTTTGTGCGTCGAGCAGTACAGGTGGATCAAATGGAGCTGGACTCTGCCCTGTCGCAAATGTACTCGCTCTGCACAAACCCGTCTCTTGTCAGCAAGATGAGTCGAGCACGCATGATGACGAAAGGCCACTATTACCGCGACGACCCGGCCTTTCTGGTGCTACAACTCGGCTTCATTGTTATTTCCACTTTAGCGTATGGCCTAGTCATGGCATCCTCAGCGGGAGCTGTGTTTTTTACGATCTTCAGCAGTGTACTACTGTTTCTTATAAGCGGGCTTGTTCTCGCGTGTATTGGTCGCGCCGTGGCGGTAATGTACCTTCCTTCTACGTCCTTGTCCCACGGAAGCAACACAGGCGGCGCCGCTTCGGGTCCCAGCACCGGTCTCGACGTCTTCAATGACTACCTGCGGTCGGATGTGGACTGGCGCTACGCGTTTGATGTGCATTGCAACGGATACCTCACCTACTTTATTTGGACCCAGGTAATCCAGTATCCTTTCATCTTCATCACGTCGTGTTACCCTTTCTTAGCCAACGCGTTCTACCTCGTCGGGGTGCTAACGTACATCTATAACGTCTTTTTGGGCTACCTAGAGATACCTTCGCTGTCGCACCAGCAGCGCCTGCTCTATCCAGCGCTAGCTGCACTAGCATTGTACGTTCTCTTTTGCATCGACAACGTTAATATCAGTGCCGCGATTTGGCGATGGTCGTGGGGGACTGCTTATTACTAATGAACGATGCTCTTTTTTCTGTTCTCTTGTTCTGTGCAGTTGTGTTCTGCGATTTGAAATCGCGGACCATCAGCGATATGGCGGACAGCGCAAGACAAGCATCCGGCTAGACGAACTGCGCAGACTGCAATCGACGGCGACGAAGACGTATGCTACTTTGCTCAAATTGCGCAACTGTGTTTCTTCTGTACTTGTTTTGCTTACCCTTGTAGCGCATTACAACAACATGAACCCGCGAAGAAACGGAGAAAAACGTGCCTCCTATCGAACACGTTTCTTTTTCTTCCTTCATGCTTCACTCGTCCGTCAATTGTGTGGCTACATGTACTATTGAAAGTCGTTTCTCCTCGACGGAGCTTGTCTTTCTCCTTGTTGCGTTGAATAAAATGAATTTATCGTGTCGTTGTGACTCCCATTGATGCGATGTTCACTCTGCGAGCACAATCTGTCCCTTTCCCTCCTTGCTCCCATCCTCCTATCTTCCTATCCTCCTATCCTCCTCTCCTTCCTCTTCTTTCTTTCTCTTTGCCAAAGTAAAAAAAGAAACGGAAGGGAGGAAAAGCGCGAAGAACCACTGCCATTAGAAGTGTGGGATTCTTCTCGCAGTTGCTTCTTCACTTCATCGCGTCGCCGCAGAAGAAAAAGAATAGAGGTGAGCTGCACTGGCTATTAGAACTCCTCCAATCTGTCGCGATGCTGCGGCGAACACTGTGTGCGCGGCGCTACCCGTTCACCAAGCATGGGCCGCGCGAGCGCAAGTCGTGGAAGCACCACGTGCTGACGGAACCGCCGAAGCCGGTGGAGTGGCGTGACCCAAAAGTGTGGACGAAGGACCTGAGCCAAATGAAGTCCTTTGAGGCCCCGCAGTGGGATCAGTGGATGAACCGCGCGCGGTCGCCTGATATGGATGAGGCACTGCAGCCGTTTATGGACATGCCGCAGTCCCTCAAAGACCGCCGCTACGACATTCCGTGGTGGGCCAACCCCTTTGGTGCGTGGTACCTGCAGAACATTCTCTCGGTCGAGCTGATGAAGCTTCCGGGGCGGACCAATGCCGAGAAGATCGCCATTTACCGCGGTCGCAAGCACCCACCGATGTGGGACAAGTCGAAAGAGGGTCTCATGGATGACGAGGTGCTGCTGAAGCAAATAGTAAAGGAGCGCTGGCGCACGCTCGAGTTCGGCGATCGCGATGCCGGGTACCCATGCACCTTCAGCGACTACATTCAGTTTCTCAACGAGTGGTTTAAGTCGTTAGACGAGGAGGGCATGCAGCGCTTGCGGGAGCACTTCGACCGCAAGATTCGCCCCCTCCTCGCCGTTATGACCCACGTTGACTTGATGTGGCTCGAGGCGCTCACTCAGAACTCGGTGCAGAACAAGGAGCAAGTCGAACGGCGCATCGGCTTCCAGACTTCCCTCGGTACGCCGGAGTTCTTTGATATGTCGAAGCGTCTGCGGTACGAAATCAACGAAGACTACAAGGTGCGCGACGAGCTCGGGCCGGAGCTGTTTGCGTTGTGGAGCAAGGCACCCGAGCGGTGGCCGCCCGAGCGCCTCGCGAAGATGTACGGTCTAGACTTCACCCTCGTGCGCAAGATTTTGGTGTGGCACCACTTCAAGGCGTGCTACGATGCGTGCGTGGAGCCGGACTGGACCCTTCCAAAGCGTCTCTTTGCGCTGGAGTGGATCCGCGACGTCCGGGCCCGCAAGCAAGGCCTTTTCTACGGTAAGCTGCGCTTTGCCGAGCAGAAGATCACTTTCTACAGCGACAAGTTTCTCTTCCGCGACCTCGTAAACCGTCGCGAGGCGAGCTACGCTAATGTGTGGGAGATGGACGACCCCTATCGCTTTCTGCAGACGGAGCAGGATTACGAGGACTACTGGGGTGACAACTACGACGTCTACCGCCGCATGTTTCCCGAAATGATTGGCAAGACTGGCGAGCCGGTGCAGCAGTACAGCCAGATGCCCGTGTGGGCCGGTCCGCATCGCGACCACGCAAACAAGTCGGAGCACAACTGGATGTTTGCCGAGATCGGCGTGAACGTCGGGCACGAGCCGCTCAAGAAAGTAGAGCTCGACCCGACCAACGAGAAGCGGCGCCGCTTCGTCATTCGCCAGCCGGATGGGTCGTTGCGGTCCGCCAAAATGTCTGAAATGCGTGCCTGGTACTGGAAAGAGGAGTGGGCTGACTTCCGTTTCTGGGCCCCGAACATGGAGTGGGGCGTAGAGAACACACCGTCGCAGGAGCAGTACCAGGAGCACGTCCCCGACACGCCAGACGCCGATTACCGCAAGCAGCGACGCATCCAATCACGACCGGTGAAGTGGTTTTACGAGAGCCACTACACGCGCACCGGCAACTTCGCCGGCTTTGAGCCGCTGCGTTTCATGCAGCGCGGCACGCAGCGAGAAGTCCGATGGCCTGATGTGATGAATGCCGCCGTGCAAATCGAAAAGTCAAAGCCCAGCGCCTACGTCTTTAAGGCCATTCCCGAACTCTAAAACGCTTTTTTCGTTGCATGTGTCTCTAGCAACGTAGAAAGCGGATCGATAGGGAGTTTTCGAGTAACCTTTTGCGGTGTGTCAGCACCGCCTGATCAGACAAAGAGAAAAGGCGGAGAGTCGGGTTGCAGTACTTTCTTTGAGCGCATCGGACCCGCACCTCTTTCTTGAGGATGGCCTTCTGGCTCTCTTTAGAGACCTTCATCGCTCTCGCTCAGGCTGAGTGCATTTGCAAAGGCTGTAGTGACGGCACCATAGCGGTTCCTTGCCTCTCCTCGTTGTTGGCGTCTTGACTGTTCTCTGTCGTAGGTTTGTTGTAGGGTTTTATCACAGTATTTTTCTCCCTTTTGCCCTTTCTGACGTTTCGTCGTTATGTTTTCAATGTACGCCGTTGCCGTTGTGCGGACGTACGCTGGAATGTGTTGAATCCGTAAGGACGTACAAATACACGAACGAGAAAATCGAAACATCCTGCCGGGAGACCCCCCCCCCCTCCCCCCCCCCCGGGCCACTTCGTGGGACAAGAAGCGCGTGCGCACGGCAAGTTCTGTGTTTGCAAGAGTGCACCTCATTTTCCTCCTCCTCGTCAACCGTTGAGGCCGGCTGAAGTTTCTCCAGGAAGCGGAAGAGAAGGTTTGTGCACACACTATGATACCCATAGTCGAACGGTTCAGGGAAGCGCAACCACCCTTTGCTTGTGCTCACAATTGTTCATAAAACGGTTTTCCTTCTCATATAGCGTTCACTGGGCATCTTTCTTTGTTGCAGCGTGTAAATTTGTTACCTCTCTTCTTCACGCGTCCTTCCTCTTTTCTTCTTCTTTCAGTTGCTCATTCTTCCTTTGTGCTTTCTTTGTACCGAAACGTATTGATAGGAGCTGAGAAAGGGAAAGATCTGCAACGGGTCGTGGCGCATCAGCGCTCCTCTCTCTTTCCATCTCCTCCTGTTTCTGAAGACTGTGTCGTGCTGATTTAGTGACGTTCATTGTATACTGACACCTCACGGAAGGCGCCTTTTCGCCATTTCAGTGTGTACGTCTGTGGTTTTACACCGCTGCCCGTCGAGCCTTCGGCCACCTTCCCACTCTACAACACAGGCAGCGTGCTTCGGAGCTAGACCTCTTTCTCTTTTGGTTTCAGCCACAACTCTTTTTTGTGCTAAAGGCAGTATTCGTGTAATTAACCGAAAATCATTTTTGCGGCGGCGTAAATCAACGGAGGACCGTTTTGGATTGGAGCTCACGAATCATAAATAGATTGAACTATCTGCAACGGCGACCCTAGATCTTACAATAGCCACAGTAATAGCAACAACAGCAAAAAACACGACAGACTTCACACATATTCACGTCGAAATGAGTAACGCTGCACCACCCGGGCTTGACGAGGAGGTCGCCGGACCTCCCGGCTTCGACGACGACTTCTCCACTGCCGATCCCACTTTGCTGGCCAAGATGGAGGAGGAGGAGCAGCGCGAGGCGCGGCAGCAGCAGATCCACGCGTGGCGCCGCATGAACACGGAGCGCTACGGCTTCCGTGCCACCTACCGTGCCGCGGTGGATGAGAAGGACTTCATGCCGCCGGAGTTTATTCGCAAAGTGGTGAAGGACAACGGCGACCTCGGCGGCAAACGCTTCAAGTCGGAGCGGAAGCTGTGCGTTGGCATGCTGCCCTACATCCCCCTTGCCCTCTTCAAGCTGTTGGAGAACATGCCGATGCCGTGGGAGGAGGCGCGGTACGTGAGCGTGGTCTACCACGTTGGCGGCGTGCTCACCATCGTCGACGACACCCCAACTGTCGCGGAGCCGCTCTACGTCTCGCAGTGGGGCTCTATGTGGACCAAGATGCGCGCCAACAAAGTGGAGCTGCTCCAGGAGGGCGGTGGGTTTCGGCGGGCGGTGCACAAAGGCGACGAGAACGAGCCGCCGCTGGACTTTGCCGATTACTTGATGGATCGCGTCCCACCCCCGGCAGTACACGACGAGCTCGACGAGGAGGACGGCGCCGCCATCGCAGACTGGTTCTACGACCCGTTTCCTCGTCTGACGGCCCCGAACCAGATCCGCGGCCCGCGTCGGCCCAACGGGTACTACTTCACATTAGAGGTGATGGAGGCGCTCTACCGCAACGCCGCGCCGATTCTCCCGTCACTGGACGACAGGAACTACTTTTATCTTTGGGACCTCAAGTCGTTCTACGCTGCGAAAGCAATGCACCTCGCCATCCCGCGCGGGCCACGGTTTGAGGCTCCGCCTGCCATCCGGCAGCAGAAGGACGAAGATGAGGACTGGACGGAGTTCAACGATCTGCGTCGCATCATCCATCGCGACAACCCACGGAAGCCGCGCTTTACGATGCTCACGGAGCGCCAGATCGCGTTTCCTTTTCTCTACGGAGCCGTCGTGGACGGTGTGGAGCTCGCCCCGTACCACTACCCGCCCGCGTTGCGGGTGGAGAACGATGACCCGGAGCTGCCGTGCTTCACGTTCCACCCGTCGCTGAACGCAGTCAAGGCGGTGGAAAAGAAGTACACCGACGTGCCGCGGTCAAAGGCGGCCCTGTGCTCTTCCATGTGGGACCGCGCCGGCGGCCAGCACACGGAGGACCCTGCTGAGGTGCCGCTTGACCTTCCCGACGACTTTGAGCCGTTCTTGGCTGATTTGCCGCTCGAGCAGCCGGGCACCAAGACGGGGCTCTCCCTCCTCTTTGCGCCGGAACCTTACAACTCGTTTGAGGGCGGTATGAAGCGGCGCATCGACGTCCCTCTGTGCGACAAGTGGTATCAGGACCCACCGGAGATGACCACCACCGACACCCGCGACAAGATTCTGCGCAGCTACACGCAGCTGCTGAAGTACCACGTCAAGCGCTCCCTTCACCGCACGGTGCGGCGGAACAACCGTGCCGCTGCTGCTGCTGAAGAAGTTGCGCTGAATGCGGACATGGACGACGGCCAGGAGAAGCGGCGTTTGGCGAAAATGGCGGCGATGCGCTACTTCTCCAAGACGCGTATGGAGTGGCTGGAGGCCGCGTTGCAGGTGATGCGGCAGGGCCATAACATGATGGTCCAGCTGATCAACATGAAGTGTCTGCCCTACGTTCACATTGACTACAACTTCGAAGCGAAGCCGACCCGCACCTTGACGACGAAGGAGATTAAGAAGAGTCGACTGGGCCCCGCATTTCACATGATCCGCGAGTTGCTGGGATTTGTGAAGCGACTCGTCGATATGCACGTCATGTACCGACTCGGTTCCTCGGATGCCCTGCAGCTGGCCGACGCCACCCAGTATCTTTTCTCGCACGTTGGTGTGCTGACCGGCGTCTACCGCTACAAGCTGCGCGCGATGCGGCAGATCAAGCGTAGCCGTGACGTGAAGCACATGCTGTACAGCAAGTTTAACGTTGGCGGTGTGCCGAGCGGACCGGGCTGCGGCTTCTGGGGTCCTGCGTGGCGGGTGTGGGTGTTCTTTCTGCGTGGCATGACACCGCTGCTGCAGCGCTACCTGAGCAACCTAACCGACCGTGTGCTGCATGGGCGTGTGCAGAAGGGAAAATTCACTGGCAAGAAGATCACCCGCCAGCGTGTGGAGCCGGATAAAGACGTCAACATTAAGGAGGCGTTCCGCCGCGAACTGCGCGAGATGCTGCCCGACAACGTCAAGAACTCCGTTATCGTGACGATGGACCAGCACATGAACGAGGCCTTCCGCCACTGGCGAGCCGGATCGTCGTGGAGCGTCCCAGGACTGGCGAAGCCGCTGACAGACCTCGTCAACAAGTACGTGAAGCTGCGCTCAGAGGAGTACATTCGAACCACGCAACTGCAGCGCCGCCGCATCGCCGATGGGGACACGGTGGACAAGCAAGCCTTCATGAAGAACCTGGGCCGCCTCACGCGTATTAAATTGATGGATGAGCAGCGGAGGCAGCGTCGCTACATGTCCGGCGAGGACGCCGCCACCATCATCGCGCCAGCCGAGGCCACGGAGATGTACCGCATGATGGCGAATTGGTTGAGCGACCGCGGATTCAAGAAGATTAGCTTTCCCGATCCGTCCAAGACAGCCGAGCTTTCGCTGCTGCAGCTCTCGCTGAACCGACTGCGTGACCAGCACAACATCGCCAACCGCCTCACCGCGAACCAGCGCGAGGAGCAGGCGCGAATTGAGGAAGCCTTCAACGCTCCGCACGAGGCCCTGTCCCGCATCGTCGACGTCCTGGCCCACCAGCGCCGCTTCAAGAACGTTGAGGTGGAGTACATGGACAACTTCTCCCATCTCTACCCGCTCTACACCGTTGTCCCGCAGGAGAAGATGGTGGACTCGTTCCTCGATCAGTACCTCTGGTACAAGGCGATGGGGGTGCAGCGTCTGTTCCCGAACTGGGTGAAGCCGTCTGACGTGGAGCCGCTGCCGCAGCTGCTGTACAAGTGGTGCGAGGGCATCAACAACTCACCCGACGTGTGGGACGTCACACACGACGAGTCGGTCGTGCTGCTGCACAGCGACCTGGAGGACGCGTTTTACGACAACGTGGAGTGGAACTTCTTCCGCCCCATGCTGGAGCTCATCATGGACAAGTCTCTTGTCGACTATATTGTGAGCCGTCACGACGTAGTGGTCGAGTTCAAGGACATGAGCTACCACCACTACAAGGGCCTCCTTCGTGGTTTCATGTTCTCCTCTTTCCTGGCGCAGTACTGGGGCCTTATCATGGACGTCTTGCTGCTCGGCACGCAACGCAGCAAGGAGATCGCCGGCACGGCCCTGAAGCCAAACCCGTTTATGTCCTTCTTCCGCGACCCCTACCTCGCCACGTCGCACCCGATTCGCGCGTACTGCCGGTACAAGAACGAGGTGTACCTTCTGCTGCGCTACACCAAGACAGAGGCGGACGAGGTGCGACGGCGCTACTTGGAAGAGACGCAGAGCGATCCAGAGATGCGCGCCGTCAACGCGTCTGTGTACGGGTTCAAGAACGCGAAGGAGTGGCCACGCGATGCGCGCATGCGGCTGTTCTTGTCTGACGTGAACCTTGCCCGCGCCGTGCTGTGGGAGTTCCGCGGCCGGCTCCCGCCGTCGCTCGCCACCGTCAGCGAGGCAAACAGCTTCGTCAGCGTGTACTCCAAGGACAACCCGAACCTGCTGTTCGAGATGGCTGGCTTCTCGGTCCGGCTGCTGCCCGTGGTGCGAACAGAGGAGGACGTGCTTGAGAACGAGTCCATGTGGAGCCTGCGCAACCACACCACCAAGGACATCTCGTGCCGCGCCTTCCTGCAGGTGTCCAAAGAGCACATCAACATGATCCGCAACAAGGCGCGCCGCACCGTCATGATGGTCGGGAGCTCCACCTTCCACAGCATCGCCGCGAAGTGGAACGCGCTCATTACGGAGCTGGTGCCCTACTACCGCGAGGCCATCTTGGGCACCGAGGAGCTGCAGGCGATCCTCGCACGTGCGGAGCACCGCATGCAGGCCCGCGTCATGATGGCGCTGAACTCCCGTGCCAAGTCGCGCTTCCCGCCCGCGATGTTTTACGCTCCTTCCGACCTTGGCGGGCTGGGCATGCTCTCCGTAGGCCACTCTCTCATCCCGGCGAAGGACACGGTGTACTCCAAGACGACCAGCACCGGTGTCCAGTTTTTCTACGCCGGCCTCACGAACGAGGAGGGCATTCCCATCCCAAACGTGCTGCAGTACTACACCCCGTGGGAGACGGAGATCAAGGAGAGCGAGAGGGCCTGGCTGGACTTTCGCACCCGCGAACGCGAGGCGAAGGCGCGTGGCGGCCGCGTCTCCCTCGACGACATTGAGGACATCATCGATAAAGGCATCCCCCGCATCCGCGTCCGCTTCTCGCGGCACGCGCCGCTCTTCCACTTCGACGCCGGCTTCCGCGCTCGCCTAGAGTTTCAGCGCTTCATCGCGGGCAAGTACCTGAAGAACTGGTGGTTTCACATGGAGCACGACGGCAACATCTGCGGCGGAGTGATGGAGCGCTACCGCGCCGACATGAACAACGCCCTGGGTGGAGTAGAGGCGATTCTGGAGCACAGCCTGTTCAAGGGCACGGGCTTCCCGTCGTGGGAGGGCATCGAGTTCGACCGCTCCGGCGGCTTTGAAAACTCCAAGAAGGACAGCAAACTGGCGAAGCAGCAGCGCGCTGGTCTGAGTAAGGTGCCGAACCAGCGTTTTGCGCTGTGGTGGAGCCCTACCATCAACCGCTCCGACATCCAGGCCGGCTTCGAGTCGAAGGTCGAGACCACTGGTGTCTTCATGTGTGGCAAGCTCGAAACAATCAAGAAGTCGCTCATCAAAATCTTCAGCGGCTCCCTGTGGGAGAAGTCGCACGCGGCGGTGGTAAACGACATTGCCAGCAAGCTGAAGGACAGTCTCATCGACCTCGGCGCCGCCTCTGTCACGCTGCAACAGCAGCACCCCCAGAAGTCCTACACGTTCACGAGCTCGGCGGCCGACGTCGTGCTGGTCAGCGCCGCCCGCTGGTCCGTTTCGTCGAAGCCGACCAGCCTGGCCGATGAGGCGGGCGACGTGTACCAGAGCAACACCACGGCGAAGTACTGGATCGACGTCCAGTTGCGCTGGGGCAACTACGACGGCCACAACATCGCCGAGTACGCGCGCAAGAAGTTCTACGAGTACTCCACGGCTCGCATGTACCCCTTTCCCGCTGGCATCGTGGTGGCCATCGACCTCGCCTACAATTGCCACAGCGCTTTTGGCTACTGGGTTCCTGAAATGAAGCCGTTCATGAACAAGCTCCTGCCGGTCATCATGAAGAACAACATCACGCTGAACACCCTGCGCGATCGCATGAAGCGCGACCTTGGCCTGTTCAGCTCCGCCCCTACCGAGGCGAGCCTGTCGGACACAAACATCGCGGAGCTCTTCTCCAGCGGCATGCGCACCTGGATCGTGGATGACAGCGCGACGTACGTCACGAGCGAGCAGCCGACGCCGGATGGCGGCAAGAAGTTCAAGTCGGAGAACGGCGCCGTGCTCGTTTTCGAGCCCGTTTCCGGCTCGCTGAAGATGAGTGTGGTGCACAAGAGCGTCTTTGCCGGACAGAAGCGGCGGTCCAAGCTGGCCCGTGAGAAGGCGGCGGAGGAGATTGCGTCGTGGCTGCGCAGCTGCCCCCCAAGTGAGCGACCCAGCAAGATCATCGTGACCCGCTCCCGCTTTCGACAGACGCTGCACAACATGCTCGTCCTCGATTACCCGAACATTATTATTGGCCAGAGTGATCTGAACTTGCCCCTGCCGATGGTGCTGCGCCACAGCCGGCTGGTGGAGCTGCGCATCGCCGCGATGGAAAGCAAAGGTTGGGAGTTTTGCATCTACGATGACTGGCAGCAGAGCCTGCAGTTCCAGCCCATCACCTGCTTCAACTTGCTGAATCTGGTCTTGCGCGGCTACCACATTAACCTGCAGCGCACGCGGCAAATTCTGGTGCCGGACCTGCACGTCGAGGTGAGCGCGGCACATTTTTGGCCGACGTACGCGACGCGTCAGGAGTGGGAGCAAGTATCGATCCGCTTGCAGGAGATGATCATCGCAGACTCCGCGCGCCGCATGAACGTGAGCCCCAAAGACTTCACCGAAAAGGAAAAGGAGGGCATTTTGCTCGGAAAGAAGATGGTGAATGTGGAGATTCAGCAGGAGGAGATAAAGGAGATTGAGCAAATGCGGCGCACCAAGCTGGCGGAGGCGCAGACCGTGAGCGTCGTGACCAGCAGCGGCGACGTGGTGAAGCGCAAGGTGAAGGCGGCCTTCGACTTTGGTGCGACGGCGCTGGACAACAACTGGCGCCCCCGGTCTCTTGCGGACGCCGCCTTCTTGGACGAGAACACCATTGTCACCTTTGACGCCGCTGGCGCAACCGGGGCAAGTGATCAGCTCATCTTTGCCGAGGACACCATTCAAAAGCTGCTGGCGTGCTGCGATGTGAAGGTGCAATGCTGTGCGTACATGTTTGGCCACGCCCTGCCCGACTCGCCGAACATTAAGGAAGTTCTGTGTGTGATGATCCCGCCGCAGTTTGGCACGGCGGTGGAGTCCCGCACCCCACCGCGCATCCCCTTCGACGCGCCGGCTCTGCAGGAAGGCAACCTGTCCTTCTTGGGCCTCCTGCGCGTTGGGGAGAGCGAGGCGCAGCTGACCTCGCACGATCTCGCGCTGCAGGCGCGTGCGCTGGAGGTAAACGAGGGCATGGTGCCGAAAGGCTTCCTCACTGCGGTACTAGAGATGTCCGAGGAGGGGGTGATGGTGCGATGCTACAGCACCACGGCGGAGGGCATCGCTTGGGCGCAGCAGCAGTACGAGGCACTCTTGAAGAAAACACCAGAGACCGCAGACACGGCGTACTACTCACCGTGTCGCGGCACGCTCTCGACGGAGGCGCGAGGGTTCTTTTTGGTGCCGGCAGAGCGGGCGTGGAATTACTTCTTCAAGGGTGCCCTGTGGCGCGAGAACACCGAGTTCGACGTCGTCGTTGATCTCCCACTCTCCTTCTTCGACCCGCTGCACCGACCGGAGCACTTCATCAACTTCGCGCGAATGGGTGAGACCGTCGCGGCCGTGGACATGGCGGACTCAGACGACCTTTTTGAAAACGAGGCCGGCACGGCCAACACTGAGTGAGTGAGATAAAAATGATGGTGGAAGCATTTGTGTGAGGTGTCGCTCTTTTATTTTTGTTGTTTACGCTCCTTCCTTTTTGCATTAAGCGCACCTGGCCGGCCAACTGACTTTCCACGAAATTGTCGTTCTTTTGCAAGGTTTGCTAGGATTGTGTGTTCCTGTGTGTGTATGTGATGTCTTTGATGTCAGTATAACGAGTGAAATGGAAACGGCAGAGGCGATATTCATCTTAAAACAAAATCCACTCGACAGTACGTTAGACACACTCTCTTAAAAAAAACAACAACAACAACAGAGCGACATATTTCTATTTAAAAGAAAGCAAAGCGAGCGCTGGCTTCCTTAACAAGGAGGAAAAAGACGGCGTACTACCATGGAAAGGAGTTAAAAGAAACACGTCTGCTCGTGCTTCTCAGCAGCAGCAAAAAGAAAAGGAAACCGTGTTGCCATCTGCAATGCCGAGTATTGATCTTCAACGGGTTATTTGCGAAACAGCAAAAAAGAAAGAAAGAGAGCTTTTAGGTCCGAACCCTTTATAAGGATGACTCTTTTAAAACGCCTGCACTAAACAGCAATAATAATAAACGTGCATCGCTTCTTCTACTGTAAAAGAAGAACTCTCTCTTATCTGGCTTTTTTTTTTCCATCCTCACCTAACTCCTTCTTTTTTTGTTTTCACGCTTCTCTCCGTTCTCGACGTGCACAACCGATTAATTAACGCATTACTCGTCATGTTGCGTGCATTTCAGCCTCTCGGTTTTTTTTTTTCAGTCATTAAATTCTGTTAAGCAGGCACTTTTGTTCATCTCCAGATCTTTAAGAGAAGCGACGCAAGGCTGCCTTTTTTTTAGTGTCTGAAGCCAATCCGGACTAATCATTCGACGTCCGCGTTTTCATCGGGCAGTGCGCGAAACTTCGGCACATTTTTCAAAAGCAAAAGAAACTCTTTTCTTTTCCTCCGTAGGCGACCACGAAGATAAAACTGTGGTGTCACCGGTGGACTGTACACTTTTTTTTTCTGAGAGCGTTCGTGGAGAGAAACCTCCCCGGCGCAGAATCGATGCAGCGACTCCTCGAGCCGTCCAAGATGATGAACATAGAGTGCCTCCCGAACGAGATGGCGCACATGCCTGTAGCCACCAAGAAGGTACCATCAAAAGCTCTTTCACCGAGAATGTCCATTCTTGCGGTTGACCCCAACTCTTCCCATCGCGGATCGTCCTCCTACGAGAACCCGAAACCGCGCTACACTTTTGAGAAGCCCGACACGTCGGGCTGGAAACTGAGCGACTTTGAGCTGAAAAGCACGCTGGGCACCGGCTCCTTTGGTCGCGTGCGCGTGGCCCATCGCAAAGGCTCGGACGAGTACTACGCGATCAAGTGTCTGAAGAAGCGCGAGATCATCAAGATGAAGCAGCAGCAGCACCTTAGGCAGGAGAAGGCGATTCTGATGGAGCTGTGCCACCCATTCATCGTGAACATGATGTGCTCTTTCCAGGACGAGAAGAAGGTGTACTTTGTGTTGGAGTTCGTGGTGGGTGGAGAGGTATTCACGCATCTGCGTTCCGCTGGGCGGTTTCCAAACGATGTGGCGAAGTTCTATCACGCGGAGCTTGTGTTGGTCTTCGAGTACCTGCACTCGCTGGACGTGATCTATCGCGACCTGAAGCCCGAGAACCTTTTGCTGGACAACAAGGGACACTTGAAGTTAACGGACTTTGGCTTTGCGAAGAAGGTGCCGAACCGGACGTTCACGCTGTGTGGGACCCCAGAGTACCTTGCACCGGAGATGATCCAAAGCAAGGGCCACGGGAAGGCGGTGGACTGGTGGACCATGGGCGTGCTGCTGTACGAATTCATTGCCGGCTATCCGCCGTTCTACGACAACACGCCATTCCGTATCTACGAGAAGATTCTTTCTGGACGACTGAAGTTTCCGAATTGGTTCGACGGGCGTGCGCGCGACCTTGTGAAGGGGCTGCTGCAGACAGATTATACGAAGCGGCTGGGAGCGTTGAAGGGTGGTGCGGCGGACGTGAAGAACCACCCGTACTTCCACGGGGCGAACTGGGACAAGCTGTACGCGCGCCATTATCCCGCGCCGATCCCTGTGAAGGTGAAGAGCGCTGGCGACACGAGCAACTTTGGGAAGTTTCCGGACAGTCCCGTGGACCGTACGCCCACGCTGACACCCGTTCAGCAGGCAGAGTTCAGAGAATTTTAGTTGACACGGCTCTTCTGCTCGAACTGCGCTTGTGACGTCGATATATCTAAAGGAGAACGTGTCACGGATGCACCTTAGCATTGTACATTCGTTTTTTTTTTGTTTTGTGTTGTTGCGCTATGCTCAACATGTACTTGCTGCTACCTTTTTCCCCTTTCCCGCGGTGATTGTTTTTATGTTTTCAGCCGTGGCGGAGGACTATCTCCTCCACATTTCTCTGATATTCAGAAAACTTTTTTGGGTGGTTTTTGTCACTCGTGGGCAGTGCACCAGCGCATACATTCGGTCGCTTTGTCCTCTTTTTTTTTTCAACATAATCAAATATGCTTTTTTCTTGTCTCTTTTTTTTTCCCTTCTTCTTCCTTGATTTCTCCTCCTTTTTTCCCCTTTTCCTTATATCCTTGTCATCACTCCTTGTGCCACTTGAACTTGAACTCTATCTTTCCCACTGTGTGGTGTCGTTGTTTGCTTCGCCTACGACGATGATTTCCTTTAAAAAAAATTAAAGCGATCTTTTATTGTTGTTGGGTTTCCTGTTCCTGCCACCGCCACTTCAAATGAAATTTCTGTCGTCGAATTCCGATTTCGCTGCGTATTTTTTTCCTCTCCCTCTCTTGTGGAACCTCTTTTTTCTGTTCTTAAAAAAAAGGAAGGTAACTTTTGTTTCCCTGTTTAACGTCTGAGAATGCTTGCAGCTTCACTAAGCTTGAATTTCTCATCTTTTGCTGTTTATGGCACCACTTTTCGCCTGTTTATCCTATCTATATAGTCTTTTGGTTTTTTTTTTCTGTTTGGATTCTTCCCCATGTAGCATATCTGCCCAGTGACACAAACGTGCACGCGCATACTGGAAAAAGTAAAGTAAAGTTAGTGTATGATAAAACTGTCGGGCACATCTCTAGCAGGCGTGAACGTGCAGAAAGGATAGGAGGAGAAGAAAAGAGCCACTGCAATGGGAGGTGCTGACTTTTCCAGCGGTGAAGAGAGAACAAGTTGTTTTGATTTCTACATGACAACGGTGCGCCTCACCGGCTCTCTATCAGGTACGTTGCATTGGCCCCCTCCTTTTTTTTTTGGGGAGGGTGGTGGTGGTGGTCTCATCTTTCCTTCCTCCGCTGTTTGGTGCTTATGGCGTTGCCAATATACTTTCTCTTCTGCTTTTCACCGGTGTTTAGTTGGGAAGAAAGAATCACGTAGCAACCAGTGATTGTGGTTTCGCCTTCTGATGCCTCTCTTGCGTTGATCGTGAAGAAAGGAAGCTGCAACTGTTCTCTCTCACTGTGTCCTCTTCGTCGCGTTGGGTTTCACTCGGATTTAGAGGTCTTTCATACATAAAATAACTTTAGAGGAGCGCTCTGTGAGTTGCACAACACAGTAAAAAGAACAGACACGCTTTGTGTGGCTCAACTCATATAGCTGTTTATATTGAACGCCTCACTGACGGACAAGACGTGCTTTGTGGCGCTACGTAATCGAACTCCTCTCATACTACATAGACACCAACTCAACGTCTTTTATGGTCACACGTATTGTATGAAAGGACGCACTGGATCATGAGCCGTTACAATGGCGAAGTGCACTTTCGCGGCATGACGGAGAGCGATTGGAGGCGTCTGCACACGCGCGTCATCCCAAACCCGGTGCCGTTGGAGGAGTTTAAGGTCATTGTGCTGACCGGCAAGCTGCAAGACCGCTATCTCGCAAAGGACCTTCACAAGATGATGCAGGAGCTGCGCGATCTGCTGCGTGAGCACGGCGAGCTACGGGAGGCGGCCATTTTCCCATTAAGTGGCAAGAAGCAGGAGCTCGCACAGGCGGCCGCAGCGGCGGTGCGGGTGATTGACGCACACCGCGAGTGCATTCCAGCCTTGCGCCGATCCCCGGGAAGCACAGCGACGCCGCTACCACTGTCTGCCGACACGTCCGATGCGCGAGATGGCTCAACCTCGCCGACCCTCGACAGCGCGAGTGACCAGCAGCGACGGTCTACCTCTGGCCGAGGTAGTGCAGAGCAACAAACCGCGACGGGGCTGCTACTTGCTTCATCCGCATCTGGCAGACCCCCCACCAGCCCTAGACGCTCGTTTCGCATTCTGTCCTTGTCAGATCACGTTTCCACCGCTAAGCAGCCGCTTGCATCGTCCGCGGCGTTGCTGAACGGGGCGTCACCGACAGGCGCGGCGGCTGCGCAGATTTCTTCCTCTGCGACGTCGCCTCCTGCACGACGACGAGAGCCGGCGGTGGCGCGCGGTGGCAGCGCAGATCGCAGCGCCGGACAGGATGAGAAGCCGGCGAAGGAAGCGCCGTCCCGCCTGACCACGTCGTGGACGACCAACGAGCGTCTTTCGTCAACGATTGCCCAACACGCGGCGGCAGCCGCCCCAGCCGCAGCCTCCCTGCCGCACCAGCAGGCGACAGACCCCGCAACTCCCTTCTCCACCGTCGGCCCGACCCTGCCGCTGTCCACGGCGGCCACGAACGAGCTGGCGCTGCTGAACGAGGCGGCCCCGCCGTTCTTCTGCGTGTTGAACGTGGCGCGCCGCTTCCAACTCCGCTTTGGCTCCTCCCCGCTCAAGTTCGAGATCCCGGTGCAGTACACCGAGGCCGTACACAACCGACGGCTGCGGGTGTACGTTATTCCGCTGCACCACCCCAACATCCCGGCGCGCTGGCCGACTGCGAAAGAGTTCGTCGTATACGTCAACGAGCAGTGCGTCATGACACCGTGGAAGCGGTCGTGGCCGGAGCGCAAGCAGGAGGTCGCCAAAACGTTTCTCCCGCTCGACATCACCTACCTGCTGAGCCGCAACATAACGAGTCAGCGCATGCAGACGGACGTGTTCAACAAGGAGTACCTCTCCCCCGCAATTGTCGCGGTTGTGCAGCCGCGGTCGCTGGAGGAGGTGACGGAGTCGATGTTGCTGTCCCGGCTGGGGTGTCGCAACGTGGCGCAGGTGAAGCAAGCATTCGAGGATTCGGCGAGCAGAAACGGACGCCGGCAGACTCCCACCTGTCCCCCGAGTTTGCTTGTGTCAAACAACGCCGCGGTCTTGCAGTCCTACGCGCGTATTCTGGACGACGACGAGGAGGAGGACGGGCTGGAGGTGGACGATCCGGTTATCACGACCAAGTGCCCCATCTCGCAGCTGCCGCTCTCCATCCCTGTGCGGGGACCGCATTGCCGCCACCTCCAATGCGTCGATCTCGACTCCTTCCTCGTCAGCAGCCACAAGGGCGCGTACTGGAACTGCGCGCTATGCGATGCCGAGATGCGGCCCAAGGGCGTGCAGATTGACACGGTGCTCTGGAGCTACTTGAGCTCCTTCGGCAGCTCGGACTCCTACCCGGCCTACCTGCGGCTTTCTGCGCGCGTTTCTCCGGGGACTGCGACAGAGAGCAAGTACTATTGGCACCCGTCCAACCGCACCGGCGAGGATGCGGATGTGGTGACGACGGACAACGACAACGATGACGCCGAGCAACGCGAGGCAGAGGAGCAACGAAACAGCAGCGGCGGCGACGGCAACGGTGATGGACGTGTCGCCCACGAAGACGGCCGGCCACGCCCCCGAACCGCACCAACGCCCCCTCACGTGTTGCACCCCCGGTCGATGTCGTCGCCGCAGGACTCCCCGGCGACCGGGACCCCCATCTCAAGCAACAGCAGCGCGTCATGGACCGGTGAGGGAGCCGGGACGACAGGGAACGGTCGGAAAAGGAGCAGAGAGACGAGCACGGGTGAGCAACAAGGAACCGCTGATGATCCTATCGAGCTCTGACAGGTGCGCGCAACTCAACAAGGTTAGGAGATGACACACACAGAGGCGATAACAGGAGTGGCAGTGCTACGTAGGGGAAGCGCTACGCATCGAGGAGTGATCTATGGTGGCGCGATGAAGCTGTTTGCGGGTTGTCTTCGCAGCAACGCTGGATACCCATTGGCGCGCACTTCTTCAGCGAGTGGCAAGCATTTGCAGCACATCGTTACTTCATCCTCGTTCTGTCTTCTACGTTTCACCCTTTCAAAAACTGACACTCGTCGTTTTTTTTTCCTGTTCACCTTTGCTCACTAACGAAAACTGTTCTTTTCAGGCGCGAAAAGTTTAGATTACGTAAGCAACAGCTACATAAAGGAAAATAAGCAACCGCAACAGAGATGCTCCACAACTGAAAAGGCGATTTCTGGTTATCTCGTGTGTGAGCGAAGATGGTGGGACTGGATCTTGCACTTTTTTGTCACACTTACACGTGAATGCAGGAGTGTCGCGGTCTCCACAAAGGTTGTCTACACCGACGAAAGCAACTGATGCGTTGCTCTCCTCGATGGTTTCCAACGAAAAACAGCAAGCTCAACTTCCTTTTTCTCTCTCTCTCTCTTTCTCCTCTCATCGTTCCCTCTTCCCTTGTTCCGTCGGCTGCTTTTCTGCTTTCTTATTCGTCGCAAAATCGCCCCCACGAAAATACACCCCATCCCAACAGATTTGCAACTTTTGCACTCCACCTCTCTCATCTCTCCCATCTCTCGTTCTTTCTTTTCCCTTTTTTTTTTCTTATTGCTTTTCTCGGTTTTTTGTTTTCCTATTTTCTTAAGAAATTGTTTTTTTGTCTTTTTGTTTTGCTTTCGCTTTTTTTTTTTGGTCTTTTTTTTTTTGTAAGCTGTTCCGTTTTTCTCGTTCTCGCTTTTATATTTACTTCAATTTCCACCTTCCGCGTTGTCTTTTTGAAGCTCCTCTTCTCTCGTCGTCTTGTGGTTCGAGTGAAGGAAAGAGAACGTTGGTGCGCTACATTCGATTTATTCACACGTTGACAAGTTCTGTACTCAACCGGTTTCTTTGTCCTTTTCAGCTTCGTGTTTCTGTGTCCCGTGTGCTGACGCGTTGTGTGCGCATCCTTTTTTTGTTGTTCTTCGTCGTAGAACGTTTGTGCTGCAGTTGTACTACGTTTCTCGTAGATAGTTGGCGTTTTGCAAATTTCCCTTCTTCCCCCCTCCCCTTTGCTGAAGATTTTCTTTCTATGCGTTTTTGTTTTTCGTGTGTCGACAGAAAAGTTTAGCAGTCGGGTGCCGTGACAGTTTAAGGTTAGGGGCTACTCTGCACATAAGCAAACACACGAAGGAGAGCAAAGATTATCCAAGCCAAAAAAAAAACAAGAACACAACAACAACACTTACTGCTTTTTGAGCTTCTCTCTTTTTCGATTTTTTCCTTGTTTATAGTTTTAAAAGCTCACGTTAATAGTAATCATAAAAAAACCTACGAACAGACAAGTAGCTGTTTAGTTCACACACATACACACGTTCTCTCAAAGAAAATTGAGTCAAAAGACCTCAAAAGCTCAAGCTTTCTGTTTTTGTTTCCACGACTCGTTGGTTCGTTTAAAGTTTTTCTTCTGTGACATAAACTTAGGAGTACTCGTTCTTTGCCTTGCTCTTCCAAAGCAGGTCTTTCTTTTCTTATTATTATTATTATCATTATTATATATATATATATATATATTTTTTGCTGTCGTCTTAACAGTGCGTGGGACACTTCAATCGCGCAGGAAGAATCAACAGCAACAACGCCTTTGTCGTAACCTCAACACGTCACATTTCCCCGCTCACTTTCCCCTTTTCTCTGTTCTTTCTTCGTTTTTGATCGTGTAGCCGGAGTCGTATAGGAGAATTCGTCTCGCCATTCGCGCAGCTTTCAAGCTTAAGATACGGCACACCGGCAACGCACATCCTCAAATACTATTGTTCTCTCTGACGATCCTTTTTTTTCTCCTTTTAGTCTCTTCGATTCTTCTTTTTTTTTCCTTCCTATTTCACTACGTTTTTTTTTGTATTTTAGCTTTTCGGTATTCTTTGTTTACAATTGTATGTCTGCGAACAACGAAGAATAGTTCGACATTTACCGGTGAATTAGTTTTTACGTTGTTCCTGCCTTTTTCTTCTTCCGGGGAGCATTTGTTTTTCGGTTTTTCTTTGGACGAAATCTCTTTTCACTGTTTCAACCTAACTCGCTGTTCAGTCGCTTAATAAGTATCTTTGTTAGCGATACCCACATACACGTGCGCGCGCAGAGCAGCCTGTCTCCTGTTAACTCCCCCTTTTTCCCCTCCCTACACCCGTCACGGTATTGACGGTGCACGCACATTTATATCCACCGCTTTTGCGGCATCTTCGGATATTTATTGAACATCAAAAAAGAAAGAACGAAAAGATCAAGAAAAAAGTTCGTTCCTTTATAAACTCCGTTGTATCCTACTCCCTTATTTTCCGTTTTCCCCCCTCTTTGTTTGTTCTACCTCCTCTTTTTTTTTTGACGAAGTGGCTGAGTGCTTTTTCTTTTCTTCCTTCTCTCTTTTTTCAGCTTTTCGTTATCTCAGAGAGCTACTCTGCTTTCTTTCATCGTGGCAACTCCTTTTTTTTTTGCGTTTTCCGTCGCCTCAACGCGAGAGAGTGAATCGAGTTTTATTTTTACTTTGGTGGGTTCAACCGAAAAGCTCCTTCTTTTTCCCCCCGTTCTCAGTTAGTTTCCTCAGCAATCACCGCAAGGAGAAACATATTTTGTCTCGTTTCCTTGTATGTGTTATTCGAAACCTGTGGCATATTTATTGGAGTATATTTTCTCTCTTCGTTCGCTAATCTAATCTTTTCCCCTTTCCCCTTGTCATCTGACGCGTTACCCTTTTTTTTCTTCTCTTTCTCGTTACGGTTTCTGTGCTCCGTGCTTTTCCCTTTTCGCGGATTCTCATTCTCCTTCTGTTTCCTGTTTCCTGTCTTCTTCTTCTTCGTGAACGCTGCCTTGTTTTAACCTTTTTTTTTGTTCTGCTGACTTGTCTGTGCGACGGCAGATTGTGGATTCCGGTTGCGGCGAAGACTACGGCGGACGTCGTCAGAAAACAGTAACTAAGCAAACTAAAACAAAGCTTGCAAAGGTATATCTCTTTCTCTTATCCCTGCACTAAATTCCACTTTCTCGCTGATTGCAACAAGAAACTGAAGGCAAGCGTGCAGTTAAGTTGTTTTCTTTATTTGTTTCAAAGTGTAAGTACTGAAGCGAATCGCCAATTGAACAAGACACTTTGCTCTCCTCGATTCGTCTCTGCAGCACCACATTTATTATACACACTCTCTCTCTTACAGAACAAAGAAAACACAAAACCTACTACTACTACTACTACTACTACTACAAAACCCCCCCAAAAGAACAAAAACCAACAACAGTGAAACATAGGTATAATTTTCTTTAATATATTTTCTCTCTTTTTAAGAAAAAATTATTGTTTTCATTTCCATTGACGTGGGCAAAAGAAAAACCAAACTCTTTTTTTTCCAGGTTCATTCGTATTTTCTACTTCTCACCAGAAGAAAAAAAAGAAAACCGTTGCTTTATAGTTTTCTACCTCAGCAACTCTGCTGCTTCTTTGCTTTAATAAGCCGTCGAGCTCCTGACCTTTTCCGCGTGGCGTCTACGAACCCCTTTTTACGTTTCAGTTCTTCTCTTTCAAAAAGCAAACAAACAAACAAAAAAGAAGCTTACGCGTGTCTCACCGGCATTCTTTCTCTTCTCTCATCATTATTATTTTGCTGTTGGTTTTTCTTTCCAGTTTTTTCATTTTAGCGATTTGAACGTTATTTCAGTATATCACCGTTTCTATTACTATCTTTTCCCCTTCTTTTTGCACTACGTTGTTGAACTTTCGTGATAAGGTTTATCCTCTTCTTTTGATTTTTCTGTTTTTTTTTTCTTCATAAAACGAACGCAAACACAATATACATAACGACGACCTCTACCTCAGCCACCACCGCCATGCCGCCGCTTCGTACGGTGTACACTCGGGAGGAGCTCCTCCGCATTGCTGCGCTGGCCAGCGGAATTGAGGTGAGCCCCGGCATCATCGGCAAGTTCGATGTGATCGAGATTGCCGAGCCGGCTGCTATTCCCAAGCGGCGTGAGATGGACATTGGCGCCGCCGGCGACAACAGCACGAACATCATCGGCAGCGGTCTGGCACTCAACGCGCCCAAGCCAAACAACAACAGCAATAACAACCATCGCGATGGCAGCAGCAGTGGTGGTGGCAACCCAAATGCCAATGGAACTGGCCGCGGCAGCAACACCGCCAACAGCAGCGCCAACGCCCACAGCGGCGGCCCCAGCAATTCCAACAGCTCGCCAGCCCCCTTGTACAACGCGCGCGGCAACGCTACGGATGGGCGTCGTGGCGGCAACAACAACGGCCGCGAGGACACCAACAGCGGTAGCAACGGTAACGGCAACCGTCGCTCCGGCGATGATCGTCGTCAAGGCGGATACGACCGCTTTGCCCCACCGGAGGGAGGACGCTTCGGTCGTGGCAACCGCAATCAGGAGACGTTCGAGTTTGGCGTTGAGTACGAACTGCAGCAGAGCGCGATGCAGCGGCGGCGCGTGACGGAGACGATGGAGCGCGAGGATCGTAGGGGGGAGCAGCTCAAGCAGGCTCTGGAAAAGTTCAAGCAGGTGGACAAGGAGCCCGAGCCGGCGGACGTCGAGAGCCAGGAGACGGACGAGATTGAGCGGCTGTTGGCGGGGATTACGATGGGCAGCGACGACGGACAGCCGAAAGCCGCGGCCCGCTCTCGCTTCTTCTCGGCCCAGGCCCCAGCAGCGGCACCACCAGCTGCACATGCGCAGCGGCCGGCTTCAACGCAGCCGTCAGCACCGACGACGGCCGCGCAGACCGCCTCGAACGGCGCGGCCCCTGCGAACACCGTCACGCAGCCCAAAGTGCTCATCACCCCGGCCAACAGCGGCACGCCCGGCTACGTGGCGAGCCCGTGGGGCAACGTGAAGAGCGATCCGAACTTGTGGGCCACGGCGCCGTCGATGGCGAGCGCGCTGAAGCAGTCGCTGCAGCAGCAGCAGCAGCAACCCAACACGACGCCGCAGTCTTCGCCGACGCAGTTGAAGTCCTCTTCGCAGCCGCCGCCGCCGCCGGTGAGCACGACGATGCCGACGGGGATGGGCAACAATGGAAACATGCCGCCTCCACCGCCGCCACCGCCGAGTGCACCGTCGCAAGGCAGCGGTGCCATGAACTACAGCACGGCCCCGTCATCCGCTGCTTCTGCCGCTGCTGCTGCCACATCGGCGACGCCATCGGCGTCGGCGGATGGGCAGAGCAACTCCATCGCCGCGATGGGCTTCAAGATGAGCGTGCTGGGGCTGAGCACGCAGCAGTCTCGCCCGACGTCGGCCACGCCGGCGGCCAGCACCAACCCGCCCGCGCCGTCGCGTGCGTGGACTGCGGCGGAGCTGGAGCAGCTGCTGAAGAGCGGCAAGGCGGTGCCAACGGCCGTCCCCCCGCCGCCGCCGCACCCGTCCGCCCTGTCAGCGCAGCCACCCGTCGCAAAGGTGTTTGCCGCGGCTGATCTGGAGAGTATGCTGATGCAGCAAGCCCGCCAGGGTGGCGTTCCGAGTCCGGCGCAGCCGCCGGCCGTTCAGGTACAGCAGCCTCAGCCCCAGCCCTTGTTTCAGCAACCCCAGCAGCAGGTTCACCAACCACCGCAGCTACCACTGCAGCAGCAGCCGCAACCAGCGCAGCAGCCCGCCCCACCGCAGCTAATGGCCGCGATGAAGACACCGCCGATAATGCCACAGAACATGTCCAACCCGATGGGCGCCTACCTCGCTGCAGTGCCACGCTCGCCACCTCAGCAGTTTCCCACAGGAATGAAGGTCCCACCCAGTCCTCCGATGATGCCGCAGCACCAGCAGCAGCAGCAGCAGCAGTTGCCGCCACCCCCGCCACCAATGAACGTGCAGCAAGCACCACCGCAGCTGCAGCAGCAGCAACAGGTGCAGCAGCAACTCCCCTGGATGACGATGCCGCAGTCTCCGCAACAGCCACAGCACCAGCACCAGCAGCAGCAACAGCAGCAGCAGCAGCAGGGACTTGCGCAGCACGGCATGCGTGCCAGCCCTCCGCAACAACCGCAGCAGGTGAACAAGATGCCGCCGCCTCCCCAGATGACAGCGCCAGGGATGCCGGTGCCGATCATGATGAACGCGCAAGGCCAGTACTTTGCCGCCCCACCGCAGCAGCAACCCTTCTACTTGTCGGGGCAGCCCGTCATGTTCCGCCGCCCGGATGGCACCGTGTTCATGCAGGCACCACAGCCGCAGCCGCAGCCGCAACCGCCACAGCCCCAGTTTAACCCGTTTGCCACGAATGCGCAGTACCTTTTCCAGCAGCAGCAGCAGCAGCGCCGCTAAACGTCCATTTTTTTTTTGTTAACCTAAAACGCTTTTTGTTCTCGACAGCGACTTGTATCGCGCTTCCTCTCCCGCACACGAAAATAGCAATTATAATAATAAATAGAAATAGTGTGACACAACGTGCTGTTTATTTTCTTAATATTCATGCCTATGCCTCTTGCGTACTTTTTTTTTTCTAATTGTTTACATATCTTCTCCTTTCCCACTGTGATTTTTGTAAGACTTTTTGTTTCTGAGTGCATATACGTGTGTGCGTCGTTCTTGTGTGTTTTCTTCTTTTCCCGCTTCTGTGGCTCCTTCTACGGAATCACCTCTGACCTCCGCCTGAGTGCTCTCCTCTCTTTCGATAACGTTTGTTGTATTTACCACTTGCTCAAGAAGATTCTCTTTTTTTTTGCGTATGTTCTGTTGCTGCACGCTACACAGCCATCCGCAGATGTCGCACCGCCCAATCAATACGATACCGGGAGCATTTGCATTTCTCATTTTTCTTTTTTTTGGTCTTTAACTCTCCTCTTTTGTTGATATATAGTTTTTTTTTTTTCGTTCTCGTGTACTATCGTCCTCCTTTTCGTTTTCCGCGTTGTGTATGTCCATAAAGTTTTTCCCTTTTTCCTGCTTTCTTCGTTTCACTCTTCGCTTTTGTGTTTTTTTTTTTGACGCATTTATCACTTTTTGCGAAGGTTAAAACACGCGACGTCGTGACACATTGCAGTTTTTTTTTTTTACTTTCTCTTCTCTTCTTTTTTTACGGGCGTATAGCACAGAAGCGATTTTTGAGTGAGAGACACGAAATCGAAGTTGTCCAAACACACCTTCTTCTTTCTCTTTGTGTGCTGTGCTGCCCGAAACACACCGTCGTCTTTGGTAATCATTTTTTTGTTTTTTGATCCGTTTGTGCTCCACGGCGTCTGGGAAGTGTCTGCAAAAGTACAAATGGAGCTTGGCGCCAAAGGGTGGGGGAAAAAGATAGATTTTGGTCTTTTTTTTTTTAATCGCTCCTGTAATCTGTGTTCAACAAGAAAACAGCTTTTTTTTTTCGAGTGTCATAGAATGCAAATAATTTTAAATGACGTTGTTCAAAGCTGTTAAACTTGAAAGCGGTCTTCCATCGACTCAAAAAGAAGGGCACTGTGAAAATCATGTAGATACGGAGGGCTGACAATCGAGGAACTTTCCTTCTTCTCCCTAGTGTACTTGATTGGGCTGCTTTTATCTTTATTATTATCCCTATTTTTTTTTCGTTTTAAACTAATTTGACAGCGTGTTTTCTCGCTGTGCGTTTCCATCCTTTAGCGGGATTCAGAGTGTGGGAAGTGAGGCAGCTCATCTTCATATTAACACTCTTCTTTTGAAATTTTCTTCCTCTTTTTCTTTCTATTGTAGTTATATTTATCTATTATTATTATTATTTTGGCGCTGCGACGGTGCGACAGTTTCCTGATGATAGTGCACAATGCACGCCGACACCCAAGGAGGGAGCTTCAGTCCTTTTTTTTTTCGTTTTTCCTTCCTGTCCACGAAGCGCACGTATTTTATTGAAGTAAAACACCTCTGTCTTTTCTTTTTCTTTTCCTCTTTATTGTTTTCTCAGCAGCGGCCGCTTTTTTCTTTCTTTCTTTCCACCGTTTCAATCATTCAAAGGCACATATCGAAAGCAACAGATCTCTCTCTTTATATATATATTCGTGTACGGACTTCAATCTGGATGGGACAGAAGGGTTGGCGGCCGTTAAAATAGAAGAGATGTGTTTCAAAAACTAATGAAGGAAAGAAAGCAAAAATTGAAGTAAAACCGTGATAAAAGCCACCAAGGAAGCACCGTATACCCGTTTACATATCTCATCCCCCGCCAAGAATCTCGACGTCACGGAGGACTTGAAGAGCCTTTGTGTCTAGGGTATTTTCTACGCTTTTTGGGGGGTTGAGAGGCGGGCGAAAACCTGCTATGGGCCGCGGAGGCCAGCTGGTTTCGCCCCCGTGTCATTCGTCCCTTTGCTTCATGCTCCTGTCGTCAACGCCACGTGCCGTCAACGCTGCATTTTAGCAAGCTCTTGTGTTTTCCTTTTTTATCAGGGATACGCAGACGGGCGTCACGATTTTTCGTTGTATCCCCGATGTGTTGTGTGTGCGATGAGAAGCGTGCGTCTACGAAACAAGAGCACAACTCACATACCGGAAGAAAAGAAAAAGTCGTGTTGTGCGTTTAACGTTTTCCTCTTCCTCTTCCTCCCCATCTCTCTCTCTCTTGTTTTACCACGGACGTTAACTCTTGGGCTCCATTCTCTCTAGCTGCCCGCCATACTTGACGTTGACACCTTTTCCTTTTCCTTTTTCGTCTTGTCTTTCTTTTCTTGTATACGCATGAGGAGCGTGGGGCTGCTGTTTTGAACTTGTCCCACGCCTGCTTACTGCTTCTATCCTCACCGAAATCACGTGCCGAGAGAGCGATTTTAGCACCAAATCTTATTCTGACCGTAGAGCCTCTTCCTCTTCTTTTTTTTTTCCCTCTCTTCGCTGTTGGGCTGTTCGCACTTGTCGCCGTAGCAGCAAAGCTACCTCTTCCATTGAATTCGAAGCGGCCGAGTTTTGCTTTTCTATCCTTCCGTTTGCGCTCTCTCCCCTCCCTCCCC